CTGGGGCGAGCTTTCTGACCCCCTCGCCTGAACCCACGTGCGTTCGGACAGCTTTTTTGGCGCGAAATTTAAAATTTTCAGAAGATATGCAAATTCCGAATTTATAAATGTAAAATGCTGTATGAGGCCTGGAAATAATGAAAAGTAAATTTAAACATTTTTGGATTAAATTTTAAAATTGTTTCGATTTTTCTTTCAGATGTCTGTGTAGACCATGTCGGCTTCGGAAGTGTCTAAAATTTGGAATGACAACTAAAAGTTTGTTTTTTTTTTCAATTTTTTTGAACATTGATTTTCCTAGAATTCCAATATGGAAATCAATTGATTCCGACAAGTCCATCTTCCTACCTTGGCCGCCCGGAATTTTTGATGTTCTGTGATCCCAGACCTTCTAATTTGATAACATTCATTGATGTACACAAATTGATATCTGAAGCGTTACGTCTTCTAAATTCCGGATGCGAATCTCCATTAATCGCGAGACTCAGTTAGAGAAGTTGAGTCTTGGCGTTAATTTTCTGAAACTGGACTCTGAAAATATGAAATTTTTCCGAAAATTCGGGCGGGTCGAATTCATAGATGTCGTTGAGTATTATTTCATATCAGTGATAAAATGGATAATGCGTTTTGACAAGTTTCAGCTTTTGGAAAGAGATGTTCAGGTATGCTACCGTGTAGCTGGGAAAGGAAACTGAATTGTTGGATTCCAGATGAAACTTCTGAATTCCATTTGGCACGTCTTCATGAAGTTCCACACTTGCTCATCAACCGCAACATTTCGAAGAGTGTACAAAAACTCAAAACCTTATAAGAAATTCTTTCGGAATGTTTGTATGGACAAGGATCGCGCAAGTTTTGATACCACATGGATTAGCGATCTGCCAAAGGAATATGCTAGTATGTGAGTATCAGGGTTTTGTAAGATTTCGAATTTTGGGAAGTATCCTATTGTCTTTGCAGGTATATAAAATCTCAAAGAGTTCTGGAAGACGAGGTTATTGAAAGCTTAGAAAAATTGAATCCAACAGATGTGGAACTCTGTTTTATGTTTTCTCAGACTTGTTTCCAATATGCTGGAAATCGGTTTCAAAAAGATATTCTAAAAATTATGGATCATTTCCAGCAAGTTCTATCAGAGGACTTGCATTTTTATTATACAGAAAAAATGAGGAATTCAAGATATGCTAAAAGGCTAGCAGAATTGTTGAAAGTCAATAATACAATGCAGGTGAGTGGACATCTGGATGGACAGAGACATGGAGGAATTTACAGAAATCAATTTGGAAAAGTCGACCGTTACGGGACCTGAATCGTGTGTTTAATGTTGTCAAAGTTGGATTCTCCCATCCACAAATGTTTGAGGATTCCGCATTTTGTACTGGATTTGAAAATTGAATGAAATCTTTGAAAAATTAATTAAAGACTTTTAGAAACAAAAGTACATCATACCGTATTTGCTCTTCTAGATGCTTACCATATGCGTTCACTTTCGGCTCAATTATCTCGGTTCCAATGAGAGTTATCAAAACGTTATTTACTGATAAATTATTTATAATAAAGTGCTCAATATTACATCAGTTTACAAATTTTCGATATCTCTTATAGGAACCGAGATAATTGAGCTCGAATTGCACATATTAGGTGTGCTCAGCTGCTAGCGACGCGGCATCTCCAACGGTGACCTACTTGAGGAGTTTATACTTTTGAAATTTCAAGAACATTGTTTTCTCCTGAATAAAAAGGTATCATTCCCCCAAACCACCAAAACATAGAACAACACCATACAAATCAATCACAACCATGATTTTTTTCCTTCTCTCTCTCTCCGTCTCTAATCTCTCTCTCTACCCGCACTATCTGTTTACTCTCCAGACCATTTTCTTTCTCGTTTTTTGTCCACCAACCTATTAAAATGACAAAATTCTCACAAATTCCTTGTAAAATCTGTGGACAAGATTCGCATGGATTCCATTTTGGAGTCAGAGCATGTCGAGCATGTGCCATATTTTTTAGGTAAGTTTTAAAAGAGTTTTGTTAGTTTTTTTAGAGAAATGAATTTCAGAAGGTATGCGAATTCAAAATGGACGATGACGAAATGTTTGAGAAAGTCGGAAAATCGGGACTTGTGAGTTTATACAAGAATTCTGAATTCAAATTTTTTGAGGTTAGTTGTTTCTGCCGACCATGTAGACTTCAAAAGTGTCTCAAGCTTGGAATGAAAACCACCAGTGAGTTTTTGAAAATGCAGAAATTCAAAAATTCGAAAATTCAAAAATTTGGAAACTCCAAAATTCGAAAATTCAGAGTCTCAAGAATTGGAAATTCAGAAAATCAGAGAATCAAAAATTGGTTAGAAGAAAATTTTCAGACTTCCAACATAACCGAGACTGTTTCTCAGTTAGGCCCAAAAATTCGGCCCTAACCATTTGCCCTTCACCTTCATCTTTCCTCGGACGACCCGAATTTCTAATGTTCTCCGATCTAAAACCGTCAAATCTGCTCACATTCATCGATGTTCACAAACTAGTGTCTGAAGCGTCACGTCTTCTGAATTCTGGATGCGAATCTCCATTAATCGCTGAGAACCAGTTGAAGAAACTGACGATGGGAGCTAATTTTCTGAAGCTAGATGCTGATATTGTCGAATTTTTCGGAAATTTTGGAAAAATGGAATTTGTGGATATCATTGAATATTATTTTGTGACGGTTATAAAATGGATGTTACGGTTTGAAGAATTTCAGAAACTGGACAGAAATTTACAGGTAGGGAGAAAAAACAAAGAAGTTTTGCGTTCTAAAAACACTTCCAGATGACCCTATTAAATTCCATCTGGCATGTATTCATGAAATTTCACAAGTGCTCAGCAACAGCAATGTTTCGAAAAGCTAACCAAAATTCGAGGCCATTTCAAAGAGTTATAAGGAACGTTTGTATGGATTTTGAGAAGGCAAAAATGGACACAACATGGATGAGTGATTATCCACACCAGTATGTTGGAATGTAAGAGTTTTTGTCCGTAGAGCGAATTTGCTAAAAGTTATATTTTCAGCTACATGAAATCGCAAGCCATTCACGAAGAAGACGTCATTGAACTAATTGAAAAACTGAACCCAACAGATGTGGAGCTCACATTTATGTTTGCTCAGACTTGCTTTCAATATGCTGGAAATCGGTTTCAAGGAGAAATTATGAATATTACGGATCGATTCCAACAGATTTTGGCAAACGATTTACACAAATACTATACAGTTGAAATGAGGAATCCGAGATATCTGAAACGAATCGCAGACTTGATGAAAGTCAATAACACAATACAGGCAATCGGACATGCGGAGAAACAGATTGATACAGACATATTTTACAGAGGTCCATCTGGGAAGGCCGTCCTCAACGGGAACTGAATCGAGTGTTTAATGTTCTTAAAATCGGTTTTTCTCATCCTCAAATGTTCGAGGACTCGGCGTTTTGCACTGGGGAAGTTGGTCAAATCAGTTGACTGTGTTGAAAGATTTTACAACCAATATTAACAATTGTTATTGTGATATAAGAAATTTTCGATAATCACCAATAAATGACATAACATGAAGAACTAACAGTTGTGCAAAGAATTCCTCCCGACTTCTGAATTCCCATTTTAGTTTCCACTTCTGTCTTCTGACTCCCAATGCAGATTTTTTTTTTGAACCCTGAACATATGGATATCTGTTTTTCTGAACAAAATATATTAGCTCGATCATATTAACAAAAAAGATTCCAAAGATCTTTCGCCAATTCCATGATAAGAATGACTAGCGAAAATTCAATTTATTTTTATTAGATAAATCTCTTGGAACTTAGCGAGAATATCGAATCAGAGGTGAGTCAGTAAGTGTTCTCACAATGATTAAAAAACTAGGAAAAAAACGAAACGTTCAATGAAATTGGAAAAGTGAATGGTAGCTTGTCAAGATTCCGGTTCGTAATAACTGTGGGCTCACAAGTTCAACTCATTGAGGTGCTTGTATGAACCACATTTCTTCCACATAACATCGCATCTTTAACAGTTTTCTGATGTAGCGAAGATATCAAAATACAAACTACAAAATGAGTTGATGTGTTGGCGGTGTATAATACACCAAGAAGTGATCCAAAATTGGCCCCTATCACACTGCAACAGTTTAAGGTTGATATAGGCGTGTCTGCAGATTCACTTACGTAAATCCTACTTTCTCTACGATATGATCCACAATCGCCGAAGTAACTCCCAATGGGAATAGAGCAACGAAAAACGTCAATGTGAAGTAAAGCACGAGTTGTGTATTGTTTCGTGATTCTTTGTCTTTAGATGATGAAAATAATTTCGAGCGATTTTTATTGGCTTTTTTCACTTCTAAAACTAACATACCTGTTAGAAAAGTGAATAAAACGCACGGAATAGACTGAAAATTATAACATGATATTATTTTGGTTTTGTTTTTGAAAGACTTATAGTGGATATAATCGAATCGATTGTGAAAGTGTATCGTAAGAAAAGGACATGGTCAGGGTCGAATATATCTGAGTACATAAACCCAAATACCGGACTTTTTGTTTCTGAATTGCAAATGCTGATGCTGCCCATTTCAAAAATTACGATAAATAAAGCTTTGAACGCAGAAAACGAAAGGCTAGCCAGAGTTACCCCAGAAATAGTGACATACGCCGTGAACGGTTTTGAAAGGTTATCATAAAACGGATACATCGGATTTCTCACAACTAGAAGACGAACAAGACCAATTGAAAAACGAACCAGATGGTGGTTTGCAAACTCCAATAAATTCTTAATGTCAAAGTTGAAGTGTCTGAATGGTCATTTACAAGAATCCTGGAGTTTCCTTTAAAAAGTGCATTATGGCTGAAACAATTCCCATTGGAAATCCAGCAACAAAAAATGTCAATGTTAAAAAAACACGAGTTTTGTGCATTTTTGTGATTCTTTGTATTTAAGTGATGAAAATAGTTTAGAGCGTATTTTGTTTCCCTTTTTCAGTTCCAAAATTAACAATAACGTTAAAAAAGGGAACAATGTGCATGGGAGAATCTGAAAACTTTGGGAGCGTTTTTTTTATTTTGTTTGAGTTTAGTTGGCTAAGAAAATTTTGTTCCCAGCGACAAGAAACAGAAAAAAAACTCGTGAAGTCGTTTCATTTCATTTTCTTCTAGATAAAGCTTCAGACAGCGAAGTTTTTCATTAAATCACAAAAAGTCTTGTTGAGGAAAACAAAAAGTAAAAAATGTACAGGATAATTCGAAAACAGGCCACAAGTTTCATGACATAAGATTCGAAATATGGTAAATAGCAGTCCATCAAACGTTAGTTCCACATGAGATCACGTTTTTCACCGTTATCCTATATTGGGAACACATCAAAAAACAAACTATGAAATGAGAAGCTGTATTGGCTGTGAATAATATTTCAAGGATATTTCAAGGATATGAAATATTTCAAGGATATGAAATATATGTGACAATGAATCTGGAATGGTTGATTTGGGATTGTCGTTAGGCTCACTTACAAAAATCCTGGTTTTCCAACAAAAAATGACATCATCGTTGAAACAACTCCCAATGGAAACGCAGCAACAAAAAACGCTAATGTGAAACAAAACACGAGTTGCGTTGTTTTTTGTGATTCCTTGTTTTTAGCTGATGAAAATAACTATGAGCGATTTTCACTCGCTTTTTTAAGTTCGAAAACTAACAGTAGTGTTAAGAATGGAAGGAACATGCACGGAATAATCTGAAAGTTTTGTTGTACATAGTGTTTAACCTTCGCCAAACTTACACTGGAAATAATGGAATCGACTGCATTAAAGTACTTTAAAACATGAGAATCAAAAACTATATACGAATATCCTTGAATTGTGTTATTGAATTTGCAAGAGAAGACGCTCTCGAATACTACTATTTTAAAAAACGATGCTTTGAATGCTGACAACGATAGGCTAATCAGAGTAACTGCAGGAATCGTTACATACGACGCAACCGAATTTGAAAGGTTCTCATAGAACGAACTCATCGGATTCCTAATCACTAAAGTTCGAATTAGAGCAATCAAAAAACAGAACCAAATAGAGCATCGTTTCGCAAAGTCCGGTAAGTTCAAAAAAATCAGATTCGTCAAAACCATTCCATAAGTTCTTTCTTCGATGCAGCCTGAATAAGCAATAGCAATTTGAATGAATAAATGATAAAAATTTTCAATCATAAATACGACATCAGAAACTGCAACAGCCGACATTATCAAATATACAGAAGACGTGCTCATAGATTTTCGGGTCAAAATGAAAAAGTGAAATAAGTTTATTAGAGTACAAGGAATGGACATGTAATATTTGAATGGTTTGATTGTTGTGTAGAAACAGATAAGATTCCATTTAAATTCACATAGCTTAAATATTGTGGAATTACTGAAACCGATAAAGTCGTCACGAATACAGAACTCCATTCGATTCTCATAGACTAAAAAGACTTGTTCCAGCTGACAAGGATCACAAAAAATTATATTACGTCGTTTCCCTTCATTACCTCTCTGGAAAGCTTCAAAACAATAAAATTCTTTACTTAGTTACAGAAAATTTATCAAACAGGAAGTGATTCACAAAAAAAAAAACAAACGCTCTGAAACAGAAACGAATTTTCGAAATTTGGTATCGCTCATTTTAATGCAGGGTCGGAAAGAGCAACCACTGTAAGTGGCATTTTTCAATTCACATTTTTTTTCGAATTCAGAGCTTTCTATTTATTGAAATACTTTATTCAAATATCAGAAAACTAGTGGGAAATATAACAAAAAACAACATGATGATACGTTGCAAATGATGAAAAATCTGTCAAAATGACTTCACTGAAACCGATGATACTGTCTGTTTTCTCTGAAAAAACTTGGATGCAACCACTTCAGGTTACTTTTGACTTACGCTTCGACCATCTGCCGGCAGGTTCCTTCCACATGGAAGCACATTTCTCACAGTTCTCCTATATTGGGAAGACATCAATAAACAGACTATGAAATGCGATGATGTGTTGGCGGTGTATAATATTTCAAGAATATACGAAACGTTTGCGAAAATGAATCTGAAATGGCTTTGAGATGATGTGGGAGTGTCTTTAGGCTTACTTACAAAAATCCAGGATTTCCGAGAAAGAAGTACGTCATTGTCAAAACAACTCCTAATGAGACATTAAACATATTCAGTGCCATAGTCACCTATTTTTCCTATCTTCTCAGTATATTGTACACCGTCAACACAGTAACTCATTCCATAATTTGCGTGTTAATGTCTTCACAATATAGAAAAACAGTTAAAAATGTTATTTCATGTGGAAGAAATATTGAATAGTTATTTAAAAATCGATATGCAATAACCAAGATGTGACCCAATCAGTAGACAGTTGAAATATAAGTTCAAACACACAATCCGGAATCAGTCTCGCACTGTAATCCAGCAGCGCAGGAAGAGCAGCCATCTCCTTTTACGTAAATGTCAGAACCGATGTAGTTTCCTCTGAAATCATCAATTTTCGATTTTGAGAACTTTGAATAAAAGTTACTCACGGTTCTCCGTAGCGGCACACCACAGTGGCCAAGTGCTCTTTCATGTAATAGTCCGTTCCACACCTGCCTACTCCACATCCAATCAAACCTGTTTCAGCCCAAACCATCTGAGTAGCGTGTCTGATTGCAGAGGTAAAACCACTTTCATCCATCGTAGTGGAAGTCCATCCGTTGTCTTGGAACTCCTTCTCCCATGATTTTGTGGCGTTTCCTACCTGAATGATCTTATTGTTTTGATTTTGAGACATTCAAAACTCACTAATTCCTCAATAGTGCGAGATTCCATGGACAATGACATGTAGATGTTCTCTCCAAGTATAGGTACGTCATTTTCTCCTGGACAAAAGGTGGCCCAAGTTTGAGCTTCTCTGGCAAGTGACTCATCCCATTTCTAAGCGAAACATTGGGCTCACAAGCATTTCAATATTATTAACTCACCAATTTGCGCATGTTGGCTGCTTTTGGTTTGAGAGTTCCAGATACATTATAGGTTCCCTTTGCAATAGAAGATCTCAATTCGTTATGAGCTTTGAGCATGATTCCTTGTTCATCGGCACTGAACGGGACACTTAACTGAGCATTGACACATCCAAAGACGGTGAGAATACAGAACGCAAACTTCATGATTCAAAATGAAATGTTGGTTGAACCGGAGCGGGCCGTTTTAAATGAAAAATGTTGAACTTTCTAATTTAAAAGGGCATGTTACAAGGCAAAACATTGTATTTTGACTACGTATTGTTTTCGCATTTTTGATAGAGAGTGATAAGGAACCTTGAAGGAGAGCTTATAGTAAAACGTACTCTATGTTATTGTCTAGAGCACTAAGTGTCTTAAAACATTCCAAACACATGCGTAGGAGTCAAACAGTCTTATCTCTGATAGATGTCGTCATTGGGTGTTTTTGTAGTTTGTCATGTTTTTCTGAATTCCTTTGTTTTGAAGTCCGAAACTTGTTCACCTCATGTTATTCATAATTGAACGCAAATCGTATGAATTCGAAGGGCATCAATGGTTCGTAACTATACTTTCCATGAGTTGGTGCATCCACGATCACCCGTCCGACCTCCGTCCAGTGCTCGTCGATCCCATCCCTGATGCTTGCTGTAATAGTTTTAAAAAGCTTCCCGTTATAGGAATTTTTCATTTAAAAACATTTTCATTTCAAAAAACTGAAAACAAAACGATCTACCGTAAAACCTGTAATAGAAGGGCCCCCAACTTTCAATTTTGAGCAAATATGTCTTGGTACCTGTTGGAGATATGAGAAAGTTGTAAACTGATAAATTGCTTGCCATAATATCATATACCTTTTAAATTACATTTTATAAACTTTTATTTATTTCTGATATCCCCTATAGGAACCGAGATAATTGAGCACAAATATGACAGTGTGTGGACCCATCTTATACAGGTTTTACGGTATCTGAACATGAATTTACAGGTCCCAGTTCACAGGTCCGAGTTCATCATCCAGGTAGCTTTGATTGTGTTCTGCTGTTCAATGAAATTGAATCTTGTCTGAAACGAATTGAATTTATCATTATAATTGTTTTTGTTTTGCTATCTAATTTTTTTTCATAATTGGATGACTGGAGATTTCTCCAGATTTCATTTAAATATGGTGTTATATCGCCACCACCTGAGCAGAATTTCTCTCACTATCAGTCTTCGAAAATTCAAACAACTAAGATTCTGATGGAGACCTGTGTTCTTTATGAATATGAGGGTTATAGTAAATCTATAAGTAGTGCCATTTTTTTTTAATTGAGGACATGAAACTCTGCACATTTACTAATGAAGAGACGAGGAAAAATATGAACATAAATACAATGCACGAAAAGCGCGTTCGCATGCGTCAAACATCGCTTGCAGAACTTTTGCCGCACCCTGTAAGCCCCCTTGGTCCACCCGTCACGTCAGAATGCATACTCTCAAACAGCTTGGACTAAAATCATCTTGAACAGCTTGGACTAGAAGCTCTAATTATTAGTGGACCAAAAAACGTTTCAGTGCTAACATCATTTTTTCCCTGGAAACATTTTATTATATTGACATCATTCTAATTTTGGCATGCTATAAACCAAGAAAACAAAGATTTAAACCTCCACCATCACCTAAAAAAATCTGGTATTCAGAAATCCTTTCTTAAACTTTTTTTAAATTCAACATGGGATGTTATGCTGATTACATCTATCGAAATTCGAAACTTCTCACATTTCTTTGGAAAGTTTTTAATAGGTCATGCGAAATTATTGGCTTTCAGCTTTATGACAATGGAATTTTTATATCTGGTCCTTGTATTTTAATAAACATATTCCACATTCTTATCCTCACTCGAAAACCATTAAGGAACTCTCCAATTTACGTAATAATGACTGCAATTGCCCTAATTGATATCTGCTCAGTGCTATTTGATGTCCATCGGGAGGTTGTGAATCTTTTCAAGATTTTGAACATTTGCTATTCTAAGGAGACAGATTATAAAATAATATGGCTCGAGATTTTTATGGATTGCTTTAGAAACTTCACCAGAAGATGTTCAACTTGGCTCAGTTTCAGTATCACTCTTATCAGAACTTTTATTGTAAGAAATCCATTGAACCCGAGATTTGGGATATTTTCAAAGCCAAAAATTGCATATCTTTTTATAACCGGTGTTTTAGTCTTATGTGCTCCAATTCATATTTTCGATTTGTACAAGTTTAAAATAGTTTTGGACAACAAAAACTACAAATTTACACAGTATCCAGAAACAAATATTATTTTTTATTCATGGGAAACAACGGAATTATTTTGGGATCATGATGACGCAGTTTACACTATGCACAAGCTTCTTGATGGATTGATTTCAAAGGTGAGATCCTTTCTTTTGAATTGGCCATGGTGTTGGTGTTGGCTTGGTGTTATTCTTGGCCATTTACCGTGGTGGCCTAGAAAGCTCAATTTGCAAAAGTTAGGCCATCCTGTTTAAATCGGTTGAAAACACGCCAGACGAATATCAGGGCACTTCAAAGTCATTGAACATGGACTATAAAAATTGAGTTGCGAACGTTAGGCCAACCACTGAAAAAATCAAAACATTAGTCTGGTAGACATAGAATTCTTTTAAAAAAACGTTTCAGATTATCCCGTGTGTTTTGTACCAATTGCTACGATTCTACTGGTTCAAGGGATTCGAAAAGCTGGTAGGCAACGAAAGAAAATGGTCTCATCTTCAAGCACAGCAAATTCAAAAGACGCTTCGAAGTTGGTATTAGCTACAACGTTGACGTTTTTTTTCGCTGAACTTCCTTTGGGTATAATTTACATGCTGGACCCGTTTGCAGGATTCAAGATGAAGGGATTTGATATGCAGTGAGTTTTAAAAGAGCCTAATCCGTAGAAAAATACCATTTTCCAGGGTAGTTCTGTCCACTTTATTTCAATTATTCTCTATTATTCTTACTGTCACCACTGCCACCCATATGATCATTTGCCTTCTAATCTCCACCGAATATCGAAAAACTTGTCTTGTTATCATCAGATGTGGATACGTTCCAAAAGTGAGGATTTTAGAATTCATTCAGGGTTTTTCAAAATGTCAAGTTTTTTACAGACCAAAAAACAGACACAATTTGTGGCGCTGAATACGAAAACTTGATCAACTCAATATTAATCCTGAACTGTTTTTGAATAACACCCTTCACGTCATTGTCTGTGATTTGCATAAATTGGAAAACATAACAACGATGACTTATAAAAATAAAACTTATAAAAATGCGAATTCGATATCAGAATTTATAATTTTTTTATTCAAAAATGCTATACCATTTTCTTTTGGCTTTTCTACTTTCCTTTATTAACGCTGAGCCATTAATCGGTGGTCAGGATTTGGAAGACGCTATTGGAGAAGCCGAAGGAGGCATTGGAGGAATCATTGGGACCGAAAACCCTCTCGACGAGCTGATAAGTGGATTTTCAAGAAATAGTAATTATGTTTTAGCCTTTATCTTGGTGTTGCTTGTTTTATGGAAATGATTTTTGTGCCAACTGAAATTTTGTGTGCACTACATATAATACTGTACATTTTAAAGCGAAATAAATATAAATTTCATGTGTATTTTTCACAAACCTACATTTTTTTAAAATTGAAATTGGTTTTCAAGATTGAAACCTAAAACAGAATTCAAAAAGCTCTACAAATATTATATTAATTTTGACTTTAATTGAATACTGGGTTTTAAATCAGACGTCGCCAAGTAACCCGGGGCGACTTGGCCGTCCCAGCTGTTTTCGGGCCTTTGATTTAGAACTGGAAGGTTTAACAGAGTCCAATTAGGAGGTATTTTGTATTAGATCTCGCGAAGTTCTACATTTTACTATTTGATTCGTTCCGAAATTCTAAGTTTGGAACTAGTTCTGAATCCCGCCCAACCACGGATTAAATATGGAAAAATCAGGAAATCAAACTTGATTTGAATTTTTCAAAATTTCATAATAAAGTTTACATCAATTTATCGCTGAATGTTTAGACTGACTGCTACTGGAAATCTTGGATTTCTTCCGATCACTTCTACCTGCAAACAGTAACTTCGATTTTCATAAAATCAGCGTAAACTCACATAACACAGCTTTTCTGAAATCTTTGATGCAAAACATGGCAATCAGCGGTTCTAGAGCCGGGTACACAGCTAAACTAGCTCCAACATAGTTGGCGATTCTTCCGACGTACACTTCAAAAAGCGGAAACGTCATTAATAGTCCCACGGGGCTGTACATCATGCAAAATGGGAGGACTGTCTGAAATTTCTGATTGATTTAGGGTTAGTCTAAATCTAGTTCACCTGGAACGTTAAAGTGACGAATAGTTGATGATTCAACTCCAGTGTTCTGGCACTCATATGATCTTGCGACTCTTTCATTGTCCAGTAAATATTGAAGGCGCAGTAAAGGATAGTAGAGAAGCAGACACTCTGAAAATAATTCTTGAAGTTAAAAAAAATTATTCCAAAAACTCACAATAATCCCAACACACCCAACCGCTGATAAACAATCTAGAATTTTCCATTTCCTTATACCATTTTGATTTGTTGACCAGTACATTGGAGCAATAAATGGAACCGTTTCAGAGTCTTCATTGTAAACTGTTCTCAATTCTTCTCTGAAAAAAAAAATAAATCTAGCTTTTAAAAATTATTTAGAATCACTCACTTCATGAATTCCTGCTTTTCCACTGTATTAGCCATCCCGTAGAACACAAATTCGTACCAAAGAAAGAAGCAAATAACACACGGGACAAAAATCAAGCCAAGTTTGAAACCAGAAAGCTTTGATAATGTATCTGGTCTGAAGATAACATTTTAAATTTGAGTTCAACTTAGGAAAATAATTGGGTACCTGCAAATTGCCACATATCGATAGAAGAATTGTGCAGCTAATAAAGATATAACTAAAGCAAATGAGCCGCAGTATAAGTCTGAAAACTTTGAACTACTTAAATGTTTTAAAGTTATAAGTATTTACAAGTAATTTCCATTCCAATCCACTTGTAGGGTTTGAGTGGGCTATCCATATAAACTATGAACACTTGTCCTTTGATGTGCATAACCTGGAAAATTCTGAATTTTCGAAAAAAAAAATCCGTTGTTGACAAACCGGTTGAGTGAGCACTTCGATCCATGAATAGATAAGAGAGTACATCGCAAAAACACACATGACATGTCTATAGGATCCGAATAACTTTCCAGCTTTAGTAATGATAAGGTAGACTAAAACTGAATTGGTTATTTGAGCAAAAAAGAAGCCGGCATACTGAACGATTTGGAGCCAGAGCATTTTCTGGCACAATTTGGAAAAATCGGGAGTTTTATATGCAAAAAAGTTGTGACGGATTAGATGAAGCATATTTGATTCTTCTTTTGTGTACATACGTTTGATCTTATCTTCATTTCCATCAATTTTCAAAAATGTGAAAAATCTATTTATCAATTTAATCCGTCTGAAAAATGATTCCAACGGATTACGCTCATTTTATTAGTCACAGATTAGTATTTTCAATTTCATGTATTCCTGTTAAACTGGAAAAAAGATTAGATGATGTTGACAAACCAATGTGACCATGAACAGGTTTGCCAGCCTAGAGAATTTCGAAGGATCCCTCAGGCTCAGCCCACTGCGCTTGACCCCTAAAAATTTTTTTTATTACAACTTATTCCCATTATTTATCCTTGTTTTCAATGCATTCACTCAAAACCCTTATTCAAAGTGTCATTGAGTTAGAACTGTTTACTTGTCACACAGCTTATCTGCCCGCTTTCGGATTCAACACTCGCACTAGGTGCCATTCTCTCCAGATAACTCAAAATTTGGTTTATATAAGCAACTCATAGAGTCGAACATGTGGGACAAATATTTGAGGCGCCGCGTCTTTACCAGCCGAGCTACGGTGGCAAATTGGTCCGCCAACCGCCTATAACTTTTAGTCGTCACGTCAGACACAGTACTTCAAAAAAACTCCGAATGATATCTTGTCACCCCTTCTTCAAAAAATTTGTCACTCTCTGAACTTTCCATTCTTTCAATCTACTGATTTCATTTTCTTCTTGACCAACCCACATACATTTTTCTGTTCGTTCTTTTGCACCATGCAACGAGATCTAATTGCAAGTGTTGAAAACTGCTTATTTTGACTCCTGCTTATTGGCAGAGAATTGAATTTGTTGCTTCAGTCTAACAATGAGAACCAAAACTTCTACTGCAAATCCTTTTTACGACTACATCCAATGGGATTTGTATTCTGATCAGTCTGAAACAGAGACCACCCCTCTGTACTATGGGTATCACTACTACGAGCTTTACGGTCATTATGACTTGGAAACTGATTTTGCATTTGATTTCTTCAAAAGCAACTTTGAGCCTCTTAGATACCTCGTTCACGCTACGACAACAGCTTATGAAATCGCTTCCGTGATAAATTTCTTAGTGAATATTCCTCATTTATTGATTTTACTTCAACGAGAATTACGAGCCAATTTGGTGTACATTACAATGATCGATATCTGTCTTTCTGATCTGGCGCATTCGCTTGGAGTCATGTCTTACAAAGCGGTGGAATCCCAAATTTTTTCGCAATTGAACGATGTGATTTTGGTCAACCGTACAGTGTTGTGATTTTGAAAATAACATCCAAGTCTCTTCAAGTGTTCAGTCGAAGATGCGCCGCATTTCTAGCCCTCTTCAAGGCTGCGTTTCGTGCGTTCTCCGTTTTTTTCCCAATGAGTTCTTCTGCCAACTTTTTGATGAAAGGAAAATCAGCTGTCCTCGTTGTTTTATCTTTCTCGCTTGTTTGCATAGTATGGAGCTCATATTATTTCGTGTCGTGTAAAGTTGAAACTGTTGCTCAGTTAGTTTTTCAAATAATTTGATTTCAAAGCATCGGTACTTTTTCAGATGTAACCCAACTGTCTCAGAACGCATCCCCTCGTATGCACCCTACCGTTTTGTAACTGGAGAACAGTGGGAGAGAACTTTCCGTTATATGAATGGATATCTCTGTATGCGTCAGCATTATTTATGTTTTCGTAACCGCTGCACTTGTTTTCGCATTGTGTCAGGCTAAAAAGCGAAGAAAAGGTTTGAAAAATGACAAGTGAGTTTCCTTCCGACCCGGGCCGTGAACAAACTGTCTGGTCTTCCGGGGAAAAGTCCCGTCACCCAGAAACTTCTAGGGCCCCTAACCAATAAGCGGCGACCCTGTTTTCGACACCCTTGCTTCCGTTTCAGACCTAATAACACATCAGAATTGATCGTAGTGATGGCTGTATCCCTGTTCCTATCTGAAGCAACATATGGTGCCTTATTCATTTTCACTTATTATTTCAATGATTTCGAGGACCAGTGAGTTTTTTTATTAGCTTTTTAAACCTGAATATAGCATAATTCAGAATCATGCTGGAAGATTTTGAAGTTGTTGCTCTTATTTTCTCTATGATAAATTCTACAACTCATTGTATTATTTGCGTTTTCATGTCTTCACAGTACAGAGACACTATCAAAAGAATGGTCGGATGGAAAGAGAAACAGAAGATGGATAATGTTAAGGTAATTATGTTGGTGTTGGAAGATTAATGAATGTTCTGTTTCAGAATCTGATTGTTGTCGAATCATCAGCACATCCCTCGACTGCACGTACCTCGAAAACGTCAAACGATTCGAAGAAGACATTTTGAGAAAATTTCAGTATTTCATTTTGATTTCTGAATAAACTATATTCAAAAACCTTTGAATCATTAGGAGACATGAAAAATGTGTTTCTCGAATTTACGTTCATATAAGCCCTCGAGAAGTTTAAATTATGAGCAAACTCACGGTACCTCCAACGTTAGGTCTACAAGTTCAACTCCTTGAGAGGCTGATTTCTATGAGAAAATCACGGAATTATGTTTAAGAATTGATGAATAGTCTGTTTCAGAATCTGATTGTTGTCACATCAGCTGCAAACCCTTCCACTGCTCAAACCTTGAAAACTTCAAACAATTCAAAGAAGACATTTTGAGAAATATTAAAGGAATGAACCAAATACCGTATTTCCTCTAATAGAACCTCACCCAAACCATCTACTTTGAGCTTAATTATCTCGAGTTCTGTGAACGATATCAAGAAGTGGTCAACTAAGAAATTATTAATCATAAATATACCCATATTTTATCAGTTGACACATATTTGACATCTTTCACAGAAATCGAGATAATTGAGCTCAAAGTTGACAGTTTGAGTGGGCTTCTATTAGAGGATATACGTTAGCTTTAATCCTTCATACTGTGATGAATTTTTTTGATTTGTTGCGTGAACATTTTAAATCCTATCACAATTTTTCAGAAATGACTTGATTCCTCTTTTGTGCACATATTACATGGAATTCCTTTGAAAATCAAAAATAGAAATTTAGAACATGACGAAATCTACAAACATGATAAGACCCCCCCCCCCTCTTTGAAAAATTTGTCACTTTCTAAATTTTCAATTCTTTCGATCTACTGATTTCATTTTATTCCTGATCAATTCACATACATATCCTTGTTTACTCTTTTGACACCAAATGTCAAGCAACAGGATAATTGCATGTTAGATTTGAAAACTTCTCATTTCGGCTCGTGCATTCTGAAAGCAAAAAAAATTGATTTCATTTCTTAGTATGAAGACCAAAACTCCTACTGCAAATCCTTTTTTTACGACTACAGCCAATGGGATTATCATAATGCTCCGTCTTGAACAGAGACCGCCACCCTGTACTATGGATATACCGAATCCGAGATTTACGACGAGTATGACTACGAACAAGATTTCGCATTTGGTTTCATCCAAATCAATTATGACCTTCTTATAAATCTCGTTATCGCCTTAACAAGAACTTATGAAATCGCTTCCGTGATAAATTTCTTGGTCAATATTCCTCATTTATTGATTTTACTTCAAAGAGAATTACGAACCAATTTGGTGTACATCATAATGATTGGTATATGTCTTTGTGATCTGGCACATTCGCTTGGAGTTATGGCTCACAAAGCGGTAGTATCGGAAATGTTTTTCCCAATTGAACTATGTTATTACGGTCAACCATACATTGTTGGGATTCTGGCAATAACATCCAGGTCCCTTCAAGTTTTCAGTAGAAGATGTGCGGCATTTCTGGCTCTATTTATCGCCGCGTTTCGTGCGTTCTCTGTTATTTTTCCAATGAGCTCTTCTGTCCATTTTTTTAATGAAAGGCAAATCTGCAATCCTTGTTGTTTTATCTTTCTCAATCGTTTCCGGAGCATGGGGAATGTATTATTTCGTATCGAGTAAAATTGAAACTGTTCCTGAGTGAGTTGTTCTCCAAATCTCAAAACAATTTGTATTTTTCAGATGCAACCCAATTGAACCAGGATACCGCACCACTTACGATCCCTACCGGTTTGTAACTGGAGAACAATGGGAGAGAACATTCCGTTATGTGAATGGATACATTTCTGTTAGCGTTAGCTTCATTTATATTTTCGCTACCGCTGCACTTGTTATAGCATTGTATCAGGCTAAAAACGAAGAAAAGGCTTGAAAAATGACAAGTGAGTTTGTGGGTGTCAAAAAGAGGTTGCGACCGCGGCCTGGCTTATAGATAAATTGGCGTGGTATGAAAGCTTTCAGCAACCTTGATTTTGTTTCAGACCCAATAACACATCTGGATTGATTGTTATGATGGCTGTCTCCCTGTTCCTATCTGAAGCAACATATGTGCCTTGTTCATTTTCATTTATTATTACAATGATTTCCAGGATCAGTAAGTTCTCTCCTCTATTATTTTTATTCAAATACCACATGATTCAGATTGATTTTGGAAGATTTTCTTGCACTTATTTTCTCCATGATAAATTCTACAACTCATTGTATTATTTGCGTTTTCATGTCTTCACAGTACAGAGACACTATCAAAAGAATTGTCGGATGGAAAGAGAAACAGAAGATGGACAATGTTAAGGTAATTATGTTGGTGTTGGAAGATTAATGAGTGTTCTGTTTCAGAATCTGATTGTTGTCGAATCATCAGCACATCCCTCGACTGCACATACCTCGAAAACGTCAAACGATTCGAAGACATTTTGAGAAAATTTCAGTATTTCATTTTGATTTCTGAATAAACCATATTCAAAAACCTTTGAATCATTAGGAGACATGAAAAATGTGTTCAACTCCTTGAGAGGCTGATTTCTATGAGAAAATCACGTTTTACCACCAAATCCCATCACTTTGAATGTATTTTCATCTTTATGATGTTTTTCGCATAAGCATAACGTTTTCAACAAACCAACTTTAATTATATATTCTTTTACATTCGTATAAATACTTGCATGTGATAACCAGAAAGCAGTTTTTCTTAAATTTCTCTCAAAAATGAAATTTCCTACTACCACTGTAGATCCATACGACTTGTACGACAATGATTTTATCTACAGTGACCCGTTTGGGCAGGGCTATATCAATAATCGAGATTACTTCGTTCAAGTATTTTTTGGGTCTGATCCATATGATTTTGTCGATATCACCTGGACTGCTAGACAAATCTATGACGTCGCAGTTTTTGTCTGTTTCTTTGCGAACCTTCCACATTTGTTCTTCTTGACGCGCAAAGAGTTGAGAAGCAATTTAGTGTACATCATCATGATTGGAATTTGCTTATGTGATTTGCTGCACGCGCTTGCTAAGATGAGTTCAATCTTCATGACTTGGCATATTATTTATCCCCAAGAGAAATGTCCGGCCACTTATCCATATTATCACGTGTGGATCGATGTGATGGCTATCACCCTGCAAATTATGTGTAGAAGATGTTCTGGACTTTTGGCTCTGTTCATGGCAGGATTCCGAGCATTTTCTGTTATGTTCCCTATGAGCAATGCTGTCAATTTCCTTATGAAAGCGAAATCTGGTTTTCTTATTGTACTGCTGATAGCCATGAGCTGCGGTGGTTGGAGTTCGTGGTACTACAACGCTACAAAAATCGTTAAAGTCTTGGAGTGAGTTTTGTTTGTTATTAAGACAAGTGAAAAAACCAAGGAATTTCAGTTGCACATATATACAAACCACAAGTTATGTGCCTTATCGACAGGAGATTACTTCTGACGAAGAGAATAGATTCCGTCTATATGACGGATATTTAGCTGCTGTCGTGGTTCTACTCTATGTTATTGTCACTGGAGCACTTGTGATTGCACTATTTCTGGCTAAAGAGAGAAGAAAGAATTTGAAGAATCAAAAGTGAGTAGTTACACAAATTTGGAAATCCACTTTTTGGTATTCAGAGCTCCCAACACGTCATCACTTGTCATTGCCATGGCTATCTCCCTTTTCGTTTCCGAGTTATCATACGCAGTTTTATTTGTTGCTGGATTTTTTCTGCTCCGCGGTTTTGATGATCGGTACATGACATCTTGTTACATATTTCTAGTACATACATTTCAGACCTGCAATCATTCAACTCGAATCGATGGCTCTCACGTTATCCATCATCCACTCTATCACCCACTGTTTCATTTGCTTTTTCATGTCATCCCAGTACCGGGATACCGTCAAACGATTCATATGGGCACCTAAGGCTAAAGACGTGAAAGTGAGTGAAATTTAATTGTGGAAAACTTTAAACAGAAGAAAATTCTAGGTTGCAGTTGTCGAGGCTTCGAGTGCTCATCCGTCAACAAAGAACACTTCGAAAACTTCCAACACTTCGAAGAAAACTTTCTGATATTTTGAATTTGAAAACTGTATCTTCAATCTATGTCGTTGATGAATAAAATTTTAATCGTCATGGAAATTCGTTCATCGCCCCTACACGGTAGGGTTCCGAAAAAAGCTCAGTCATGAGCTTAAGCTCACGTGGGCTCATCATGAAGCAGGCTCATATGAGCCTTTTTCGACTCCACGTCAATGTTCATACAGGCTCATTTGACGAAAATATTGATTTTGAAAAAAGCTCATCGAGGCTCATTTGACGAAAATATTGATTTTGAAAAAAGCTCATCGAGGCTCATTTGACGTAATTATTGATTTTGATAAAAGCTCATCGAGGCTCATTTATATAAAAGCTCACGTTGACTCTTTAAAAAAAAGGCTCACGGAAGCATAGTTCAAAAAATACACTAGACAAGTGTTCACGTGGCAAAAAATAATAATAAAAACCAACACTTCAGCCAAATATTCAAACAATCAAGTGCCCTGATGACCTAGAAACCATGGTGGCCTTAAAAATAAATGGTGACCTAGAAAACTTATCTTGCAAAAAGTAGCTCATCATGTGAAAATGACCTAGAAATCATATCAGGTGAATATCAAGCCATTTAAACGCAATTTTCACTTGGTGGCCTAATTTTTTCAAGTGAGTTTTCTAGGCTATCAAGTTTTATGGCCCAGAAATGGTCTGGCATGCACCTAATATGTTTTCTAGTCCACTTTGACACAGTGGCCTAACTTTTCCATCTTAAGTTCTTTAGGCCACCATTTTTATGGACCATAACTCGTCTAACATTCACCTGATAAGGTTTCTAGCTTATTTGAACACAATGGCCTAAATTCTACATTTCGAGTTTTCTAGGCCAAAACTTTTATGGCCTATCAATTGTCTGGCATTCACCTCGTTTGTTTTCTCGGCAACCATATTGAAATTGCTTTGAAAACTCCATCAAAAAGTTAGGCCACCATATTAAAACGGTGATTATTTCATGATATCAGTGACTTTTTAAAAAATTATTTTCCTTTCATTATGGATGATGAGCCATAATGAACTTTTTATTGAAAATCACAGAATGAGCCTCATGAGCCTTTATGAGCTTTTTGATAAAACTAAAAAAAAGTTACGTGAGCTTTTTTGTTTTTTTCAAAAAGCTCATTCAAAATCAAATGAGCCTTATTGAGCTATTTGAAAAGCTCATTTTCACGTAAAAGCTCATTCTGCTTTTTCAAATTCGGAACCCACCCTACAGGAGTTGAACTTGTGATCCTCTTTAGGCGTTTCGCGCTACTACCAGCTGAGCTACTTTTCATATGTCTCCCCTTCTTTCAAGGATCGGTCCAACTTCCGCCACAGTAGTTCAGCTGGTAGCTACCAGTGATGGAAGGACACGCATTTTCCCGAAATACGGAAAACGGAAACGGAAACGGAAAGGGGATTTTTTTTTCGCGGAAAACGGAAACGGAAAAAAACGAGTAAAAACGGAAAACGGAAACGGAAACGGAATTGTTCATTTTTTCCGCGGAAACGAAAACGGAAAAAAAATCTTCAAAAATCGGGCGGAAAACGGAAAACTAAAACGGAAACGGAAATGGGAATTACTGTTTTTCGTCAATTTTTCATGTTTTTTCCCATCAAACATGAAAATAAACACTTTTTAACGTTTGAAGACTATATTTACCTCACTTTCCATGCTTTTTTTCGAGCCAGTTTCAGTTCGATGTTTTCGTCAACTTTTACATTTTTTTTTCCGTTTCCGCTGAAAAAAAATTGACGATTTTTCCGGAAAACGGAAATGGAAACAGAAAAAGAATTTCACATTTACGGAAACGGAAAAGAAAACGGTTTTTTTCGTGGAAATGGAAACGGAAAAAATTTCTAAAAATCGGGCGGAAAACGGTAAACGGAAATTCCTCACATCACTGGTAGCTACGCTACACCTCTAACGATGGGCCCACAACACTTCAAGAGGCTTATGGGAACAAAATTCCGAGAAATATGTTTTTCATGTCCCCTCCACCTTTAACAAAAAATACATAATCTACAAATTCCAGTTTCCTTTGAAGTAAACTAGAAACACGACTAGACTTTATTATTTGACGTTCAGAACAAGCAGAATATTAAATTTCTCCTCACCGAATTTTTGGCTGTCCTTTTGACATTTTTCGTTTTTAGACAACTACATGCTAAATCCTACTTGCTATTTTTCCGTTTTTCTAGTTTCCATAGTTTCTTGCTTCTACGAAAATAACTCGAACTACGGTAACAAGAAAAAAACAATGTAAAAAGTGAAAATGAAAATCATTCAGAACCAAAATGGATATACTTTCTGAATAATCAGAAAAAATTGATGAGCGATTTGTTTGATGGATACGATAATTCTGTGTCGCCAGTTTATTCACAAGGTCTAGCTTTTAAAATCAAACTTCTATAATATCGCTTTTTTCAGTGGACCCATCGAAACCCCTCGGCTATGACCTGGAAGCTCCGAAACGATTCAATTACACATTATTCTTGTATTTCGTGAAACTTGTCGAAGTCGTTGAACCAGAAGAAAAGGTCACACTTGTTCTGGAGATATCTGAAGCTTGGTTTGACCCCAGACTTGCGTGGGAGGCGAACTCGTATAACGGTATCAATACGCTTTACGTACGACAGGAAAAAGTTTGGTCCCCCACACTGAACTCATATAAAGTGTAAGTTTGGCAAAGTAAAAGTTGTTGAACCTTCTTTCAGAAACGATATGAATGACCTGCGTGACCAAGACTTTCGTATAGTGTCCATTGACTCTTCGGGACGTGTCAATACCACCACATCGCTGAGAATGTCCATCAACTGCCCATTGAATGTTGCGGTATTCCCATTCGATTCTCAAACCTGTGTAATGCAGTTCACCATGCCCTTATTCCCAATTCATTTTGTTGAACTTCACACCGAACTTTTTGATGGAATCGCCAACTCAACTGCATGGTCGTTAATGGGAAACGCTGAATGGGATATGATCAATTTGACAAATCGAGTGGAAATTCTGGCTTATGGAGATTATCAGTTGGCTACTTTTGAGATAACGATTCGACGAAATCCAATGTACTACATTTATATGATTGTGCTCCCTTCATTTATCATCAACACACTATCGATTATAGGGGTGTTTATGAGAAAGGCGGATAGGATGTCAAAGGTAACTGTTCATAAAAACATAAATTTCAAGCTTATGTTTCAGCTGAACGTCGGTCTCACTAACATCATGACAATGACTTTTATCCTAGGAGTCATGGCTGACAAAATTCCAAAAACCGGATCTATCCCACTTCTAGGCATTCACATAGTCGTCAACCTGTTCATTACTGTAGCAGCCGTTGCAGTTACTGTATTCATTGAGAAAATAAAGAAGGTTGTTTTGCCGAGATTAAGAAAACGAAAAGGATTATGGAGGTGAGCGAGTGGATTTTGTGGTTTTAATTTATCTAAAATTTCAGCTACAAACTGGAGGGAATTCTTGAAGATTGGATGGATATCATATGTATGATAGTGTTGGAAACAATCAGCTGTGTTAATTTCTTCATCATAATTGGGTTCTGGATTGCTAATTCTTAATACTCGTATTGAAAAATATATACATATAAGTTTTTGAAAATGATAATGTAATAAATTTCTTTACACATTGTTATTTATTATGTCGTCGATGCTGGAATATAGTCCAGATCCCATGAAGAGCCAGCCGATAACAAATAAGCACACATTGATGATCAACTTTTTGTAATATTGAAGCATTTCTCCTTGTTTTTTGAGAACTGGTAGGAAAACCATGGAATCCAGAAGAGAGGGTAGAATCAGTGAAATCAAAAGGCCAGATGTGATGCCAACGAGTGGAATGATTTGCATTAGATTTGGAACAACCAGTGCGAGACACACTGAAAAGAGAAAACGAATTAAAACTAGAAAACAGGAAACTTACATGAGATGAGCATTAATCCGAGACGGAGAGCATACGGTAGAAGCCTATTGATCAATTTTCGGTCTTCAGAGATTTTGGATCGAACACTAGGGAGGAGCATTTCGACAATGACGAATAGTTGCATGGCACTTCCGAAGAATATTTTTAGAACGAGAAGTGCTTTGATGGTAACCGACAGCCTGGAAAACATGGGATTGGTGGTGAAATACGGTTTTTTCATAGCAAGCAGAACAAGATCATGAACCTCTTTATTCCCACTTTTGACCACTTTGACCCAATTCTCGGTTCCTATTGAAGATAATTAAAAGTGAGAAACTGGCAAAACACATTTTGTTAACAGACCACTTTTCAATATCATTCATACGAGCTGAGATACAGTCGGTTGAAGGTGCCCCGCGTAGCACATCTGATAGGGGCACGAGCGGTCTGGCCTAACTTTCACAAGTCGGACTTTTTAAGCCACCAACTTTATGACCTAGAATTGGCATGCTGTTCATATGGTGTGTTTTCAAGGTTATTTTAACGTAGTGGCCAGGGCTGTGCCACGGCCGGCTTTGCCTAGGCCTGAAAAAGCCGCGGTCTCAGAGGCCTGAATACAAAAAGCCGCGGCCGGCCGCGGCCAGTCCAGGCTAGCCGCGCGGCTTTTTGGAAAAGTTTTGAAAATAAATTTCTTCCTGAATATACTTGTTTTCCGAAAAACAACTAACAGAGGGACGGTTTTGAGGTACACAGTCTGGAATCCAGTAAAAAGGATCAGGATAAAATATTTTTCAAGAATTCCGGAATACGAAATACGGATTCTGCGGTCTGTCGTCTCTAATTACTAGCACTGTGATAATTTTTATCAATATAGACATTTTTCAGATAAAAACATAAAATTTTAACACTTTCCGAAAAAAAAACATTTTCCAAAAAAATTTTAGTATTCAAGATTTATGTTCAATTTTTTGTACGAAAGACCGAAACACAATTTGCGAACACACATTGAGAAATTTGCACAGGGATAAGTAGATTATACGTTCCCAATCCTTCAAAAAAACTAGGTTTCATTTCACGGGATTTTATCAGGCTAGCCGCGGCCGGCCTCGGCTTTCTCGGCTTTCTCGGCTAAAAAGCCGCGGCTGGCCGCGGCTGGCCGCCATTTTGCACAGCCATGGTAGTGGCCTAACTTTCAAATTTTGATTTTTCTAAGCCACCATGGTCATTGATCTAGGAACGACCCGATATTCACCTAGTGTGACCTGGTCGACTAATTTTGGCAAGTTGAGCTTTCTAGGCCAAGAAAACTAGACCAGCATGAAAAACGACTCACACAGAATTTGGTAGATTGAGTGTCAAACTTCCTTGCACGTTTGGACCAAACGTAACGTAACCAAAAAACCCGAGAAATGCGTATAAAATAGTCACAAGATTCATTGATGTCGCCAAAACTCCTGTGATTCCACCCATATCTTTTGGATGCTTCAACGAGTTCTCCAATGGCAAAACCATTGCCTGTCCTTCAAATGAATAGATTAATGCTCCGGCCGCAATTGAAGTTCCCTCAATTCCAGTGAAACTGTCCAGCTCCCATGTTGGATACCATGTATGAACCATCAGCTCCTAACGAAAGTTTGGAATCAAAATATTATTGAAAATGAGTTCAAACCTTAGTGATCAAAATGATTGCTGCGAATATAATGACATTTCCACACAGACACAAAATTGTTATTAGTTTCATGTGCCCAATGAAATTCAGAATCATTTGTGGAACAAAGAAAATTAGAATCATGACTCTCTTCGAAAATGGTGGTGGAGAACCACTGATGAACTCCCAGATCTGAAATACATGGTTCTTTAAAATGAAAGACCTTTCCATTTGAAGTTTTTGATACCTCCGTGATATGTTCAACAGCAAAAACCAGCGAGACCGTAATAACGCCAAGTTGGAAAGCAAGAAGACAAGAATTCACTAGGATTCTGTAAAATGTTTCCCTTTTAAGTTTTTCGAGATTTAAACACCCTACTTTGCCAGTTTCGCATATCTTCTAGCCCATTTGTAAGAACTTAAAATTGCCGCTTCTGCCATTTCACCGTAATCCAAACTTTGATCTCCATTTCTAAATAAACCAATGATGAACCCTAACTTCATAGAATTCTCCTCACGATTTTGCTAAAAATTGAGAGCATTTGACTATTTTGCTCATACTGTAGAGACTTAAAAATCCGACGATGAATACCAAAATAAGGCCGCCCTGAAAATTACCAGATGATATAACATCCGAGAAAAAACAATTGTCACCCATAGACCGGCTTGTTTAAAGCTGGCCGAAAGCGAGAAACATCCTGGACCGATCATGCCACATAGAAAATTGATAAGCCCTGAAGTAGCCCTGTAATGATTTTGTTCAAATTCCTCTTTCATTTTGTTGTTGACATTCTTTTCGCCCAGATGAAAAACTGTATTTTAATTCTAAACAGAATTGTGACCTGTTTCTGAAAATCAGTCATAACTCTGCTCAAAATTGAACTTTCCGTTTGATTTAAAATGGAAGAGATTGAGCTAGAAAAGGGCTACATACTATATGAAAATTGACTGGGTTTCATAGTTCCTATTTTCAGAATACTGTATTTTTTTAATCTAGTCGAGTTTCACATCACTTTGTAGCCCTTTTCAACCGCTTTCCCAATTTTAGAGCTGGAAAAGAGCTAATAATATACAACTCAACTGGGCTTCATCATTTCTAGTCTCCAGAATATTGGATTTTCAAATCAAACTCACGAAATGCCCTTTTTCCTTGAAACCGTGGTACTCATGGCTGGCTTTACGTCACACCGACCATTCGAATTTTCCGCTTTTTTCGTAGCGCCATAGTCATCCGTACGACCAACAATGAACGGCATTGTTTTGATTTCTATGAGAATTGTTTTGATTTTCCATTGTTGACTGATTTGGGAATAATTCAGCAAAAACAAGCGGAAAAGAGAGTGAATGAAAAATACAGGGCGATTTGGAGCCTAAAATGACCAAATTTGGGACGGATTTTGAATTAGGAAGAAGGAGAAAAGAGACTGAAAGAGATGGGTCTGCAAAAAACTGTTTAGGAAAAGTATTTTTTGTATTGAAATTGTGACTGCCTGCTCATCATTTCATTACTCTGATCACTTACCACGACCACCAGTAACCAACTGATAAGAGTCGTAAACAAGAGCAGGTCATATAAAATTATTGACGGGAAGTGCTTAAAGGTGGGGGACGATTTTTCGTAGGATTTTTGTAGCCAGGGTATGCATTCTACCGTAACGGTGTACAACGCTTAATGTCACTCTGCGTACAACTGCTGTATATTTACCATCGAGCGCCCGCTCCACTTTTGCCCGCGTGGCTCAGTCGGTAGCGGCGCCGCACCTTCAATACTCGCCTCGACAAGCTCAATTCCTCAAGGGGCATGTTCAAACAGAATTTCGAGAACATTATTTTTTTCATGTTTCCCACCAGATACTGGAAACCCTCTTTTAAGATGTATTCCAAATTTGAGCTCGTATATCTCGCTTCCTGTGAAAGATATCACAAAGTGGTTAACTGAAAAAATGTTTATCATAATTAAAAAAAAATTGCCAGTTAAAACTTTTTGACATCTGTCGCAGGAATCAAGATAATTCAATTCAAAGTTAGAAGTCAAAGGTCACATTCTGTAAGTGTTTACGGTTTATTCGAAAGTGTTCATATGGACAAAACAACACAACAAGTTTGAACCAGATTTACAAGCAGTTTGAATAAATTGAAATGCCAGCAACAACTCGGTAAAGATCGGTTGGCGATCATTTTTAAAAAAACGTAGTTGATCACATACAAAATTGATCAGAAATCATTAATATTTACTGATAGATTTTTATCACTATTGGAGTCACTATATTGGAGTCATTGTAGGTCACAAATACTTATTGAAAGTTAGAAAGCAAACATGAATTTTCACAGTCACCTGGGGCACGAAAATATTTAAAAAATTGTATTTGTTGTCGTCTGCGTCTCTTTTCTGGGAAAAGCATGGTTTGTTTAGAACTTGGTTCTATTTATCTTACTCTAAATTAATGAAATGGAATCATAGATGAAAAATATATAGTGATAAAAAATCAGAGCAAAAAAGGGATTTCTGAGGAGCCAGATAAACGGTGACAAAGATTACAATTAACTAGAATACAAAAACAAGAACGAAGCTTGCAAACAAGACACTTTCTAGATTGCTGCGTCTCTTCCGGCCCCTTCAATCTCTCGTATGGACCCTCCATCCTTCGCGCTCTCCGGGACCCATCTTCATCCTCTGTCTCTCTTATTCCACTACTTCACAACATACTCTCTCCATGGCACAAAAATTTAATGGATTGGCCATGTGGCATTGGTCATTGGTCAGTTGGATGCGAAATTCAACCAGAGATCATTATAAATTGTTCAATTTGAATCGTATCTTGAATACTTAATTAGAGCAAATTGCATATGATTTTGTAGCCCGATTTGAGCTCTATAATTTCCATTTTTAAGCCAAGTTATGAACCTTTGAATTTTCAGGTCCTTGGTCTTTGAATGGGCGGAATCGTCTCGAAAAATAAAATTGTTCTTCCTATAAAAAAATTCATGAAAAAGAAACACATATTGGAGGAAAAAACCGGTTTTCATGCTGAAAAAAAAGTAATAACAATGATAAGAGGGAACCATTTTAAAGATGTTCAATCAGAATCAATTCAAATGTGAAAAAATAAGAATTGTCAAATAGGAGTCCTTATCAATTGTGGCAAATAATACATATCATAAGTCGGAATCATTGTTTGGCAGGGAATAGAAAACCGGTTTGTTGGTCCAGACTTCTTTTATGTTTTCCATTGGGAAAATTAATAGAATGGTTGAAGGACATCTCTCGTAATTAGCTCTGGTAGCGGAATTTCAAGACGAAGTTGAAAATTTTTGATTCCATTCTAAAAATCACAAAAAATTCAAAATTCATTTTATTTCAGTTTCGAAAAGAAATGGTAAGACCAAAACTTGTGTCCTTCTTATTTTCAGTTTAAACCATCAGAAACGTCCCAAATGATTGTGTTTCTCGTGGATCATCGCACTGCATGAGTTGTCTGATTTCAGTTCCAGAAGTTGAAAAAAAATATTTTGAATTTCAATTTCTTCAGAACACAACTCTCATTTCTAGTTCCTTCGCCAATATCGGTTATTAAGTGGTAGAATGCTCGCCTGCCACGTGGACGGTCCGGGATCCCGGATAATGCTAGGCCTTGAGGTCCAGCTCCGTTACAGGCTCCAGGACATTGTCCCGGATCCCTCCCCCTCTCTGGAGCCCAGAGAAGGGGAGAACTGATTCTTCTTCCACTTTTCTTTTCCTTTATAGTACTCTCCATGAGGTCCATGGGACGTCTAGGGTCACAAGCTTCGAAACCATTTTACGTAGCCTGGAACTTTCAAAATTAAATTACTTTCCAAAAGATTTTTTTAATTCACAAAAATTTTTTTCCATCACGTTTAAATAACACCTGAGCACTGGGGGTTCAAAGAGCCGGTCAGAAATCGCGCCACAGTAACAGTGAGATTTTAGAAAAAATTCGTTGGCTGAGGATCATACAAACGTTGAGCGAAAAAAGCACGCGTGGCAACGCGCTGATTAAAATTAAGTAGGTCAAATCCACGTTGACTTTATCAAGTCCACGTCGTCGAAATTATTCAATTTCCTTTGGCCTGAAAATTACCGTAAAACCTGTAATATAGCGCCATGACGTTCTATTTTTCGGAAGGGTATTTTGGGGTGATGCTAGGTCACGAAAATTGGCTTCCTGCTTGATTATCAGGGTATGAAAATTGGAAATGATTTGAATTCAATAGATTCTTCTGATACTCTATGAATCAAGCAAAACAATTAGTTTTGAAACCAACAATCATCTCATAACGGTGGCGTTGTATTAGAGGGGGTCTTCTAATACAGGTGGCATTATATTACATTTTTTACGGTATTTGGGGCCCGATGTTTGACCCGTTGCTTGAGTTTTCGATTTTTGAAATCTGTGAAAGTATTCTAAGAATATTGTCCTTTTGACCCTAATAATTTTTTTCCAGTTCAAGATATTAAATTTTTTTTCAAAAATTGGTCGACTCATGATGCACATAAAGGGTATAGTAATCACAAGTACTGTTTACCATCACGCAAAAATGCATCCTCTCCGTGTTATGTCGAACTCATCAAATATTCATAGCACCCTAAATGCACTCTATATAACCACACCAGTTGACTTCCGAACTTATGCATGTATTAAATTTCATCACGCTTTTTGCTTTTGTCTAGCTTTAGTTTCCACTTTTTCTCACGTTCGATTCTAAAGATGATTCATAAAATTATCTTATTCTGTTGTCTGAACCTAAATGTTTTTTCTTTTTATGAAAATGATTTTTATTATGGTAAGAGCGGAATTTTGACCAAACTTTAAGCGCCATTTTCAGCACCAGCTGTAAACCAGTTTTTGAAAAATCAGAAAAAATTAGTGAACGACTTGTTTGATGGATACGACGCTACAATTGCACCAATTTACTCACAGTGTGAGTATTATTGGAAAAAAATTAAAGCGAAATTTTAATTTCAGTTGATCTCTCCAAACCTGTCGACTATGACCTGATGGGTCCCAAAAGGTTCAATTACTCGATTTTTCTCTATTTTTTGAAAATCGTAGAAGTGATTGAACCGGAGGAGAAAGTTTCAGTTATTCTGGAAATTGCTGAGGTAAGATCTTTTTTTAATGAGCAAGAGCAACCACCGTATCTCACTAGTAGAGGCGAAAATTTTTTCACGTCCCCTTTCTTTGAAATAGCTTTTCCAGACTTGGTATGACGCTCGTTTGACGTGGGACCCAACCCTTTATAATGATATTCGGATACTGTATGTGAGACAAGAACGCGTTTGGAGCCCCACTATCAGCTCGTTTAAAATGTGGGTCCCTTAACTTGAGGTCATCAAGGATCCAGGACCACAGTCACTACATTTCTTCATGATGTTTTTTTAGAAACGATATGACTGATTTTCGTGATCAAGACTTTCGTATGGTCGGTGTGGACTATCGAGGTCATATCAACTCTACAGTATCTCTGAAAATGTCGTTAAACTGCCCATTAGACGTCACCAAGTTCCCATTTGATACTCAAACTTGTGTTATTCAATTTTCATTACCTTTATTTGCATTCAAGTTTACCCAATTGTTCAATCAAATTTATCATGGAATACTGGACAAAACAGTTTGGAAAGAAATGGTACGGTAGGTAGCGTTATAGTCATATTTCAGAGATTTTGTTTCAGGGAAATTCGGAATGGGAGCTGGTCAATTTGACGAACCGAATCGATATTCTGAGCTATGGAGATGGTTTTGGAGATTTTCAATTGGCAACATTTGAGATTAAGATTCGAAGAAACCCAATGTATTATCTTTATATGATTGTACTACCTTCCTTCATCATCAACACACTTTCAATTATCGGAGTGTTTATGAGAAAATCTGATAGAATGTCAAAGGTAGTTTATTATTTAATAAATTATTTTACTCTTCTTTTTCAGCTCAACGTCGGCCTTACCAACATCATGACTATGACTTTTATCCTAGGAGTCATGGCTGACAAAATTCCAAAAACCGGATCCATCCCACTTCTAGGCATTCATATAGTTGTGAACCTGTTCATTACTGTAGTTGCGATTGGGATTATTGTACTGATTGGGAAATTCAAGAAGTCTGTGAGCAAGAAAAGTGTGATGAGGTGAGACAAGTTTGTACTATTCAAAAACAATTATTTTGTTACAGTCAAAAAATGGAGCGAACACTTGAAGATTGGATTGATATCATTTGTATGGTTGTTTTGGAAGCCGCAATTTTTGCAAACTTTTTTGTGATTATTGGTTTTTGGATATGGAGTTAATGAAAGTAATAAAATTTGCTGAGTTTTCGAGTTATCCACAGATTCACTTTTTTGAATCGTAACTGGACGGTATCCGCCTTCCCGACCGTTTAGATCAGCCTCATCCAATATTTTACCCACGAGTTCAATTTCCCAAGAAATCATATACGGAGTAATCGGAAACGGCGAAGCCTATTTCTCCGTAATAAATTCTCCCATCTAATCAGAAAAACAGAAAAAAAAATACTTATTAAAGTGTACATGTACAAAAAAATAAATTAAAACGCTGACGGTTGAGGTGGAGCGACTTGTGAAGAGCTATAATTTGTGCGACCCTTTATTTTGGGTTTCTGAAAATAAAAAATTTATCTTATCCTTCAATTTTCAATCTCACCTTGAGCCCAATTTTTCTCAAAAGTCCATTTCTCAATGTTTTATTGAACTTTAAATAAATAAAAACTGGAGCACCGTTTCCAAGTTGCCACATAAAAGTTCCAAGCAGTATCATCCAATACGGTATTACTATATAGTTCATGATAACGTAAATTATAGCAGCCAACATGTTCACAGCACAAATCATAGCAGATTGGAAAAATATTTGCGTACTAGCACTGCGAGATTCCGATCGGATGTCTGTGTTCTTCAACTTTGAGCAAAGTGCCCAACAAAAAACAGCGTAGAGAAATGTAGTAGATGCAACGACGAGAAAGTTGTTGAAGATGTGCGGGATGTTGGCGTACTGAAATTTGGGGTTTAAGATAAGGCCAATTTTAACCTCATGGTTCTAACCTCTGTTTCCTTGCCTTCAAAGATCATAGGATCCACAAACCAGGCATGATATTTCGAAGTGAACAAGATAGGAGTGTTGAAAAACACAAAGTATAATCCATACAGAATTGGAATCATCAAAACGAAATAAATGCGGGATCCTCCAAAAATAAAAGATCCATGGTTGGGAAGAATGAGGTCCAATAGTCGATTGGTAACCAGGATTACAGCGATCACGCACGAGCAACACCACAACCCCATTCCAGCCATTCCGGAGATGTAGGTCAAAGTTGGGTAGGTACAGTATACGGCACCCTTGTAGGCGAGCCATCCGGTGATGATACAATTGCAGAGAATTGATAAGATATCCACAATTGCCAAAAGGGTCATTATTTTATAACAGGACATACTGAATTGCTCTTTTTCAAGCATAACAGCAAGCATAGGGAAGTAGAGAATCTCAATGATGATTCCGCAAATACCTTCTGTCAGGCCTAGAATCGGCCGCGGGACACTATCTTTCTGGTACCAGTTTTCAGGCTGGTGAGCACTACAGTTATACAATGGAATGGACGCAATGGAACCATATTCGATGACTTGGTTCATTTTGATTAATTTTTTCACGAGATGGGAACGAAAACACAGAATGAGAACTGGTCGAACGAATTTATACTTATGTATTTGGTTGGGTGTGAAAATAATAACAGAAATAATGAGTATGTATTATTGACTAACTAGAAAATGAGATCATAAAATGTGAATTGTTCCAGAACAATTATTTGGCTCGTGAGAAAAAAAATGTCTACTTATGCGGAATCGGTTAGTCATTATGTGATTCTACGGAGTTTGTGCTGTCAAATTTTTTCATGATTGAAAAAAATGTGAAAAGAACGCGGAAGTCGGTACAAAGATAAAGTGACCTAACTTTCTCAAAATGATCTTTCTAGGCCATGGTAGTGATAATTCAAAAAATGACCTGACATGCGCGTGATATATTTTCTAGGCCTAGTGGCCTAAATTTTTGAGATTTCTAGGCACCCATTGTTAATGGGCTAGAAACGGCCTGATATTCACATTGTGTGTTTTCTATGCCATTTCCACATGGTGGCTTAACTTTCTCTTTGGGCTTTTTTGGGTCATCGTAGTTGATGGCTAAAAATGGCCTAAAATGCACCTGATGTGTTTTCTAGGCCATCTAGGATGGTGGCCTAACTTTCGCAAGGTGAGTTTTCTAGGCCACAATGGTTAAAACATATCAGGGGAATTTTTGATCATTTCTAGACTTTGGTGGCATAGAAAATTGAATGCAATTTTGGAAAATTTATTCAAAACAACTACACTGCCCACAATTTCAAATTTCAGGTAAAAAATAGTAAAAAATACATGAGATTTGAATTCAAATGTCCTGAATAAACCCCAATCCACAAAACCAAACCATAATTGCAAAAATTTCAAGATTAGCTGTGCAGAATTTGATTTCCACTCGTTGTCCTAAAACAAACAAATTGGAACTAACAAATTGGAACTAACGCTCGCTCACCACAATCTCCTCCAGTATAATTCAAACTTCGTCTATACATTATTCGTTCGTTTGGTATGATTCCAAACAAGTTGCATGTCCCATTATTATTAGAAAAAATGTTTGGGTGATTATCCTGAATTATGGCGTCTCGTTGATCAAAGCTTCTTGTGAATATGTTCTGAAATGTTAAGTCTTGTGACTTTAAAGCTTTTTTTACTTACATGAAAAAATCCATCTCCGATTTTGGGGTTTGTCAAATTTTTGTTGAATAGAATTTGAACGATTGGTTGAGACTCTGAAATATGACTTTTTTGTGAATTTTTTTGGAATTTCATACCATCCAAAACTGCAATGAAATAGAGCCTTTTGAAAAAACTCAGGTCCACAAGTTGCGTATTCCGAATAATTAATGTTCCGTAAAGAAAACGCAATGCTGCCAATTTGGTAACGTCATTTTCATCACCAGAATCAATAACTACATTTCCAATAATGTAGCGGCAATTGTTTGGCAATTTGCTCATACTTTCAAAGTGGCAAATGACATCACCTTCATCAAAAATATCACATAATTTTGCTTGGAGATTTATAAAGCGAACATCAAAGTCGTGAAAAGTCTCAAGTTCATTGGCGGTAATACAAAATTCAGGATGCAAATTTTCGAAGTTGAATGTTACCGAACCGTACAAATTGAAGTTTTCTAGATCCTAAAATCAAAACACTGATCTTCCATAGTCATAAACTATTACCTCGAACACTGGAAGTGCAAGTCGAGTCATATTCGGATTATTTTGCAGATTGAATACCACTTCACCATCAGCATAGACACGCAGATACTTGAAGTTTTCCAAAAATGATAAATTCTGAAGATTGGTGTTTTGAATGTCCAGAAATCCTCGGATCTTCCAAATTTTGTTGAAATATGTCAAATTTGTTGATTCGGTAAAGTTATGAAGCCGAACGCCTTTGTAGTAAGTTTGACAGCTTTGTAGTTTCTCAAACGAAAAGTTTGCTATTTGATCTCCTTGGCATCCTGAGAATAAAATAGAGAATCAGACAGGCATGAAAACAAAAACATACCACAGTTATAGAGATTTCCGAAAGTTGTCAGGTTAATCAAATTTTGAAGACTATTGTAGTTACATGCATCCCAAAAATCCAATGGCGGATTATTGATGATTTCAAAGTCACAATCATTGAAATCTTCGTAATTGGTGGTTGAAAGATTATTGATAATACTTGTATCATTTAGATATTTGTTGTTTTCCAGGAAGAATCCATCTGAAATAAAATAAAATTTTCGTCCCAAAAACTTCACTGTGCCCCTCCTTTGACAAATTACAAAGAAACCCACAATGTAAACAAGACAATTTGAAAACTTCATATCTTGTTGTTAAAAATGAGATACTGGACAAACTGGAATTCTCGACTCGAATCCCGCCAACCAACGTTGTCATATTTTTAAACGAATTTCTCAATTTTTCTAAACTCAAATTAGTGTTCGAATTGATTATGATAAGACCATATACTTGGTCACACTTTGGAAAATATTTAATGGTTTTCGAGGTGATTTCAGTGTAGTTAAATGTGCAGCGTGGGTCTGGATTATAAACTTCGATAATCTTTTTCAGAGCTTCAGATGGGTTTTTGGAACATTGAGTAAATTGAAAATATAAAAGAAAAAACAAAGACCAAGAGTTCATTTTGTATGTAAAATGTTTTTGGGAGAATAGGAAAACAGTTGTTGACAATCATGAGGTATTCAGAAGTCCAACTAGCAATTACACAGTTTAAAATGACGAATTTCACATTTTAGGTTATTCTATAACTTTACAAGTAGTATGATCAAGCACACAATCCCCAGCCTTGATGCTTTATTACTCGGTTCTGCAGGAAGAAATTTCGTTAAATTCACACGTTCTCCTCAAAATAGCTGATTAAACTGACTTCTCTAATTGGGTCCTACCACAATCTCCTCCAATGAAGTTTAAGTCAACTGGATAGGTATCATCACTCATTCCGATCCATTCAGTCACTGCACATTTCACTTGTTTTCCGGATTTAGTCTTGAAAATGTCTGGATGGTTGTCTTGAAGAATTGCATCACGACTGCCGCGAGTTATTATGTTCTAAAAAAGTGCATATATGAAATGGCTACGGTAATTGTTACCTTGATGGATAGAAAACTGGTAAGTCGGAGTCTTGGATTTGACACAAATTTTATCACAGGAGATTCTGAAAACAGAGAAATTCCAGCCTATAACTATTTCTCAAAATTTACCATCTAACGAAACGATATAATATAAATTTTCCAAATATCCCAAGTTAACCAAGTTGGTATTTTCGATTGTAAACGAACCAAACAAATGAGTCACACCTTGAAGTTTTGAGACATGTTCTTCGTCGCCTGATCCGACGTTCAAGTTTCCCACAAGCATTTCGCAATTGTTTGGAAGATCTTTCAAAGATTCCAAACGACAAACAACTGCATCTTTAATATCATATTCTTCGCAGATTTTTGCATGTAAGTTTCGAAATGATAACGTAAAGTTAGCCATCAAAAATATCAACTCTTCAAGTGTTAGACAAAAATCTGGATGCAAATTTTCAAAGTTGGCAACTATGAAACCACCATAGAGGACGTTTTGCAATTGAACCTGAAAACTGAAAGTTGATGGAAAAGAGAAATGAAAAAAAAATTCAAATTCACCTTCAGAGACATTCCCAGTCTGGTCATGTTGGGGTTGTTCTGAAGATTGAATGCTAGCGTTTTACTGGAGCGTGGTCTCCAGTCTCTCCAATATTTTAGGAAAGATCAATTCTGAATATCGGAATTCTGAATGTTTATGGGTCCATTTATAAAATCAATCTTCGATAAATGAGATGAAACATCCGAAATATTCGAAAACTGTAATCCGTTATAAGTAGTTGTGCATTTTTTGAATTCGGAGATTGACGTCGTATTTATCTGGTTTCCTTGGCAGCCTGAACTTCTGTTATACTGTAAATGGTTATTGGGAAAAAAAGTGATACCACATTCTTTCTTATTCCCACTTGCTTCTAGAACAGTTGTACTTGCTAGACCATAATAACGACATACATCCTCCATATTCAATTTAGGGTTATTCTCAACTCGAAACTTGCATTCTTTTGTTGCTTCACCCGCTATCTGATTTATACTCTTTAGCTGCTGAGCATCGTTTAAATATCGATTATTTTCAATGAATACTCCATCTGGGAAATCGAGAATATAGACTCCCAGAAATTCTTCGGACACTTACATGTCTCACAATACAGATCAAATTTGGTGAACATGAATACAGTTAAAAAGGATAAACTCGTAAGATTGGAGTTCTCCACTTTGATTCCACCATATAAGGCGGTCATATTTTCAAAGACTTTTGACAATTGAGCCAGTGAAAAATCCGTATTGGAATTGATTATAATCAAACCATACACTTTTTGGCATTTTGGAAAGAAATCTATAGTTTTAGATGTTATTTCACTTTGATTGAATACACATTTTGTGCCTAAAAATAGAAGTAGAGGGAGTTTTGAAAATTCGAGAGTTACCTTTGGGATCGTAGAAATCCAATATAGTTTGTAAATCGTCGTCGAATGTAGCTAAGGAGTTGCGAAATAGAAGAATGCAGATAATCGGAAATACGAGGGAATTCATAGATCCTGAAATTGAACTTCAATTGGTTCAGAACAAAAGTTTTGAGAGCCAGAAAAAAATTTGAAAAACGAAAAAAGAGATTATGATTTCATGCAAGGCTGTGCAAAAATCGGCCGAGGCCTTGGGTATTTTGCCGTGCACCAATCCGGCCGTTTTTTTGAAAATAAGCTCAGCTACCCAGGTACTACTAAGGCCGATAGGCCGCCGTACCCTACCTATCTCAGAAGTATCCTTTTTTGAAGTGCTGCGGCCGTTCTGGCACAGCCTTGATTTCATGCGCTTTTGGGATTCAAAACTTCTCAGATTTCGATTTTCAGAGGTTTTGAAATTTTGAGATTCTGAGATTCTGAGAATTTGTGTTTCTGAGATTATGAGATTCTGAGATTCGAAGACTCCAAGGTTCCAAGGTTCAAAGGTTCCAAGAATCCAAATCCGATATTTCGATATTCCAAAAAAAAGATCAAGTGACGAATTCGTTTAAAAATTGTTGGCTGGCTGTTGAATGAAAACCGTTATTTTTCAAACTGCAGATTTTTGAATCTTTGGCTTACTTAAAGAACATTTTTTAATGCTCAAATGTTTACTCGTGCCTCTCTTGACTATGATTACACTTGAATATTATAATTTTTTTGGTGGCGAATCAAAAATCTCAACATCGAAGAATTTTTTTTAAACTTTTTTTTAACAAAATGAGTACCAAAAAAGCGAAACCTTTCACTTCAACAATAGACCCATTTTCTGATTATTACGAAGACGATCCTGACTATTATAATCCTTGTGATGACAAATACTAAAATCTTTACCGTCCCAGCTATGTCATGTACAAATTCCAAGTCGACGAACAATGCAGATATCCATTTATGTTTGTCGACGGATGCATGGCGTTATTTGTCAGATTTTCTTATGTTATTCTTGCCTCTGCCCTAGTTGGAGCAATTTGTAAAGCGGAAAAACGTCGAAGAAATTTGGGAAACGACGAGTGAGATTTTCGGCAACAAAATTCTGTAAGATTTTTAGCTTTTTCAGATCTTCAAATGCTTCTAAACTGATCACGATTATGGCCATATCGGTGTTCATTTCAGAAACAACTTATGGTGCCTTATATGTTGTGACCTATTTCTTTGATAGACAATACGAGGAAATGTGGGTTTTTTAAAGTTCACATCTTTTTAATGAACCAGTTTTCAGAAAAGTGATTAAACGACAAGACTCGATTGTTCTCATTTTTCTGATCATCAATTCTGCGACTCATAGTATCATCTGTTTCTTTATGTCATCTCAATACAGAGAAACTGCAAGGAGGCTATTCTGGAAAAGGAGTTCAAGAGTCGGAAATATTATTAGTTCTGTTCCGATTAGTAGCTAACAATAATTGGAAATAAAAACATTTATTTAAAGGTGTAGCTCATGAGTCAATGAAAATACAATGACCAAAATCGAGCCGGATATCATATTCCTTAGAGTAGACCCATTATCAATTCGTGTTCCTGAAAATCAGAATTTTTAGGGGAAATTGAAAAATAGATCTTTCTCGAAATTCGTGTCTGTTTTATCTCAAAACTCAAAACGCGTTCCATTGAGAAACCTACCACAATCCCCTCCAGTGTAGTTCAGGCTTGTTCGATACATGGCCTTCTCGTCTGTTACCAATCCGAAAAGATTGCACTCTCCATTTGTAGAATTCCAAATGTCGGGATGGTTATCCTGGATAACAGCGTTGCGATCTTTGAAACTTCTTGTAAAGATAGTCTGAAACTTTTCGATTAGGCAGAAATGTAAGAATTAGTTACCGAAAAGAGTTTTCCAAAACTCGGGTTTCTTAAATCTTTATTCGACACAATTTCTATGACAGGTGTGGTATCATCCAAATAAACTATGAAGGTCAACCGGTCTAAGAATTTTAAATCCGCCAAATTTGTATTCCGAATTGTTAAAGAGCCAAATAAGCTCTTAACAAAAATCAACTTTTCAGCATTTTTCTCGTTTCCAGAATCTATTAAAACGTTTCCAACTATCGATTTACACGCAACCGGAAGCTTATCGATAGACTCAAAAATGCACAACTCTTCATTCTCAATTTCGGTAGTATCGGCTTCAGAATATTCACACAGTTTCGCGTGCAAATTTTTGAAACTAACTCCCAATTCATAAAACAACCAAAAGTCTGAAATCGTCAGACAGAAGTCCGGATGTAAATTTTGGAAGTTGGCGGTTTTGGGAGCATTTGAATTGGAATTATCCAAATTCTAAATAAATCGATGGTCAAAGAGTTTTGTGCTAGCTTACCTTTAGAGCTGGAAGCTCAAGTCGAGTCATGTTTGGACAATTCTGAATATTGAAAACCACCTCTTCATTTTTAGTATAAACCGTTAATAATTGGCAACTTTCGAGGAACGATAAATTTTGAAAGTTGGAATTCTGTATATCAATGTTTCCATAAATAGTGACAATATTAGATAACGATTTTAAATCTGGAGTATCAGAAAAATTGTATAGCCTGAGTCCATTGTAAAAGTATGTGCAATTTTGAAAACCAAACAAAGTTGGTGGATAAATTTCGTTTCCTTGACACCCGCAGTTTTTCAAATTTCCGTATGTCTCAAAATTCACTAGGTATGCCAACGTATACCCATCACACAGATTTTGAAGATCAAGTATTGGGTTGTTGGCAATTTGAAATTTGCAATCGTGCAAATCCTCATCAACGAATGGCACCAGCTTTTCCAGTGCTCCAGCGTTGCTCAGATTCTTGTTGTTTTGAATTATGACTCCATCTGGAATATTCTTCCTTGTTTCGAAAACAGAAAAAAAACTTCAAAAGTTCGTAAGAACAGTTTTCAATTGGCGAACTAACAAGCGTTCAAACTTTCGAACCATAAAAGTTGGTGGCCTAGAAAACTCAACTTGTTAAAGTTAGGCAACCATTTTGAAATGACGTAGGACACACACCTGGTGAACATTAGGCCACTTCTAGGCCATTCATCGCAGTTCCGTAGATAACAACTCAACTTGCAAAAGTTAGGCCGCCATGATAAACGACCTAGAAATGGCCTGATATTTCTCATGGCGTCATTTAACACAGTGGCCTAAAAACTCATCTTGCAAAAGTTAAGCCACAATGGCAAACGGCCTAGAAAACACAACTGATGCATGTCAGACTACTTCTGGACCATCAACTACTTTGGACTAGGAAAATCATGTTAAGAAAGTTAGACCGCTATGGTAAATGACCTATGAATCCCATCAGGTGCATTTTGGACGATTTCTGGACCCTCAACTCAACGAAACTCACAATTTTTGCAACTCAATTCAAAAAATTTGAAATCCGTGCCAACTAGGGTAAAAAATGACAGACTGGTCAGGTTGGAATTCTCCACGTGGATTCCACCAACAAGTGATGACATATTTTTGAACGCATTCTTCAACTGGGATACATTCAAATCCGTATTGGAATTGATCACCAGAATACCGTATACTTTGGAGCATTTGGGAAAGTTCTTTATGGTTTCCGAAGTGACTTCAGTGTGATTAAAAACGCATTTAGGATCATCGGGATTTGAGAGGTCTAGAATCCGTTTTAGATCTTCTTCGGTGATCCCAGAGCAATAATCCGAAAATAAAAATATCAGGAGAAACCAGGGAAATTTCATATATGTAGAATGAAATGGAAAGTTGTAAAACAAGAAGTGATTAGATTAGAAAAATCGCGAGAAAATTGAAAGTAGCTATTAAATGAGATTATGGGGTAGGTGAAAACAAGAAGAGTGTAAACAAGTTTCTTGAGATTTCTAGAGTCTAGGCGAAATGTCTTTGGGGTGTGAGTTGAGTACAATAAAATGTTTAGAAAATTATGTATGATTAATACTTGAAAATGAAAAGGAAACGGACCTGAAACGGATCAGAAGACGCACCTGAAACGGACCTAAAATAAACCTAAAAGGGACATGAAACTGACTTAAAACTGGCTTGAACCGGACCAAAAATTTTCCTAAAAAGAACCTTGAACGGACATAAAACAGTACAAAAAAGGACCTTACCATAGCTTCCTTGGGGTCAATATTTTCGGACAAAGTAAATCAGATATGCGAAAACTCTACAAGTATAGTCTAAGAAGAAAGTTACAGGTTGAAAGTCAGGTAGGCCTCCTTTTTTCAAGTCAAAGATATTTATAAACCATCAATTCATTTGAAAAAGTCATTAAAAAGTTTTCGAATCAGCAAACTTAATCCGAATGTGTTAAGTTTCACACAATCTTTGTTGTATAGAATTTCCACTCGCTCGCCTCCTGCAATTCAAACAATTCAAAAACACAAAAAAGAATTTCTGAATTTCTCACCACAATCTGCCCCTGTAAAATTTAAGTCTAGCATCATTAAGTCCCTCTTGTTCGCATTTCCACTCCACCAGTCACTTATTTGGCATTCTTTTCCCTTGAATAATTTTGGATTATTGTCCTGATAAATTGCGTATCGTGGTCCGCTTGTGATTATTTGCTGAAATGGTAATTTTTCGAGTTTTATGCTTTTCTTTGGCTAATCACCGTGATTGAGATATCGGCGTTTTTCAATTTTTTGTTTCCGATGATTTGATACACTGGAGATGAGCCTGAAACCATCAATTTTTGACCACGAGGGCTACACGGATTTTTCGGCTCTACTAGTTCATTTCGACGGTTTATCGACCGGATTTTCTAGGACCTGTCATTTCAAAACCGTTCTTAATAAGTCAGTTTTGCAAAGTCGCGGTTCTAAGTTCTGAAAAGTTTTAGTTCTGAAACAATGTGGTTCGATAATTCATGATTCTAAAACGTCATGATTCTAGGTTCTGAAGTATTAAAAAAGTATGGTTAATATGTTAGTATGATTAGTATGGTTAGTATGGTTAGTATGGCTAATAGTATGGTTTAAAAATGGCGGCAATGTCGCGGTTCTTAAACTCTCGGTTTTGAAAATACACCGTTCGGAAATATCCCGGTTCTAAAACGTCGTGGTTTTGAAATGTCGTGGTCCCAAAAAGGTTAACTTACTATCCAAAACTGCAATATATGGAAACCCAACGTATTCCAAAGTTTCCAATGTTGTGTTCACAACTATGAAAGATCCAAACAAATATTGAACGTCAACAAACTTGATAACATATTGCTCATCGCCACGGCCAATAGTTACATTTCCCACAATTATGTCACAATTGTTCGGCAAATCATACATCGACTTGAAATGACACAATACTTTTTCTTCAATATCCCCATCTTCTTCACATAACTTTGCTTGAAGATTAGTAAATATAAATCGATGCTCAAAAAATAATATGAACTCTGAAATTGAAATACAAAAGTTAGGATGCAAGTTTTCGAAATTCGCAAACGAAAAGTGCAATTCTTCGTCGAGCGATTGAATGTTTTGAATATTCTGAAACTGATGATTTTTTTAGAAAAATCAAAAAGTAAATGTCCTACATAAAAATTTTCTGGAAAACCAAGTTTTGTCATTTCAGCATTATTTCGAAGATTTAACTGAACCACCATGTCTCCTTTGAGTTTCCAAGTTTTCCAGCTACTCAAAAACGACAAGTCTTGTAAATTGGTGTTTTCTATATCTATTGATCCTCTGATAGTCGCAATATTTGACAAAGCTGATAAATCTGTATTACTGATTGTAGTGATGAAGATTTTCAGTCCGTTAAAGCTGGTGGTACAGTTGTTATACCCCGGCAGAGAGATTGTAGTGATTTCATCTCCTTGGCATCCTGAAAAACTTTTTAAAGGTGGGGGGACAGGAGATTTTTCGTAGTTTTTTTGTAGCTAGAGTATGCATTCTACCGTCACGGTGTACAACGCTTAACGTCACTCTGCGTACAGCTGTCGTCCTCGCCTATATGTATGCAATCGGGCGTGCGCTTTCTCTTTGCCCGCGTGGCTCAGTCGGTAGCGGCGCCGCACCCTCAATCATCGCCCTCACAAGTTCAACTCCTCGAGGGGCATCTTTGAACGGAATTTCGAGAACATTATTTTTTTCATGTCCCCCCCACCTTTAAAGAGGGAAGCATGGAAAACGTGTATCTCTTGAAACTTCATATATGTCTCTTGTGGGCCCGCGGCCGACCGGTGTCATATCAAAAAGCGGAAGATCATGCGCTGTGTGAACACCGATACCTGTACACCGTCACGCTCAAATACATAATCTTACCTCTTTTAATTTCAATTGTTTTTCCAACTTACCAGTGTTAGGAGGAAACGCATTTTTCCGAAATACGGAAAATGGAAACGGAACTTTTTCTCGCGAAGAACGGAAACGGAAACAAAATTTCATTTTTACGGAATCGTAAACTTTTTCCGCGGAAACGGAAATGGAAAAAAAATCTCCGAAAATCGGGCGAAAAACGGAAAACTAAAACGGAAACGGAAACGGAAACTTTTTCATGATTTTTTCTCTTCAAACATTTAAAGACCATATTTGCTTTCTATGCTTTCCATGCTTTCCACTTTCTATGCTTTTTTTCGAGCCAGTTTCAGTTTGATGTTTTCCTTGTTTTTTACGTTTTTTTCTCCGTTTCCGCTGTAAAAAAAGCGGTTTTTACGAAAAACGGAAACGGAAACGGAAATAAAATTTCACTTTTACGGAAACGGAATCGTAAATTATTTCCGCGGAAACGGAATTGGAAAAAAATCTTTAAAAGCCGGGCGGAAAACGGAAAACGGAAACGGAAAAAAAATCTTTAAAAGCCGGGCGGAAAATGGAAAACGGAAGCGGAAACGGAAATTCCTCCCACCAATGCAACTTACCACAATTTCTGAAATTTCCTCCAGTTCGAATTCCCACGAGATCTAGAAAATTTCCATTGTTGCATAATTCATCCATATCCAGCTCTGGATTATTTTCGATAGATAAAACACATTCCTTGTTTTTACTTTCAGATTGCAAATCCATATTCAGAAGCATAGTGGCGTCATAAAGATATGAGTTGTTCTCGATGAAAAATCCATCTGAAAAAAAACGTATAAATATGATAAAGTATTTTTTTTCATGGTTTTTTTTAAAGGTTTGGAGTATATAGAATCTCCCTAAACTTTATTGTAATCTTTCCTTTAAACTCACAAGCTCCACACTGAAAATTGATATCATTTTGAAAAATCGACAACCCTGCAAGTTTCGAATTATCTATCCGTATACCGCCAACAAAAGTTTTCATATTTCTGAACGAATTTTTGAGCTGAAACTCGGATAAATGAGTGTTCGAATTGATAACAATGATTCCGTAGACAGAATTACATTGTGGAAACAACTGTATAGTTTTTGAAGTAATTTCCGAATTGTTGAAAGTGCATTTGGGGTCTGAAAACGTGTTCGAAGGTGGTGGGACAAGAAAAAAGCTCACCTGCTTCATAAAAATCCACAATTCTTTGCAGGTCCTGAGAAAAATCAGCATTGATTAAAGTACACTGTACCATGAAAATGTATAAATCAATAAAAACCAAAAACCCCATGATTTAACTACACAAATGAAATCATGTTATTTTTTTAAATCTCAAAAATTACATTTTCCTTTTCAAAATGTCTTAAATTATGGGCTTCGCCAAAATCTTGTGACATTTTTTCTTTGACTTTTTATTTCTCAATTTTTTTATTTTGTTTCCAATGTCCACGAAAGGTGCCAAAATCGTGACCACCACTAGCCTGTATGACTATATCTACGGCGATTACACTTCGGATGGTTACGACTATATAATTGACGACTTCGACACTAATCAAAATATAATAAAGCCTTTGGTAACAAAACTCAAAGTAGTATACGATATCACAAGTTACCTGAGCTTTTCAATCAATTTTTTTCATTTGTTCATCCTTACCAGAAAGGACTTGAGGACCCAAAACGTGTACATTCTCATGATCGGAATTTGCATATTTGATATATTTCAAGCTTTTGCAAATTTGGTCAAAAATTTTATGACATGGCAAATCGTGTACCATGAGCCTGAGTGTTATGATAGCTATAGGTATTCTCATCTTGTTGTGGATGTCGTTGCCAAATGTTTACAAATTATGAGTCGAAGAGTTTCTAGTTTTCTGGTCCTATATATGGCAGTTTTTCGAGCATTATCACTAATTTTTCCATTCAACGCTAAAGTTAATAAGCTAATGAATAAGAAATTTTCCTACCTCGTCATGGTCTTTTTAATTGTTATCAGCGGAGCATGGAGCTCGATTTACAGCATTTTCGTGCGGTTTAAGCAGGGTGGATTGTCTCTGATAATTATAAGTTTGCAATAATTTGAATTTGTAATTTTTTCAGTTGCCCGGTACGAACCAGCTTTGTTCCATATTCTCTTGTAACTGATGCTCGAGATGCACCATGGCGACGACTATATTTTGTTATAGATGGTTATATGTCACTTTTTGTCAGTTTCACTTATTTGATAGTCGCCGGTGCTCTTGTTGTAGCTCTGAGATATGCAAAAAAGAGGAGGGATAGTTTGGGAGGACCTGTGTGAGCATTACCCGACTTTTCAATGAGCATAACTTGGCTCAAACTTAGAATAATAATTAGCTTGATTCAATATTTACAAAGTAGTACTTGAAAAGATCTGCAAAATAATATCAAATTCAACTATACGCAGTTAGCGTGTTTTCAAACAGTGATCGTAAAATATAAGTTGTTTGATTCTGCTGTTCCTCGCCATTTGATCTTAAACTGGATTGGTAAATACAGTTGAATTTGGTACCATTTTGTAGAACTCGTCAAGCTTTATATTCTACTGTTTGCTTCGAGATGAAATTCCAAGATTGGACCGAGTTATGCATCTGACAGTAGTTGGCCTGGATATTGTAAGACAAAGCTTAATTCAGAACACCAAACAACACATCTAAATTAATCGTGACAATGGCTATAACTGTATTCATTTCTGAAACCGTATACGGCGCATTATTTATGTGGAGTTATTATAAACTTTATGATTACAAAGACGGGTAACGTTGTTAATCAATCAATGGGCGATGTTTGTTTGACTTTCAGAAAAGACTTTGAGAAGTTCGACTCGTTCACCTTGACGCTTCTCATTGTCAACTCCACAATCCACAGTATTCTATGTTTCTTCTTGTCTTCTCAATATCGTGATACTGTGCTGAAATTGTTTTCAAAAAGAGGAAACAGAGTGGAACCCTTTAATAATCGGGTGGACTCTTCCAGACATCCTATCAGTGAATGATTTTTATTTATTTATTTATTTACATAAAAAGAGAGAAATAAATTAATATAATTGTTATTGAAGATTTCAAAAGCCTCTTGCTGGCATTTATCAATACACGATTTCCTGAAATAAATTATGTAAACTCAATCTGACAGTTCAAGACAACTTACCACAGTCACTTCCCGTATAGTCCAGATTTAACTGTTTCTTGAACATACTCCATTTGTCTAAAATATTGCACTTTTTGGAGTTGTTGCGTACAAAAATGTTGTCCTGTAGAATGACCGATCTATTTCCTCGAGCTATTATGTGCTGTAAAAGTCCTTCATTTTTCAAGTAGTCTTATGATGTTACCTCTAAACTGAGAAGTGTTGTTTTCTTAAGTTTCGGGTTGGAAACTATTTGAATCAATGGCGAGTTTTCTATAAATTTTTTAAATTTCATCGATTTCAAAACAATACAAACCATCAAGTTTCAAAATGTATTTCAACCCACTCAAGTGCTCCAGACTCGCCAATTGTGTATTTTGGATAATTAGGGATCCAAACAAGAGCCAAACATCCATCACTTTTGTAATGTCTTCCTCATCACCTGGACCAATTTTCAGGTTACCCAATATTATGTCGCAGTTATTCGGCAAGTCATAAATTGACTCAAAACGGCACAACACTTTTTCCCCGATGTCGCCAATGTCGTCACAAATTTTCGCGTGGAAATTCCGCATTGAAAAATGATTTTCAAAAATGTAGAGAAATTCTTCAATAGTCAAACAGAACTGCGGATGTAGATTCTCAAAATTGGCCATTAAATTCGCTGATTCACTGTAAATTGCATTCTCAATTTTCTGAAAATTTCGATCTTAAATCATACGAATTAAGCATTCTAAAAGTTACCGGAAAATTTGGCAAAGCAAGCCTAGTCATTTCAGGGTTGTTTTGAAAGTTTAGTATCATTGTATAATTGATTCGAACGTTCCAAGTCCTCCAACTTCTCAGAAATGATAAATTTTGGATATTGCTATTTTGGATGCTAATCTGTCCTTTTATGAATTTCGCATTGCCAAAGACCGAAAATTCAGAAGGATCGGTCCCATTCAGAATGTGTAGTCCATTATGAATCGTTGTGCAATTTCGAAACAATTGAAACTCCGTGACACTGTCACCTTGGCATTCTGAATAACCCAAAAATCAAGAATCTAGCTAAAAGTTAAGAGAACTGACGACAGTTTTTCAAATTCCCAATTGTCTTGATGTCCACTACATCTCCCGAACTTGAAGAGCTACACAACTGTTCAACATCAAGCATTTTATTGTTCTCCACTTCAAAACCACACCCATCCAAACTATATTCGGTGTCTAACTGGACCTCTGTGAGAAAATCCGCATCAACCAGATATTGATTGTTTCTCAAATAGATACCATCTAAAAAAAGTACCTTATTAACCGAGAATTAAAAACCAAAAGAAATTACATGTTTTGCAATAGATCACAAAGTTACTACCAGGAGTCTTGAAAAACGAGAGACTAGTTAAATTCGAGTTCTCAATTCGTATTCCGCCAACTAATCGTTCCATAGTTTTGAAAGAATCCGAAAGTTGACTGAATGATAAATCAGTGTTGGAATTGATCCTGATAATGCCATAAACCATTTCGCACTTTGGGAAAGATTTTATAGTTTTTGAAGTAACCTCACTGTGGTGAAAGGCGCATTCGGGTGCTGTAAACTGTTTTATTGGTAGTGGGCATTTTTTTATTGGTAGTGGGGTGCGTTTTCTAGGATATTTCAGTATGGTGGCCTAACTTTTGCAAATTGAATTTTCTAAAACACCAAATATTTCTAGCCTAGAAATGGTCTTATATTTACTTGGTGTGTTTCCTAGGCCATTTTAGTATGGTCGCCTAACTTTTGCAAGTTGAGTTTTGAAAGATCACTATTGTAAATGGCCTAGAGAACACACAAGGTAAATCTTAGACCATTTCTAGATTATAAACTTTGGTGGTCTAGGAAATTCATACTGAGGGAATTAGGTCACTATGGAAAATAAAATAGGAAACAGATCGGATAAATCTTAAGAAAAAAGGAACCTTCACAAAAGGTCCCTAGGAAAGTAACCCTGAAGGAAAACATGGAAGCCATTTTTCCGTATTCCAGGAGGGAAATTTTCGGTACTCACGTGTAGCATAACTATCTAGGACCTTTTCCAAATCACTTGCAAAATCCGCGACTGCGTATAATATCCGAAAAAGGTGTACCAAGGATATTATCCAAAAATTCATTTCTGGCCTTTGAAAATTAACCTCCAGATGTTATACACGAAAATATATGCTATGGAAAATTGTTATTATTGGCAACTTAGTCTGATTTTCCAATTGCTAATTGTAAGTTTGAAAAATTCGTCAACATAAAATCTTATACAAAATACGCCCACATCATTTCTCGAATTTTCAAAATTAAAATGAAATCCACGACAACGGATTTATATTCTAAATACAAGGACTATATTGAAGATTACTATAATGCTGAAGAAGGCACCCGACGAGGCGATTGGGTGTTCTCAATTATTGAAAAGTACCCGATTCAATTCTACGAAATTGTGGAAATTTTAAAACAAATCTACGAGGTAGCCTCATTTTTGAGTTTCTTCATAAATCTATTCCACCTTCTTATTCTCACTCGAAAATCGCTGAGAAACCACCTTGTCTACCTTGTCATGATTGGAGTTTGTATTTGTGACATTCTCCAATCTCTTGGAAATATGACTAAAATATTGATGACATGGATGTACCAATTTGAGATTTGTTTCACCGGCGAATATTACAAATACTCACATATGATTGTGATATTGTTGACGAAAACGGCGCAGATCATGAGTCGACGATGCTCGAGTTTTTTGGCGTTGTACATTGCCGGCGTTCGAGCTTTGTCTGTGATTTTTCCAATGAGCAATATAGTCACGAGATGGACAACGCCAAAATCTGGATTTTTTGCGATGATTTTGGTGGGGATTATTTGCACTGCTTGGAGTTTTATATTCTTCAAGAATACCAAACTCGAAAAAGTACTATAGTAAGTTTCTTAGTTGTTTACATTTTTTCAAGGCTGATGGCCGTGGCATAGATATCTCCTAGAAATTCCACCGTGTAGTCCGCGAGAAAAAGAGCATTTTAAAGATATCCTGATGTGTTTTCTAGGCCAGCTTCAATAGTAACCTAATTTTCAAAAATGCATTTTCTGAGCCATCAAGTTTATGATCTTGAAGTAATTTAACATTCACCTGTTGTGTCTTCTAGGTCATTTACCATGGTGGCAATGAAAACACAAAGACCATGTGAAAATAGCCTACAGAATACAGGTGACTATCGGATCGTTTCTAGACGATCAATTACTTAGAAAAATTATACCGGTAAAGCTGGTGCGCCACTCTAGTATCAATTTTTCAGCTGTGGCATTGGTCAACCCAAACCCAGCTATGTTCCATATAAATTCAAAGAAAATTCAAAATGGGAGTTCACATATTTTCTGATAGACGGATATATGGCAATGTTTGTCAGTATTTCTTATGCGATCGTTGCGTTCGCTCTGGTCATTGCCCTTGCTGTTGCAAAACGAAGGAGTAGGAATTTGAAACATGAGAATAAGTAAGAACCTCCCAAAAAACTGTGCAATCTGACGGGCTGGCCCGGCCGGCCGGCAATTAATTAATATTTGAACTTTTTTTAAACTTTTTTTAAAAATTAATATTTGAAAATTAATATGAATTAATATTTGAATGATTGACTGTTCCGTGCTTCAAGTTTTAGCTACTTCAGGATTACAAGCTCTGGAACACTATAATTCCGAATTCGATGAATACCACCTTGCAGCTGTTTTCCTTGCTCCTGGTACGAAGTTGATGAAAAATTTTGATTTTGGAGAAACAGAAACGGTATAGTTTACAAACAAACTTGTTTATAAACTTTCCTATAACTTTCAGGCCCGTGATCTTGTCACAAAGTTAATGCCATCAGCTATTCCCTCCACTACTCAACCCACCTCATCGCAGAAGTCAAATCTAATTGCAAAGTTATATCATGCGGTCAGTGACCAAGCGAACTCAACATCCACTTCTTCGGAAATCTCAAGATATGTCTCCGAGTACTACGATCCTTCAACGAACGAATCGGTTGAGGAGTATTGGAAATGTTACTTTTCTATCTTTTTTGTTGGATTGGTTGATATGAGCTTTAATTTTCTCCCCCGGTTTCTATTTCTTTGTTTCCCCTTGTTCATTTATACGGTTTTTACATTGTTATGCTACTTGTTAAGAAATAAATTCGAATAATTCTTCAATAATTTCTGTTTTTTCTTAAATTCGAACGGGCCGAACCGGCCGAACCGGCCGGGGCTTCCGGCCGGGCCGGGCCGGGCCGGGCCGGAGAAAAAATAATCTCGGCCCGGCCCGGCCGGTTGCAACCCTGAAAAAACAGTTTCCAAAAACTGATATTCAGGTCTAATACGTCTGGGATGATCATTCTCATGACTGTGACCGTCTTAATTTCTGAAATCAGCTACGCAGTTTTGTATCTACTCAACAATGAAGTTTTTCAAGATTTTGAAGATCAGTAAGGTGATATTTATTCAGCATAATAATATTTAATAAATTTGCAGAGACATTTTCAAACAGCTTGATTCATTCGTCCTCACTATCCTAATATTAAGCTCAACTGTTCATTGTATAATTTGCTTTTTTATTTCTTCACAATACAGGGATACTGTAAAAGGATTGTTCTGGGAAAAGCGACAAGAAAAGGATATCACAGCATCAGTGGTAAAATCTACCGTGCCTCTGACTGAAGGATCTTCGAAGCCGTCGAATACATCTAATTGATTTAATATAAAAAGATAATAAATGAGACTATAAGTAATGATAGTACACATACAGTACCGCCGGACACAATTTTCTTGCTCTGGTCTGAACTCAATGCAAATTTTGGTCAAAAATTCTATTAGGGCTCGACCACATGTAAAATACACACACCTACACACACACACACACACACCAACACAAACAAACACCCACCCACACACACACACACACACACACACACACACACACACACACACACACACACACACACACACACACACACACACACACACACACACACACACACACACACACACACGCCCACATTGCACATACAGTACCGCCGGACAAGCATATCTCACTGGTCCCACACACCCAATCTTATAAAGTACAAGTTGCTGATTCATAAACCTTTGCAGTATAGATCAAGTCATTGCACATAACTGATATCATTTGTTATGTGAAATACCAATAACCCTTAATCAAAGTTCCTAGACTAATTATCACATGATATCTGTTGTCGTTTGACTTTCAGAGAACAATCGCTTTCTGTCTTACTTTTCATATTCATCATAACACTACGAAATGAAAATCAAACAACCCAAAACTACAACAATTGCTCCTTATTTCAATGAGTTTAATTTTGAAGATGACCATTCTGTACCTTCATACGAAAACGAGTTACAATTCTTGTTTGATTATGAAGCAATCTTCGAGGATTTCGGAAAAAATACTCTGGCCTATTATCTGTTCCTGGGCATTCTAGACAACGTCTACAAGTACGCCACATATTTCAGTTTCTGTGTTAACTTGTTCCATTTATTTATTCTAACTCGTAAAGAATTGCGGACCAACTTGGTTTACATTGTTATGATCGGAATCTGCCTATGTGATTTGGTCCAGTTATTGGCTAATATTTTTCAATACGTTCTGCTCTGGAATATTGTTTACAAAATTGATCAATGTTATGATGGATACAAATATTCGCATGTTTTTGTCAATTTGATGGCTAAAACCACACAGATTATGAGCAGAAGATGCTCGAGCGTTCTTGCTCTGTATCTGGGTGGAATTCGAACATTTTCTATCATTTTTCCATTGTGTACCCGAATTTCAAGTTGGATAAAACCAATATCTGGTGTTTGGGTTATCCTAATTACCATTATCATTTGTATTGCTTGGAGTGCAATTTATGCATTTCAAGTAAAGTTCGAGAAAATTCTATAGTGAGTTTTACAGGGGATAGGACAACAGCGCAGCAACGAGCTGAGCTACCGCAAATCTAGCCTACCATAAACACTGAAAGGATGCAACCGTTAACTTTAAGCTTTTACATCTTATTTCCTGTTGAAGATATCAAAAAGTGGTCCACTACCGAAATATTTTTGAAATTATGGTGAATGCTTTGTCAGTTGACCGCTTTTTGATGTCTTCCATAGGAAACGGGATAAAATGGCTTAAAGATGACGGTTCAGTGGGTGTTCTATTAGTGTTTACGGTAGGCCAGGTTTGCTACAGCTTAGCTCCGCCTACAAATTCAATTTTCCAAGAGGCAAATTATGCAAAAATTTCAGTTGTGATGTTTACGATCCAAAACCGAGATACATTCCGTATAGAATGGTAGAAAAAGAAAATGGAATATTTCTTTATTTATTCATTGATGGATGTATGGCTATGCTTATCAGCTTGTGCTATGTAGTATTAGCAATTGCATTGGTGATAGCAATTAGAAAGGCTAAGAAAAGAAGCTCATCTTTGAACAATGAAAAGTCATCGACCAACACTTCTGGTTTAATCATTATGATGGCTGCAACAGTCTTCATTGCTGAAATCTCATATGGATCTTTATACCTTCTGATTTATAACATTTTCCTGGGTCATGCAGAACAGTTTGTATCACTTTTTGCTGAGCAATACAATACTCATTTTCAGACACTTCTTGAAAAACTCTAATGTATTTGTGCAAACACTTTTCATTTTCAATTCCGCCACTCACTTCTTCATATGCTTCTTCTTGTCTTCTCAATATAGGAATACTGTCAGAAATTTGTTCTGGAGAAGGGAAATCGCACAGAACTCATTAATTCCGGCTGGCAATTCACCTTTCAGAGCATCTTCCGGAAATCCTAGAAACTCTGAACGATCATATTAAATTCCACATTCATACTTGAATCAATAAACTTTTTGAAGAAGAGATACTGTATTTTTCATGTCCCCATTTGTTAAAATAATTCAAAGTACATACACTTAAAAATCAACGAAAGCGAAATTGCTTATTTCTTCCTCTGATAAGAGTACAACTGGCACCACACATCGGTTTTTCTGAAAACTTTATTACCTAATACGAATATTCTTATCATTTACCATACCGCACATACTCCCTTTGATCTCATGATTTCAAAAATGTTTCGGTTTTGAAAATTTAGAAATTTTATTACCATTGCACAATTACACCTCGTTTGATGTTTTTGTTTGCAGGGAATTATTAGCCATTAAAACTACAGTATTTATTGGTATGAGTGATATCGAAACTTGGTATGTTTTACAGAATGTTTGGCAAATCTTTCTTGCTCCTAGCTCTCGTTGTTGCAGTTTCATCTTTGGAGTAAGTTGACACATTCTTGAATCTTGCATAGGAATTGAGATAATCGAACTCTAAGTGGCCAGTTAGGGGCCCCTTCTATTACAGGTTTTACGGTACTTTCGATATTCTTTTTTGAAGCAAGAAAATTGAGCAAAAATTGCATATTGCTAGTCTTATGTGAACTAATTTCAGATGTGTCTTCGAAGTTTTTGCTGATCCTAGTAGCTTGAATATTCAAGGAGGAACTGACAAATGTGACGCTGAAGACAATTATTGCCTCAAGGTATACGGTATTTTCATAAGTTTTCATATAAAAAGATGAAAATTTGAAAATTTATAACTTTGTCTCAAAATTCGTTGCAAATTAGTAAGATATGTATACTTTATACAGAAAAAACTAACTTTAGGCAATTCGTAACTTTTTCTTGTCTGGCGGAGAGATTTTCACAGAAATTTTTCAAATACGATGCTTCACTCGTTTTTAAGGTGAATAATGTTTTTTTCATAAGAAATTCGGGTCAACAAAACAGAACAAATTTATTGAAAAAAAAATAAAAAAACAACAACAAAAATAATAACGTGAGATATATTTCCGTGAACCTACAGAAGCGATCCTGAGATCGCTGCTGGGAGTTTTGAAAAAAGAAGCCTGAAAAAATTAATATATTAATATTTCACGTAAACCTACAAAATTTTGGAAATTTCATCTTTTTATATAATAATCAATTTCCAGATTGACTTCAATGGTATAAAGGCTAAAGGATGCTCGAGGACTTCAAGGAAAATTAACGGAGTGGGAATGCAAGAGGTTGATTGCAATCACCATGGATCTGGCTGTCTTCCCGACAATTCAGTTTGCTGTTGCGAAGGAAATAAGTGCAATGGAGTGTCAGAAATCTCTGCAATGTTTTCAATCGTCATTATTGGAGTTGCCAGATTCTTCTTGATGTAATTTTGAGTTCTAAATAAACTTTAACTGCATTTAATTTTACCTTTGGAAAAATGGTCGTTCATCATTAAACCTACACATGATAAACAAGCTTTCAAAGATCAAAGCTTTTCTTCTTTTTTTCTGCAAAGCACTTTTTGATTTTTTTTTCTGTTTAGTGATGGGTTGCTACGCAAACAACGCTTATCCAGATTCCCCAAACCTTGAACTTCTTTGGAACATCTACAATGAGTTTTGCTCTTTTGTGAATACTCAATTATACAAAAATGAGCTCTATTTCGCTGGTCCGTGTATCTTGATCAATATCTTCCATTTTATCGTCCTTACTCGGAGTTCTATCCGGAACTCTACAGTTTATATAATTATGGCGGCAATAGCTCTGGTGGATATTTGCTCCTCTTTATACGTTATCCAACTGGAAACTGTAGAAATCTTCAAGAGTTTTAGTGTATGCTATTCTTCTACTACGTATTATAAACTTATATCCGTTGATGTTTTCTTGGAAGGCGTGAGGACTGTAACCAGAAGGTGTTCCACCTGGCTAAGCTTCAGTATCACTCTTATCAGAACCCTGGCTATTCGTTTTGCAATGAACCCGAAATTTGAAATCCTTTCCAAACGAAAAACCGCTTTCTTTCTCATCAGTCTAGTTTTCATAGTTTTCGTCCCCATTCAAATTTTCGGTCCCTATAGACTAGAAGCTCCGATAGGGAACTACACATGCAAACCAAATGTGACAAGATCAACCTTCACATTTTTCTGGTACACTCGAACAGAATTTTATATGCCCAGGCAAGAATTTCTTGCAATGACTCACAAAGTTGTGGAAGGATTACTATCAAGGGTAATTTGACGGAAAAGTCCCGAATTTTCGAAAAAGTTGCAGATCTTACCGTGTATCTTGGTCCCAATCGCTACAGTATTCTTGATTCGAGAGATCAAAAAAGCCGAGATTCAGAGGAAGAAAATGGCCTCTTCGTCAAATATGAAAAGCTCGAAAAATACTTCAAAATTGGTGTTGGCGTTAACATTGACATTTTTCGTGGCTGAGCTTCCTTTAGGAATCGTATATGTTTTAAAGCCATCAAATTACACTGTTAATGACAAAACTATGGGATTTACTGACATGTAAGCTGTGTGTGCTAACGACACGGTTTCGGTAAATTTACCGGTAATTCACCGGTAAAATACAAGTAAATTTTCACCGGTCTAATTTTTTCCGGTAGAGTTACTGGTAAATTTACCGAAAACTATCGGTAATTAGAAAAGCTTTCTTTTTTTTTTCAAAATTTGTAACCGGAGAACCGCGACATTTTAGAACCGCTGCGTTTCAGAACCGCGACGTTTTAGAACCGTGACGTTTCAGAACCGCGACATTTTAGAACCGCAACATTTTTGAATCGCGACGTTTCAGAACCGCGACGTTTGAGAACTGCGACATTTTAGAACCGCAACGTTTCAATCTTTCAATAGAATGACCCACTACAAATTTGAGCCAATTCCTTTCTGTTCCTGTGGAAGATAACAATTAATTAACTGGCAAAATGTTTTTGATATTATAATAAACATTTTGTCAGTTGACTACCTTTTGATATCGTTCACAATAAACGGAATATATAGACTCAAATTTAGATTATGTTAGTTGTTTTCAGAATCGTTCTGCAAACTTTTGAAGAATTCTTCTCTGTCCTTCTCACTATCACAACTGCTACACACATGATTATTTGTGTCTTTATGTCATCCCAGTACCGAGAAACTTCGTTATCTGTTGTTAGATGTGGATATGTTCCTAAAGTGCGTCGAAAATTAATACTTTTATAAATTTAAACATTTTGCAGCCCAGATGGAAGGACAATTTAGTGGTAGTTGCATCAAAAACGTGATCATAGGTGATATCACTTTGCTAACCAAACCTCACACAACCTATTTTAATCGAAAAATATCAAGTGATATCAGTTAACTCCCTCTCTATTTATTCCAGAATTATTCTTCTGACATCTTCTTTAACAATGAAAGCCAACAAGACTCAAAAACTTCCCAAAACTACAACATCTCCTTTGGATTACCAATATGAAATTTTCGAATATGACGACAAAACAGTTTTAGAAAAAGTAAGAATCTCCAGTGTCGTTGATGATTTCATGGCATTCCTTGGCTTTTTCATTTGCATATTTCATTTTCTTGTGTTGACACAAAAACCGCTTCGTTACGATTTCATCTATTTCTCAATTCTGATCATCTGTATTTGCGACTTCTTCTGTTTTTCTGGGACCATTATCTCGAGTTTCATAGAATTCTTGGCCAAAACTGACTGCTTCACATTATACACCAAAACTCAATTAAAAATCCAAGTTGTAACTATTATCGCTCGCTCGGTGGCCAGAAATGTGTCATCAGTTATCATCATTCTCGTATCAATGCTCAAAATCTTTTCATCAAAATTCAAAATTAAATTTACAATTTTAATAAATCTCACTGTTCTGGCGATTTTCATTGTCTATCATAGTTGGTCAAACTGGTCTTATAAGCTCGAAAATTTTCAGATGTCTGGGTGAGTATCGTCAACTTTGAGCCGTCATAGCCCATTTCCTGTGATAGATATAAGAGAGATCAGATTTCAAAATTTTCATCATAATATCAAAAATTATTATGTCAGTTGTTCACTTTTGATACCTTGTACAGGAACCGAGATAAATTGTCTTAACGTTGGGGGTAATTCTACTCGAGTGCGCTTTTTCAGATGTGAATCAGATCCCGATACTTCATTTGATTCCAATGAATTATTCATGAAGCCCAAACTATTAAAAAATCAAAATTTCTACAATAACTGTATAACTATTGTGCTAACTTTTCTATTTTTTATAACTTTCATAGTTTTATTCATCAAACTGCGAGTTGTAGTCCGGACAAAAAATGGAGAAGACGAGTAAGTTCTTTAATAGGAGTCCTGACAGAATTCTAGCAATTTCAGCTCTTATATCTTATTACTTTTACTCTCACTAAGTTTTCTAATATCTGAATCATTGGATGCTTTGGTCATTTTATTCGACAAATTCGCCTTAAAACCTTATTACAACATTCAGTGAGAAGATCAAGAAAATCAAATAATTCTGAAAAATTACATTCACAGAGCATACTACATACGATTTCAAGTCATCACTCGAACTATTATCACCATCAATACAGTAACCCACTGTTTTATTTGTCTTCTGACGTCATCGGAATATTTTAATGCTGCTAAAAAATTATTGAAATGGAACAAGAAGCCAAAAGTGAGCAAAACATTTTCGAAAAGTTGAATCAAATGAAAAGTTTGCAGATTCAACCACCAGATGTTCCATCAATATCGACCATCAGAAACGTTGATGGTTCAAACACAGAATATTAGAATAATTAGTCTTATTGGGAACATTGAAGAATACCGTAAAACTTGTAATAGAAGGGCCCACACTGTCAGTTTGAGCTCAATTATCTCCGTTTCTATAGGAGATAGCAAAAATGAGTCAACTGATAAAATATTATGATGTTATGACAAGCAATTTATCTGTTGACAACTTTCTCATATCTTCAACAGGTATCGAGATACATATATTTGCTCAAAATTGAAAGTTGGGAGCCCTTCTATTACAGGTTTGACGTAATGTAATTTATTTTGTAATAAACTATTTTTGTTTGTTTTGATTTAAAGACCGTATGAATTCTGAAACTACAAGCTTAAAGGTGAAGAGACATGGAAGAGGATTTTCTCTAACTTTCGTTCATCAAAACCCCTTGAGGAGTTGAACTTGTGGATACACTGTTGGATGTGCCGCGTCGCTACGAGTTGAGCTATGCGGGCAGAATTTGCATCGCCGGCCGATGTCGTCTGAATAGGAAACCGGCAGTTTTAGGGTTTGTCCCAGATGAGAGGTCCCATGATCATCGCTCCAAAATATGTTGCCAAATCACGGCCCGGCCCGGCCGGCCCGCCTTCTGTGCAGACGCTGATTTTTTCGAATTTTTTTTCGAAAATTTTGAAATTTTTTCAAAAATTTGAGCAAAAACAACCTATTTTTTGATTACGTTCCACTCTGTTAATTTTGTTCAAAAATGTAAATTTTTTCTTATTTAAAGGGGGACTCCGACCAAAAATTTTTATTGCCTTAAAATGTTTCAAAAAATATGTATTTTCATATATTATTGCGAAAAAATTCAAAGAAAATCCTAAATCCCCGAAAAACGGCGTTGAAAATAAATAGGATTTGAATTCCCGCGCAGTGAGAAACCTAGGCCACGGCAACATAGCGCCTTTCTGACATGGAAATTTTTCCGGATTTTTTCGGTTTTCATGTCCGGCCGGTAAAAAACTTAAAAAACCACTGTTGGCCACTTGAAAAAACGGCTATCAGGCTTCGTGGCCTAGGTTTCTCACTGCGCGGGAATCCAAGTCCTCGTCCCTCCTAGCAACTTTTTTTTGAAAATGTTTCGCTTTTAACGGCATTTTTCGGGGATTTCGGATTTTTTTCGAATTTTTTCGCTATAATATTGGGAAAATAGACAACTTTTTGAACATTTCAATGCAATAAAAATTTTTAGTCGGAGTCCTCCTTTAATTTTAAAGAATGACCCAATTTTTCATTGAAAATTTTCCACTGTGAGAGGCGGGTTGGGCCGGGCCGAGAAAATTCCTTTTCCGGCCCGGCCAGTGGCAGCTATGAAAATATGCAACTCTGGCTTCATCGATCATAAGAGCGGTTTTATTATGACGACGCAAATCCCATCCCTTCGACCCTGGTCACGGTTCTGTTGCCTAGGAATCTAAGAGTCTGATTCGGAAATTTGAAACATTTCGAGATTTTTTGTTTCTGTTGGTCTTGTTCTCTTGCCCTTCATAGCGCGAGTATGATATTTTCACAGCTCACAAAGTTCAATTTTGCAGAAACGAAACGAAAATATAACTTTTGAAAATCATTTTCCAATTCCTTGCGTAAACGGATGGGCTGCTTTGATCATAATCCATATTCCGACTCATTCCTCTTGTCAATTCTCTGGAAATTCCAAAGCGAATTCTGTGAATTTGTCCGGCTGATTTACGAAAATGAAATTTATTTTGCGGTTCCTTGTATCTTGATAAACATTTTTCATTTTATAATTCTTCGTCAAAAATCAATGAGGACCTCTCCGATTTATATTCTAATGTCAGCAATTGCAATAATCGATATTTTCACTCTACTTTTTGATGTAAACAAGCAAACTACAAGAATGTTCAAAGTTTTCAAAATATGTTATACGAAAGAAATTGACTATCGAATGATATGGATGAGAATTCTAACCGATTGTAGTCGTAATTATACCAGAAGATGTTCCACGTGGCTTAGTTTCAGCATTACACTGATAAGAACTCTGGTGATCAGAAATCCCCTAAATCCGAAATTCGAAATATTATCCAGCCAAAAATCGCTTACTATTTTATATTTTTGATTTTATTTTTGTGCAGCTTGATCCATTTATTAGATCCGTTCAGATTCAGAATATTTCAAATCGATGAGCAAGTCAAATGCACGCAATTCACAATGCATGAGTACTACTGGTTGGAAGATTCCAAATTTGTCACTGATGACAATTATTTTATGGGGAAAATTCAAAAAATTACAGATGGACTTATTTCTAGGGTTATTGTAAATACAACATCATCTGTAAGAGATTTTTTTCAGATCATCCCTTTTATCCTGTTCACAATTGCCACCTATTTTCTGATTGTTGGAATCAAAAATGCTGAAATACAGAGGCAAAAAATGGCTTCGTCTTCCAATCTAAAAAGTTCAAAAAACACTTCGAAACTAGTCTTGGCACTTACCATTTCATTTTTTGTCGCTGGATTTCCCCTTGGGATAGTTTGCATTTTAAGTCCGTTTTCACCGACTACAAAAAATCCAAATGACCAGTTTGCGCTATAGTAAGTAGAAAATCCGGGGACACTGTTCCAGCTTAAAAGTTTTGGTATGGTCTAGGGGACACTAAAAACCGGAGGGCTCAAGGGGTCTCCGAAAAGTTTAGGAGACCCTTACAAAGCATTGAAAAATCCATGGGACCCTCAACTAACACAAGGCCGTCTAGCGATCCTTCTAAAAATCACCCAAAAATCCACAAAGTTTACAGCTTCGTTCTGAGCATTTTGGAGGACTTTTTCTCTGTGATCCTCACAATTTCCACTGCTACCCATATGATTATCTGTTGTTTGATGTCTTCAATGTACCGTGATACCGTATTAACAATGATTCGATGTGGATATGTGCCAAAAGTGAGTCATAACATTTTATGACCGAAATCAATACTTTTTTTAAAGCCAAGAAAACCGGAAAATTCGTTAACCGTTGACTAAATGAGTTCCTCGGGGATTTAATCTTGAGGGTCTACCTTTGGAAGTCCCGCGTTGCTACCATCTGAGCTACGGTTACACCGCCGAACGAATTGAAAAAAAACAGTACATCGTCACGTCAGAGTACATACTCTCGCCCAATCCCAAGAACTTTAATACCCTCTGTCCTTTGAAAAACTTGTAGCCTACAAAAACTTTCCTGAATGTTTAGTTTGCTTCTTTGTAATTACCAACTACCCAAATTTTGCTCCATCATACATCAAGAAGAATTTCTGATCCTTTACTTTGTTGATGATCTTTAGAGAATCTGCAAAACTCATTTGAACGCGATTTTATCAACATAAATACTTTTCAATTTTCCTGAATCTTTTGCACAATGAAAACGACCAAATCTAAACTCAAAACCACCACGACTCCTTACGATGATTTCGAATTTTATGAATATGAAGATTTCGAATTTCCCCAAATAGAAATGGAACAGAAAATAAGAGAATTTAATTTGGTGGCTATTTTTGTTGCAATCTTTGGAATCGCTCTCAATGTTTTCAATGCTTTCATTTTGACAAGAAAAGAAATCAAAAAGGATTATGTATTTCGGTCCATTCTTATTGTTTGTGTTTGCGATATTACTCTCTTCAGTGACACCATTTTTTGGAACGTTTTGGACCAGGAAGTTGTGAAAAATGTTAATGGCCTTTATGGCGTGGTTCGTGAATTTCTGAGAAGATCTGTTCTAGCAACAGAAAGAATGACAAGAAATATATCTGTTACTGTTGTTTTAGTGCTATCGGTCTCAAAATATTTCGAGAATCTGAGAAAGTATTCTATGAGAGCTAGCATCGCTATATCAGGAGTTTTTGTGATTTGGCATGCGGTCTGGAGCTATTTTTACTATCAAATCTATAAAGTTTTCGATAATGAAAGGTAAACTGCAGTAAACTACCGTAAACACTGCCGTAACTAGGTTTAACACTACAGCATCTACCGTAAAAACTACGGTAACCAACTGAAACACTACTGTAACCAGCGTAAACACTACCGTTAGCTAACGCCTAGTCCTTCATCAAAAATAGCTCTTGTTAGGTGCTAAATAATGATATTCCAGATCTGACGATTTTGAAATGTTTTTCAACTATGAACTCTTAATCGACGAGAATTATATTCATACCTTCACAGTTATGAGTAATTTATCTACTTTTCTTTCTATAGTTTCACTGCTAGTATCATGCGCATTTCAATTTCGAAAGCTGCGATTGATCATTCGCGATCAAAACGGGGAGGATGAGTGAGTTATGACAACATATAACTTTAAAAGAGGCCAGACACCAAAAAAAAAGTTTTCCTGATATTTTGCCTAGAGAACTCCCATGAGGAGTTGAACTCATGCTGGACAGCTAAGGGGTACAACGCCGCTACCGGCTGAGCTACGGGGGCGCGAAGGCGCCTGACGATCGATGGCCTACATAAGCGCGGTGCGATTTCGTCCCCCAAACTGTCCCCCCAAAATTTTTGCTGCCTGGCCTCCTTTAAAATCTTAAAAATTTTAGCCACTCAATTCTAGTATATTTGATATCAGTGAGCATGTTAATATCAGAGCTCATCGACGGATTTGTCATTGTATTTTCACTCGTCTGGTTGAGACCATATTACATTTTGCAGTAAGTCAAATTTTTTTTTTGGCTGACTCATTCAAATTTCTATTTTCAGAGAGTTCTACGTTCACATTCAGAGAGATACAAGAATAATCATCTCAATTAATTGTGTGACTCATTGTTTTATTTGTCTGCTAACATCTTCGGAATACTCAGCGGCGGTTAAAAAGTATACAACAAGGATAAAGAAGGTTGAAATATCTGAAATTCGATCAGTGTCAACTAATAGGACAACTGGAGGCACCCATGAGTCATATTAACAAAATCTGGCAAAATAATTTATTTATTCCTTCTTAGACTTAGTCTTAAAAGCTTGTCCATAAATGAATGAAAATACAAAGTACACAATGTACAAGATCACAGAAAAAATAGCAATAAGAATCGCCCAAGCATCCAACATATAGTATTGCACAAAGCTGTAATGCACATTGTATGGCTCCAAAGCAGCTACTCTTCCGAATCTAAAAATTTGAAATTCATCATAGACTTTAAAGAAAGTACTTACTTGGCACTAAACTCCACATGTTTTAACAAATTCGCTTTTGGATCAATCGGTTGATTCTTAAGAAGATCTGCGATAAGCAAAGCGTTCTTGTTGAAGCTCTCATCTTTCAAAATCGTCTTCACAGTTTCCGCCAGCTTTTGTCCGTCAGCCAAATCGTATTTGTCGAAAACTTGTCCTCCACCATGTCTACTAAGCATCTTGGCATTTAGAAGTTGATCTCCGAACACTGGAACCATCAGAGCAGGTTTACCAGAATAGGCGACTTCTAGAGTGCTTCCCAAACCTCCATGTGTAATGAATAGTTTAAGACGATGGTCGGCTGCAAAATGAGAAGCTGAGAATCTTTTTTTAAAATATGGTTACCCAAAAGTGCCGGCTGTGGTACCCATTTCTTGAGAATTACATTTTCCGGTAGTCGATTTTGAAGTTTCTCGTCGTCCACCTCATACTTCCAGATGAAAGTAGTTTCTGGCAGATTATGGAACATCTGGATGATTCCATCTCTGCAATTATTTAGCTAAGCGGATGTAAACTTGCGAAACTCACTTGAAACTTTCCGGCATATCCGCTGACTGAATTACTGTACCAAAGGAAATGAGGACCGTTGATTTTCGAAGACACAGAATTTTTTCAAACTCTTCACCTAATTTCAAACTTTTCGGTGGGTCAATTGTAAATCCACCAATTCGAATATGTTTTGGGATGACTGGGGTTGGAAACGAAATATAATCATTTCCATTTGAAAAATAAAACGTGGCAGATTGCAAAATATCCTTCCAGTGCCTCACATTCCCTTTCAACAGAGTGTTAGCTTGATCGTATTGCTTATCAAAAAGTTTCGAAAACGCCAATTCCAAACATGGCAAGGAAATTATGTCATTGACCCGATCGACGAGCGTTTGTTCCGCGCCGAACTTTGTTTTCATGGCTGAAAATGTTTTTTTTAAATACATAAATACATGTTTTGTTGTTAACAAGCCATCTGATCAATGATTCGAAAGCTCTTATCAGTTGGAGATTGATCTAAACTCACATGGCAAGAAGTTCAAAAGCGATGGTTGTCCAATTGCGTAAAATGATGGAATACTAATTGTGGACGAATGCATTGGGATTATATTCAGTCTCAAGTGGTCTCCAAGAACTGAAAATTTTAAAAATTTGTAATTTTTGAATAGTTTCAAATTTTCAAGCATTACATAGTCCACAAAAATCGAAAGTTTCCGATATAATACCATCGAAATGTTTGGATAGAATCCACTGATGTAGTTTTTGGTCCAGGAGAACTTCTGAAAATTTTTGTATTGCCATTTTTTGATTGGAATGAAAAACTCACTTTCACACATCACTTTCATCTCATTGAACAGAACCGTTGATGTCTAAAAAATTTGAAAATGAAGTTTGAGAAAAAAACATATAATTTTATAAATGGTAATAGTCATCTTTGAGGTCCAAAAAAAGTGGTTCAAAAATTTTCGATTTGTCTGAAAATTGCAGAGTATAATAAAAAGAACGTGAGCTTCATTTTTGTAGTTGACAACTTTTTTGCAAAACTTTGTTCTGATGAGATATACCATATGAAACCAAAAAAGTGCCGAATACGCCAAAATTAGCCCTGAAATTCGCTTTCCGCTTAGTTTTTACCATTTTGAAGATTGATGGTCATACCGGCCCAATTTTGATTAGCCTACCGTAAGACCTCTATTAGAAGGGTCTCATAAATGGAAGGGCTCCTCTAATAGACGGGTCCCTGTATTAGAAAGGCCTTCTGGAGGTACTTTGGAACAATAAAAAATTTTCCAATACAGGTTTTATGGTAATTTGAAAATTTCAGAGCAATCCGAAAATTCTGGACCACTTCTTTAGTGTTTCAAAGTTGACTATCTTCCAATAAAAAAGTATATTTTCAACCTGTACTCACCGCAAATGCTCCAGTCACTGGATTATTAATAATTTCAGTGTTCCACATGAATTTGAATGCGCTCGCCGAGTTTTCATTGAACGCTGCATTTTTCTCATCATGATAGTCAACTAGCTTCAAATAAAAAATTAGCTCACTGACTTTTCAAATTACTGTACCTCCACATTTTTGTTCTTTGTCATGCGAATCTCTCCAAAATGTTCATAATTGTAAACTTGAAGGATTGTCTGAAAATTCGAGTTATCTAACAAATAATTTCGACAAACAAAAATACCACATTATGTCCCGCGTTTGCCAGAGTGTCACCAATTTTACTCATAAATTTCAGATGACTGTAGCCAAAAACTTGGGAGACCAGCAAAAAATTATAGGCGGCCGTTAAACCAAGCAGAACGGAAAATAAAATTAGAAACTTCATGCTTTAGGTAGTACACAAAACACTAGATGCTCGCTTCTTATCATTTCTTAATATAGTCTAGCATGTTATCTACTAACTTTCTTTGATACGCAGCAAGATAAGAAATTTGCGAGATAGCGTTTACTGTAGAAGAGGCGGTAGAGAAATGGATAAAAAACTGGCTACCCACGTTTTGTGTCTGTACAAGTAAATTTAGAGTTTGTGTCGTTTGCATCAGTATTTTTGGGGAAGATACTATAAAGGACAAGTTGTAGTTTGTACCAAAAAAAGGGTACCCTGAAAAAATAGGGGACCCACAGAGACCCAAGCAGTTTAGGGGGCCTTTAAAAAGGGGAAACAGTAAATTCTTCAGATTTTTTTCAGTTACGGTATGCATTCTGACGTGACGGTGTACAGTGATTAGTGGGACCAGCTTGTGGCTGTCGTGCCGCTTTTATATGGCACATACCGTAAAACCTGTAATAGAAGTGCCCCCTAACTTTCAACTTTGAGCTTAATTATCTCGGTTCCTGATAAAGATATCAAAAATGTGTCAACTGATAAATTGTTTATCATAATAGCAGCAACAATTTATTAGTTGACAAATTTTTTACATCTTTATCAGGAACCGAGATAAATAAGCTCAAAGTTGAAAGTCAGGGGAACACTTCTATTACAGGTTTTACGGTAATTAGGAGGGTACAAAAATGTTGGGATCATTGGGGTGCAAAGTAATTTAGGGGGAACAAACTCTTCAATTCGGGGTGATAAATACCTTTAAAATCCTAATTTTGTACCCCGTGATTAGTTTGTACCGGCTCGTACCCCCCGATTGTTGTACCCTCCGAATTATGTGTCTTTTCATAGAGGACATCATTCAACCTGTAGCTCAGCTGGAAGCGACGCGGCGCCTCCAACGTTAAGCCCACAAGTTCAACTCCTCGAATGGCTTATATACAAAAAATTTCGAGAAAATGATTTTTCAAGTCCCTCACCTTTAATACAACTGGGATGGTGTGCTTTGTTCTCTGATTAAATATTGTTGTCAATTACTTTTCATTTCCTTTTTAGAACGTTTTTATACGGAATTACAGAGAAATTGATAGCGCTTCCTTTTTCCGGTTCTATGACCCAAACCCAAAACATTCACCTCTGTCATTCTCGTTCTTAATTCCAATTGATGTACGTCAATATCCCGCACTACTACATTCCCAAACTCTGTGGTATTTTAGCTTTCATTTTTAACCCACTCTTTGTATATCTTCTCCATTCTGATAAAAAACTTCAATTGGGAGCTTATCGCTATCTTTTGATAAGCTTCTCATTTTTCAATATGTTATGTTCGCTGTATGATACATTGGTACCGATGGTAAGTGTCTGGCTAGTCCTGGTAAGTCCTGGGCTTCGAGTTCATTTTCTCACTGCAAGCGCGTAGCTTGGTCGTTCGAGATGCCTTTAAGTTTCCAGTGTGTTCACGGCTACCGTTACGCTTTCGTCGTGTTTGTCTCCGACGGCCCCTTCGTTCATTTTTCGGACCTTGGACAACTGGCCCTTTCTGTTAGATGTGGTTTTATAACCGTGACGTATGCTATTCTACATGCGCATTTCATATTCCGATATTTTGTGTTGTATAAAAATGCGCTACTTCAAAAATGGTTCATGCCTTATGGTTTAGTCGCTACATTTGTTTACTGTGTATGTCATATGGCATTATGGACGTGGGTGGGTTAGAGGAAATGAGCCCCACAGACTCATATTATGACAAACAGTTGCAGGTCTGCGAATTCTTCTTTTACGGGGATTACGAGCGTAAAAGATACGTCCATGATTCTTTCAAAGGCCTTTATCATGAAGATTCACTGAATATGACTATGGTGGTTGCTCTTTATTGGGAAGGAAGTAATGATGCAGTGGTTTGTTCCTGGATTGGTGTGGTCATAGTTACAACGAGTACTGTATATTCGATGTTGTTATATTTTGTGCTGGGTCATAAGGCAAGAGTTAACAAATATTCTTGCTTTATATTTCCTTCTTCTAGATTATTAAAAAATTAAAAGTGCAAAGTTCCCTTAGCGAGAAGACCATCAATCTTCAACGTCAATTATTTAATGCTCTCGCAATCCAAACCGTAATCCCAATCTGTGTTAGCCTCATGCCGTGTCTTGCTGTATGGTTTGGGCCAGTGTTTCTTCTTGATTTCCGTTGGGTTTATTTATCAGCCGTAATTGCTGTTTCCATTTTCCCATCTATCGATCCAATCGCACTGATATTTTTCTTGCCAGCGTTACGCAAGAGGGTCTTGATTATAAGAATTCGTGTTACTCATGTCAACTCACACTTGAATTGATCTAAATATTTTTTGAAGCCTCTTATGTGTTCAAGTGGTATCTGAGAAGTCGAAAATTTGAGTTTTAGAAAATACTCATTTTGTCGAAATCTTATAAGCCCCTCAAGAGGTTGAACTTGTGGTCCACCACTGGAGGTCCCGCGTTGCTGAGCTACAGTGGCGAAAGTATTGACCGTACCGGTCAATAAAGTATACAAAACCGTATTTTTAAAGTTGATTTTTGACCGTTTTGGAGAAGTGGAAGAAATGGAAGGAGCTCGGCTGCCAGGTTTCAGATCTCTTTGGAAACTTTGATGGGTGTACATAAAACATACCTAGATTCAAACTTTGTACTTACAGAATGTAAAAAAAAAAGATAAATAGAAAATAATATAATACAATACATCAGGCACACGCAACAAGAAAGTTTTAGCTCCTGCAAACTAGGATCAACCTGCAAACAGTGATGAAAAACTGCAGTAATTTGTAGTCAAATTTCACCTGTTTCCCCGACATGACTTCTTATGAGTTGCTGATTTTAAAATACTACTACACACTTACACCTTCCATCCTGAAACTTCTCATGATATCACATATTGATTTCACTGCCCCATCGTGGTTTGTAAGTTATTACTATATCATCGGTGCGATAAATGTTATTTTAAACTCTTATACACTTTGGCTGGTTGTTTTTAAAGCTGACAAAATTGATAAGTTTAAATATTTTTTGTTTTCGTTTCAGGTGAGTTGGAGGGGTTTATCTTCTCTCTCTCTCTTAAAAAAGGGCCCTAACTTCTAACTTTGAGCTTATTTATTTTGATTATTGTGAATGATGTCAAAAAGAGGTCCACTGGCAGAATGTTTGTGATAGTATGATAAACATTTTGCTAGCTTATCACTACTTGATATTTTTCACAGAAAATGAGCTATATGCCCTCAAAGTTGACAGTTTGGGGGGACATCCAATCAGAGTGGTTACGAAAACTGTTCTTCAGTTGTCTTGCCTATCCGTCGACTTCTACATCACTTTTCTGTTCCAACCTCAACCCCTTCATCCGCTTCCCGCTGGATTCTGTACAGGACTATTATGCTCTTTCTTTAGATGTTCCACGCTTATGACAATAGTCCTCGCACTAATTGCCTTCCAGCTGAACGCAATATTTTTGTGTTTTCTCAAAAAACTTTTAGCGTTTCGAGAAATGAAACGAGTGGGAACGAATTCACACTTTCCAAAAATTTTGTTTGGCATCTTTCTGATTATAAGTTGTTTAGATGTGACTTGTATGCATTTTTCTGGATTAGATGAAGACGAAGAACTTGAGCTTGTTAGAACGGTAAGCGTTTTTTTCTGAATTAAATATTTTTTTATGAATTATTATTTCCAGAAATACCGTACCTACGAAAAACAGTTTCTTGAAGTCTACGACTCTCTAGCAGTTTACGATATTAATGTCTGGTGGATAGCACTTCTCTCTATCACAGTGTTCGGATCTGCGTATTGTGTACCGTTTTATATTTTATCCACTTATAGCATGCATAAAATTCTAGCTGATTTATCTAGAAATCTATCTAGAATTAATCAAAAGAAACAGAAATTGGCTCTGATCAGTTTGGTGGTTCAACTGATTGTGTTAGCAACAGCTATACTTCCGGTTGGATTGTTGGCAATTTTGTTGATGATCGAATTTAATTATGCACAAATTGCTACGCGGATCGAGTTAATGGTTTATTGTTTCCACTCAACTGCGAATGCAATAGCTTTAATTCTAACAACTCCACCATTCAGAAGATTCACTTTTTTCTGGACTGTCAAGTAAGCGTTTATAGCTAACTACTCATATTGATTTCATCATTTTAAGAAAACAAACGCCAATTGCTGTGAGCATAAAATGAATGGTATTCGGAAATGAAAGAATTGTAGCCGAATGGAAGAAAAAATGTTCAAGAGACCTTTTGTGCTTGTTTCTGTTTTAAATGGGTGCCTTAAATCTCAGCTTATCAAATTGACCGCAGTCGTCCTTATCCTGTAAGCCTATTATATTTTTTCTGTATGAAACGAGATTTGTTTTTTTTTGAGATCGTTTTTTTTTCGTAATTACTATATCCAATTTTGAACCATATACAGCTTATTTCAGTATTTCGTCAACACAAACTTGTGTTTTTTACATTCAACTCATAGTCCGTGTCATTTACGAAATCTGTTAAAATGAGGATAACAATTTTTGATACTGCAAGTCTGCTTTTAGAAGCCACTTGGGAAGTTGAACCCGTGATCAGGATGATAAACAGCTAGGTTGCTACCGACTGATCTACGTGGTCGTGAATACAGCTGCCTATGGTGCCGCGTTGCTAGCAGCAGAGTTCCTAGAATTTTTTTTCATCATTTCAAGTTCAATATCAGACTTTGCATTTTCTACCTGTTTCCCGATATGATTTCTTGAAAATCTGAGTTGCAGAAGAAAAAACTACTACACACTTAATCATTTGATTCTGGTACTTGTCATGATATCACATATCGATTTCACTGCTCCATCGTGGTTTGTAAGTTATTACTATATCATCGGTGCAATAAATGTTATTTTAAACTCTTATACACTGTGGCTGGTTGTTTTTAAAGCTAATAAAATCGATAAGTTTAAATATTTCTTGCTTTCTTTTCAGGTGAGTTGGAGTGGCTCTATTTTTACCTTAAAGAAGGGCTCCCTGACTACAGTGACTTGTTTCAGTTATCGTGCCTATCCGTCGACTTCTACATTACTATCCGGTTCCAACCTCAACCCCTTCTTCCGCTTCCCGCTGGATTCTGTACAGGACTATTATACTCTTTCTTTAGATGTTCCACACTTATGACGATAGTCCTCGCACTGATTTCCTTTCAGCTAAACGCAATATTTTTGTGTTTTCTCAAAAAACTTTTGACATTTCGAGTAATGAAACGATTGGAAACGAATTCATATTTTCCGAGAATATGGCGTCTTTCTGATAATTAGTTGTTTAGATGTGACTTGTACGTTTCTCGCTGGATTAGATGAAGACGAACATCGTGAGGTTATTAGAACGGCAAGATTGTTTACTCTGAATTGGTATTTTCATGAAATTGTACTTCCAGAAATATCCTTCCTACAAACAACAGTTTCTTGAAGTCTACGACACTCTAGCAGTTTACAATATTCTCTAGCAGTTTACGATATAGCAGTTTACGATATAATGTCTGGTGGATAGCACTTCTATCTATCGCAGTGTTCGGATTTGCGTATTGTGTACCGTTTTATATTTTATCCGCTTATAGCATGCATAAACTTTTAGCTGATTTATCTAGAAGTATATCTAGTGTCAATCAAAAGAAACAGAAATTGGCTCTGATCAGTTTGGTGGTTCAACTGATTGTGTTAGCAACAGCTATACTTCCGGTTGGATTGTTGGCAACTTTGTTGATGATCGAATTCGAATATGCACAAATTGCTACGCGGATCGAGTTAATGGTTTATTGTTTCCATTCAACTGCGAATGCAATAGCGTTAATTCTAACAACTCCACCATTCAGAAGATTCACTTTTTTCTGGCTTGTCATGTAAGTGTTCATGGTTAGTTAGTTTGATTTAATCATTTGAAGGAAACGAACGCCGGTTGTTGTCAGCATTCAATGAAAATTGGAACGTGGAACAGCAGATTGCTCAAAATACATAACTAAATTCCTAAAAATTTTCAATCTCTATTTTTTCATGTGCAACTAATCCGAAGGGTACAAACATTTTGGGGTCGTTGGGGTACAAAGCAGTTCAGGGGTTCAAAATACCTGAAAAATTTGAACTTTGTACCCCCGAATTGTGGATTTTTCCCTCTAAATTGCTTTGTTCCTCGTTGTACCCCCGAAGTTCGTACCCTCCGAGATTCGTGTCTTTTTCAGGAGTGTCTGACCTAATGACAAAAATTAATTAGAAGTATTCAATTCTTTTAAATTTTTTAAAACTTTAAATTTGAAAGAAGCAAAAAGTTATGAATACATGATCACTTTATTTTCATGCGTTTTTCACGAATGAATCTTACTACTCAGCTCATCAACACACCCGATCTGAGTTGTTCTTATCCTGTAAGCCTATTAGATTTTTTTCTGTATAAAACGAGAGTTAGCTGTCGTTTTTTATTCATATTTACTACATCCACTTTAAAAAAATATACTTCTTGCCTATTTCAGTTTTTCGTCTACACAAACTTGTCATTTTCTCACTCATCTGACGATCCCTCTTTTTTTAAATGAAAACTGTTTAAACTGTTACTTTGTCTATAAAGTAAGTCTAGAGAAGAAACTTGTGATCAGAAGCTGAGGTACGCGGTTGTGAAGAAGACATCTTTCAGTGAATGACCTATGAGATTCCTACCTTCATCAGCCCTGAAAAATAATGTCTAGACAGCGATTCTGTTGATCAGGAGCACACAAAATATGATATTTTTGGATTTGCCCCCCTTTGTTTTCTAGTTCATTTTAGTTTTGAAATCCCTGAGTTCCTAACTGTTTTTAAAGTTGACAGGTCATGCAAAAACTAGTTATCTCGAAACTTCGTTCATATTTATAAGTCTCTCAAGGATTTGAACTTGTGGGGGGGGGGGGGTATGAAAAATCAGTTAATTGGAATTTAGTACACACAAATCGTGGATTTCGCACCCCTAATGGCTTTGCACCCTCCGAATTATTCGCTCTGCTGATGTCATATATGAAAGCGATACTATAGCTACGCTCTATGTGAACAACAATCACTGTACACCGTCACGTCAGAATGCATACCGTCACTCCAAAAGAAGTAAATCTCCTGTATCCCCTCCTCTAAAGGAACCTAAACCCGATTTTTCTTTGACTTCCAAAAATAGCCACCCTCTGAACCACCAGAGAGTTTTTTTTCTATGACGACAATTCACCTGTGAATGAGGGTCAACAGGTGAAAATTACCCTAGTTGTTGACTGAAATAAATCCTAGGATGCCGTCAGACCTTGTACTGATTTCCCACATAACATCAAACACTATTCCGAAAAGTATATAAGCGGATTTTTTCTTCGAGCACCTTCTTTTCCGAGAGAGAGAGACATCCTAATCCATTGCCAAAAAGACTCTTTTCTGTTTTCATTCAAACTTATTTTTGAATATTTTCATTTTGTGATATTGGTTCTTCTGGATATTGAGCATTTTCTAATGGAGCCAACTGTATTTCTTGAAACTATTGCAAAATTTGTATTCTTTCCTATCTGCTTACTATCATTTATTGGTGTATCCCTATATTGCAAGTATGTCTACGACAGAATCCAAATGAAAAAATGCATCGAGCACTACAATCCAAAGGGAATGACATACCCACATGACTATACAAGAAGGCTCAGTTGGTGGGAAACTCATTGTAAGTTTTATTTTTCTTGTGAATATTAAAATTTTCAAACTTGCGGAAAATCCGATTTCGGGCTGGCATGGGACATCCCTTAAATGGTTCTTCAGCAAGTATGGAATTTTTAGTTTGCATAAAATTCAAAAATTAATTTTTATAGGTACCGCCAGAGGGTCGATTCCCAAAATCATAATTTCCCCATTAGTAATATCGAATGATTACAAAGATTTGGAAAAAGGATCGCCGCTTGGAGAAATCATTCACGGCGAACTGTATCGACGAGACTCCGGACTTCATCTCTCTCCGCCTCGTAGAGTTTGAATTTAAAAAAAACTTAAATTTGTAAAACATTTGTGATTGTTAGTGCTTGGGTACTTTTTTATGTGTTTCTCCAGAAGTTGGTTTGAATGAAATATACAACTATATCCAAGTGTACTAGTGTAATCTAAAACAGTGTGTTTTTGTGACGTATTTGTTTCAGAGAGTTGAAGGAACGAAAACATGTGAAACCCTGGTACAAAACCCGAAAGAGCAGGTGCTTCCTCGTTGATAAATTTCAGGTGTTGATTTTTCTGAAAATAGCAGTTTAGTCTTACGTAGCCCACGCCAACTGAGCAGCTTCTGCGACAGGTTTCGACACACTGCTCAATCTAGATCCAACCGTTTCGTTGCCACATAACTCGGAATGTACAGCGATTTGAGGGTATCAATGGATAGAAAATCCACAATTATAGGCTACCAAATTCGATTTTAAGAACTGACTTAGACACTGAAAAAGTCTGCTTTCATGGCGGCTTATCAATTCAAAAACAATGTAATAAAGACTGTTTTCGTTACTAACTTCAAAAATTTTGATCTAGACATTGATAAGATTACCTGGTGAATCTTTGAGTTGTTTTGATGTTTTGAGAAGGCAAGCCTGCTCGTGGCAGCAAAATGAATACGAAATAAAAAAGTTGCGTCTTGTTTGCAAAAATGGAGCCTGTAATCGCATCTGTATTCGTCAAATGGGTAAGACGAATGTTTATGGTACTGGGCTGCCGACTTGTAATTTCTGTTAGAAAACTGAGTGGTTCGGCATTTGGACAGATATTAGACAGGTTTCGGTCGGAGCATGCCTAAAAACGGCTCTATAGCGGACCATGGTCATTTTTGGGGAAAAAAGATAACGCATTTTTGCAGTTACTGATAGTTACGGCCGATTGTGAGTTGACAATGCCAAAGAGCAAACAAGTGGAACTTATCTTCTCCCGGTACTCATTTGACAATGAAGACGAGCAGGTTTGTCTACCCTGGACTTCAAAACAAGTTGAAAATTAAACACTTTGTCTTCTAGAGCAAAGGTTTTGAAATTAATAACAAAAACAGTTTTTGTTACCATGTTTTTGAGTTGATACACAGTTAGATAAAATCTAGAATCGTATAAAAGCCATCCCCATCCAACTAAAATTTAACAGACATTTCAGTGTCAACCATGAAATCAGCTCTTCTTATTCTTGTCATCGTTGTGCAAGTGGCCAATTCAGTTCTGTCGGCCAAACTGCCATCGTCAATATCCACAATGTTCTGAGATCGAAAATCGCCAAAGGAACCTATACTGCGAAGGGAACACTCGAACCAGCAGCAGCCAACATGCGTAAAATGGTTTGTTAAAAATTTTAGTTTGGTTTCGAAAAACTTCAACATTCAGAAATGGAATCCGGCTGTTGCCAGCTCTGCTCAAAATTTGGCTGTCCAGATGACCACTCTGGAACATCAGAAGTCGGAGAGAATATGTATTGGTCATGGTCCTCTCAAGCCCCACCTGCCAATCTCGACAGCTTTGTGAGTTTCAAATATTTCAACACCAAAACAAAGTAATATTATTCAGGGAGTCTCAGCCTCGAATTCATGGGAGAAGGAGTTCCAAGACTACGGATGGACCTCAATTGTTTTGGATATGGCCACTTTTAACACTGGAATCGGACACGCTGCACAGATGGCTTGGCCTAACACCAATTTGATCGGATGTGGTGTAAAGTATTGCGGAAAGGGTTCGAATGGCTGGCACAGAGTTACTGTGGTTTGCCAGTACAAATCTCAGTGAGTCTTGAAGTGAACTAGGTTGCAGAATCTTTAAACAAAATTTTCAGAGGAAATATCATCAATACTAATATCTACCAAAAAGGAAATTCCTGCTCTGCATGTGCTTCCGGATCCACATGCGAGACTTCTACCGGATTGTGCGTCTAATTTATTTAAGAGTGTTTGTATAATTTTGAAACTAATATTAATAAAGTACTCCTGTATGTATTGGATATCAGAACACATAACACTTTACTTGAAAACTCACAGCACAGACACTCACAGTCAGATCCACACCGATATGTAAGAACTTCAATCTATAGACAAACAGACCTTATAAGTCTTAGGCCCAACATCAAACATCAAGTATCTGTTTCCAAGCACCAAGCTTTCAAACTGTTTGCTTAAAGAACATTTTCATTGATTATAGCCAACAAACATATAATTTTCGAAAAATCGAACAGAGTCTCCTAATCATATGGAAAGTTTAAAAAATACTTTAACCACGTATCGGGACAAAGAAGGCATACTTTAAACATGTATTAAAAGAGCCGACCCTTCCTATTGTTTCAAGTTACATTTTAAGAGCTTTTCTGACACAGTGTAAAAACATTCATTCATTTGACTTTTCAATAATATATAAAATTGAGCACCAAACCAAGCCAGCTGTTTTGGAAATACTCTTCTTCTAGTACATATTACTTGAATATGTTCTCTTGTTTTTTTAATAGTCAAACTTTCTCGGAGCCTTGGCACGCACAAAGTATAGTTGACGGCGGAACCCGGGAAGTGTCGGCCGCTGCGGAAAATGACTACCCGGCAGCGCGTAGTTGAAAAATAAATCAAATTTCAAATTCCCGCCAGTTTCGTGTCGAGACCCATCGGCGTAATTGTGTGCGCCTTCAATCAAAAGTCGGTTGAATTTTAGGGGGATGGGGTTGACTTTTATATGATTCTGGTTAGCGGCTTATCAATGCAAAAACAAGGTAATAAAGACTATCTTCGTTTTCAACTTCAAAACCTTTGATCTTGGGTCTAAGACTGATAAGGCTGTCTGGTTAATCGTTGACTTGTTTTGAAGTTTTGAGTAGACAGGTGTGCTCTTGGAAATTTTATTGCCAACTGAATACCTGGAACAACAGCAACAATTGGTTTCCCTGAAAATGCTGTAATTGTTACATCCCGAACGAATTCAAAATCATTGGAAAAAAATCCTAATTAACTGAGAATTTCAGCACATATCGAGCCAGAAAACACAAATGAATGAACATGAGACATTGGCATGAGAATAGACTGGTGAAGTCCTTACAGATAGATGAGTCGGAGTATCCGAAAACTGCTGCAGGATTTTTTTCCAATGATTTTGAATTCGTTCGGGATGTAACAGTTACAGCTTCAACAAAATAAATTACTGTTTCGAGATGTGTTTGAAACCTCTGAAAAATATAGAACATTTTTTCGAATTCATGTGTGTCCATTTCCAAGCACCAAGCTTTAACATTTCAACATTTAGCGTAGAACAAAATTTGTATTAATTAGCACAGAAACACGGAGATAATCAAGAAACATTAGAGCAGAAAATTCGGATGAATCTCTGAAAGGTTCATGCCTTCATGTTGTAAATTAATACAGGTAGTTGCACGACAAAAAAAACGGAGTACGTGATGGAGCAGTCTCTGTTGGGATTCATTTCAAATTTGATAATGAAGGATTGGTGAAATTGGTAGATTTTCGTGAATTTCGAACAAGAATCCGAATCATTGGAAAGTCTTAGTCTCAGCAAGTATCGAGACAAAAGAAACCGTAATAGCTGTATAAGAAAGGCTAGCTTTTCTATTGTTCCAAGGTACTTGCAAAGGTCCCTTCTTTTAAAAAGGACCTTCTAATATAATTGTTACGGTATAAAACACTGGATGTATCGCATGATCCGGAAGAACTGTTTTCCTGGAACTCGTTCTCACATGGTTAGAGCTCCACTACGATAGACGAAAATTCCTTCAAATCTGAAAAGGAATCCCAACCGACACTGCTTCCTTGTGTATTTTTTTTTGTTGTTCAACTACCCGGATGAATTCACAACATGAAGGCCTTTTCAAAATTCATTCGTATTTTCTTGAAGACACAGCAATTGTTGCGGTCGGTTGTCAGATGCCAAAGAGCGAACAAGACGACCATATCTTTTTTTGGGTTTTCGTTTGACAATGAATACAAGCAGGCTTGTCTATTCGAGACGTCAAAACAAGTCAAAAATTAAACAGATTGTCTTATCAGTGTCTAGATCAAAGATTTCAAAGTTTTGAAGTTAATAACAAAAACATGTCTTTACAACCTTGTTTTTAATTTGATAAGCCGCTTACTAAACTCGTATAAAAGCCATTCCCAAACCACTAAAATTCAACCGACTTTTTAGTGTCAACCATGAAGTCAGCTTTTCTTATTCTCGCCATCGTTGGATGTGCCTGTGCTCAATCTCTATTCAGTTCCACTGGCCAAACTGGCATTGTCAATGTTCACAATGTTCTGAGATCTAAGATCGCTAAAGGAACCTATAATGCTGCTGGAACAATCGAACCAATGGCATCCAACATGCGTAAAATGGTTGGTTAAGAGTTTCAGTTTGGTTTTGAAAAATTTTCGACATTCAGAAATGGGATGCGTCTCTTGCCACCTCTGCTCAAAAGTATACCAATGGCTGCCCAGATGACCACTCTGGAGCAAAAGGAGTTGGAGAGAACATGTATTGGTCATGGTCCTCTCAAGCCCCGTCAACCAATCTTGATAGCTTCGTGAGTTTTAGATTCTTCACAATGAAAAAAGTGACATTATTCAGGGAGTCGCAGCATCGAACTCATGGGAGAAAGAGTTCCAAGACTACGGGTGGACCTCAATACTTTTGGATGAGAACACTTTTGACTCTGGAATTGGACACGCTACTCAAATGGCTTGGGCTGAGACAAATCTGGTTGGATGTGGTGTTAAAAACTGCGGGAAGGATTCGACAATGAAAAACATGTACAAAGTACAGGTGGTTTGCCAGTACAAGTCTGAGTGAGTCTTGAAGTGAACCAAAGTTCAGAACCTTTCAACTAAATTTTCAGAGGAAATATCCTTAATACTAATATCTACGAAAAAGGAGAACCCTGCTCAGCATGTTCTACCGGATCATGCGATACTTCTTCTGGATTGTGTGCCTAATTTTTTCTAAGCTTTCATTGTATATATCTTTTCACAAGTTGTTGTATTATTTTGAAATCGATGTTAATAAATCATTTCTGTATCTAATTCGAGAACATAATACACTATAATAAATTCTGTTCAGTGAAGCGCACTTTCGTCAAAATTGTTTAATTTTCACTGGAAATCGGTTTTCAGTAAATATATAGGCTCGGCTGACAAAACAGGTTTGTACTTCGAATTCAGAAAAGCATGTACCACCCTTCAACGGAAACTGGATGAATGTCAACACGTCATACGAGAGCTCATTCATCCTGTATCTTGTGGGAGACATCGGAAAGCAAACAGCTGACAAAATTTTTATCATAAAATCCAAAATATTTCCGCCAGTTAACCACTTTTTCATGTGTGAAAGGAATTGAGATGAATTGTCTCAACAGGGACAAGGGGTCATTATATTCGAGTATTTTCAGGATAGCTCGACATTTTTGCGTTTTGACATCTACAGCGAGACGCATGGGATTCATTCACGCTGCAGTTTTCAGAAACTCTCAGTCAGATCCCCATTAATCTATAACATTAGAGCCTCATTGGTAATCATCAATACATATATCGAAAAGTCAAATGTTCCAGTGTCTCATATAATGAAAACTATATAAAAAGGTCCATTTTAATAGAAGAGATCTTTGGAGGTACCTTGGAACAATAGAAAAGCCAGCTCTTCTTATACAGGCTTTACGGTTTCTTTTGTCTCGATACTTTCTGAGACTAAGACTTTCCAATGATTCGGATTCTTGTTCGAAATTCACGAAAATCTACCAATTTCGCCAATCCTTCATTATCAAATTTGAACAGAATCCCAACAGAGACTGCTTCCTCGCGTACTCCGATGTTTCGTCGTGCAACTACCTGTATTAATTTATTAGGTTGGCGGGAAAGTCTTTGTCACTCTGTTTGTTTAATCACTGTTCTCGTATATGGAGGCTGTGTATGATATCGACTCTAGTGAATAACAAGGTGATAAGAACCTTCCATATAAACAAGTCCCCATCTCCTTCCCTGCTCCTCATCTGTAATTGAAACGATATGTTTGTTCCCACTGCTATTCACATCAGACATGTTTTGATTTACCTCTTCCTATCTCACACCACGATGAAGGATTCGGAAACTTTCTTGAAGAATGTGTACAACACACATGCCCCTCACTACAATACTATTCGCAATTGGTTCCATCGTTTCGAAAAAGATGACTTCTCGCTCGATGAAAAGGATCGCTCTGGGAGACCCCGTGAGTTGGATTTGGACAAGCTGAAGCACGCATTGCAATCGGATCCATTTCAATCTAGCCGTGAACTAGCTGTCACATTCGGAGTTCACCATAGCACAGTCCTTGAAGGTTTGAAGTCTCTTGGAATGAGAAAACTTTTTGGTCGATTCATACCTCATCACCTGACTCAAGCCAACCTTGACCGCCGAGTCGACGATTCGATTACTCTTCTCACTCTCCACGCGGGCGATCGATGGCTGGACCGGCTAATAACCGGAGATGAGAAGTGGGTCTTCTACGATAATCACCACAGGAAATCCCAGTGGGTTGGAGAAGGAGAGAGCCCACAGGATGTCCCCAAACCCGACCTTCATCCGAAAAAAGTTATGCTCTCTGTGTGGTGGGGAGTGGACGGCCCCATCTACTGGGAACTTCTGCCCGAGGGCAAAACAATAACTGGAGACCTCTACACTACTCAACTACGAAACCTCAAGAAAGCAGTCGACCGTTCGGCCCTGAAAGACAAGAAAGTGTACTGTCAACATGATAACGCTCGCCCACATGTTTCGAAACAAGTGAAGCAGGAGCTGATGGGATATGGATGGAATGTTCTCCCTCACCCCCCCCCCCGTATTCTCCTGATCTTGCTCCTTCCGACTATTGGTTATTTGGCGATATGACACGTGCCTTCGAAGGAAGAAGCTTCAATTCCCGTGGAGCGGTCGAAGCGGCACTCAAACAATACTTTGCCTCACGCCCGGCTGGATTCTACCGCAATGGAATCCATAAATTGAGGGAACGTTGGAGACATGTTGTTGATAATGATGGACAATATAATTAATTATTCGGTTATTTTTTCTTTGAGAAATAAACTATTGAAAAAGTGACAAAGACTTTCCCGCCAACCTAATACAACATGTAGGCATGAACCTTTCAGAGATTCATCCGAATTTTATGCTCTAATGTTTCTTGATTATCTACGTATTTCTGAGCTAATTAATACAAAAAATTTTCTAAATTTTTTAGAGGTTTTAAACACATCTAGAAACAGTAATTCATTTTGTCAGTGTCTAGATCAAAGGTTTTTTTGCAGTTAATAACAAAAACATGTTTTTATTACCTTGTTTTTGCATTGATAAGCCTCTAACTAGAATCATATAAAAGCCAATCCCATCACACTAAAATTCAACCGACATTTCAATAATGAAGTCAGCTCTACTTATTCTTGTCATCGTTGGATGTGGAAATGCCCAATTCAGTTCCACCGGCCGAACTGGTATTGTCAATGCTCACAATATGTTCTGAGATCTAAGATTGCCAAAAGAACCTATAATGCTAAGGGAACAATCGAACCAGCAGCAGCAAACATGCGTTAAATGGTTGGGTAAGAGTTTCAGTTTGGTTTTGAATATTTTTCGACATTCAGAAATGGGATGCGTCTCTTGCCACCTCTGCTCAAAAGTATACCAATAACTGCCCAAATGTCACCTCTGGAACAGATGGAGTTGGAGAGAACATGTACTGGTCATGGTCCTCTCAAGCCCCATCAACCAATCTTGATAGCTTCGTGAGTTTTAGATTCTTCACAATGAAAAAAGTGGCATTATTCAGGGAGTCGCAGCATCGAACTCATGGGAGGAGAATTTCCAAGACTACGGGTGGACCTCGATTCTTTTGGATGAAGTTACTTTTAACTCTGGAATCGGATCCGCTACGCAGATGGCTTGGGCTGAGACTAATCTGGTCGGATGTGGTGGTAAGAACTGCGGAAAGGATTCGACAAAGAACAACATGTACAAAGTACAGGTGGTTTGCCAGTACAAGGAGCGGTGAGTTTTTGAGTGAATCAAATTGCAGAAGCTCTATATGAACTTTCAGAGGAAACTCCATTGGCTCTAATATCTACAAACAAGGAGAACCTTGCTCAGCATGTACTTCCGGATCATGCGATACATCTTCCGGATTGTGCGCCTAATTTTTTTTCCACTCTTTCTATATTTAGCTTTGTATATTTCTTTTCATAATTTTTTGTATTATTTTGAAACTGATGTTAATGAATCACTCCTGTATCTAATTCGAGAACAATACTTTTTGACTCGATTTTCGCCCCAATTTTTTGTAAATTTTCGCATTTTTCAGGTAACAAAATGTCCCATATCATCAAGCTGAATGTCGGAGGCTCTCTTTTTCAAACTTCGAAATCCACGCTCACAAAATTCGACGGATTCTTCAAAACGATGTTGGAGACTGAAATTCTGGTAAAATTTTAAACTTCAAAAAATCAATAAAATTATATTTTCCAGGTTGCCAAAGACGAGTCCGGAGCGATTTTCATCGATCGCGTCCCAAACACTTCCGCGTGATCCTCAATTTCATGAGAGATGGCCACGTGGATCTTCAGAAGTATTCAGAAGACGTCACTGAAATTCAGAAGGAAGCTGAGTACTATTTGTTGGGTGGACTAGTGGAACTGTGCAAGCTGAAGCCAGAAGCCCAGAAAATGCCATGTTCGGAGACTTATGAGGGTATGGCCAGAGCTGTTTCTATAACTATCATGAAAACTCAGCAAAAATTAAGAGAAACTGAAAAAAGGAGCGGCGGGGGTTTTCAAAGAATGAGTCGGAAACGGATCCGTTACGGATTCGCGTACGGTCCGTATACGATTCCTATTTCATCCGCGCGCGAATGGCGGAGAATCCATAACGGATTGTTCGCGAATCACCTGTGTTTCAAACAAAAACATTGATTATTTCCAGCAAAATGCTCGACGAAATTGTAAAAATCGATGTAGGCGGCTATGTTTTCAAAACTTTCAAATCTACGTTGGAAAAATCCGACGGTTTTTTCAAGCAAATGTTGAAGGCTACTAGCAAGGTTGGGGGTGGTGCTAAAAAAATCGATAATCGATAATCGATTTTTTAGGCTATGTTCGACGAGTCCCTTAGTATTCGGAACTTTATTAAGAAAACATATAAGAAACAACAATCAAACGTACAAGAAAGTTCAAGAAACTATGAAAATCTTTTTTTTGTTGAACGACCAACCGGAACCAGAACAATCTGAAAAAAAATTGGGAAATTTTCCGAAAATGCAGCATACTGTTTACCTATTAGTTATATTTTTTGTTTTCCGGGTTTTGAAAATTGTCTCATTTCCAACGTTTTAGTCGGTAGATGTTTAGTAGATGTCCATCGTTGAAAATTTGAAAAGTCACTAGGGGACTCACAACTCGGCCATCCGGAACGGATCCGTTCGCGAATGAGCATGGAAGCTATCTCTCGACCTCCAGCTGCATCCGTATCCGGTCCGTTCGCGAACTCCGTATCCTGTCCGATTGCGAATGTTGAAAAAACGGATCCGTTCGCGAACTCAGATTCGCGAAACTGCCCGTAACGGACCCGTTACGGATAAAAAACCTAGTGGACACCGAAACGGATCCGTTCGCAGTTTACCTGTGAAATTTGAAATTTCAGCGAAAAATACAAGAAAAATCATGAATTACTTGGGTTACTGTAGTTTTAAAGGCGCAGACACCGAAAATAGCTTGAAAATCGAAAAAATACACTGAAAAATCGAATTTTCTTTATTTTCTTCCTAGAATTAGTCGAAAAACGACCGGAAATGACTGAAAATCGATTGAAAAAAAATCTAATAATCATAGAAATCAGAATTCGGAACGAGCATGCGCCTTTAACTTTCTACAGTAATCCAAAGTTATTTTGAGCGATTTTCAGGAGGGTACGGTGAATTCGAACTTTTCCGAAATCGAACTCGTTCGAATTAGAACTGTCCCTTTTTCGAACACGCCCAGAACAGAACAAGAACAGAATCGAACTGCTACGAATTCGAACTATGCGGTGTCGAACTGTCCCGGATTGGAACTCTGTTAGCAACAGGGCGCGCTTGCTTTTTTAAATTATTTTTGTCAACAAATTTTGCATGTTTTCTCCAGAAAAGAACTTTTTTCACTTACTTTGGATCTCAAATTTTGGAATTTTACTGGAAATCGGTTTTCAGTAAAATTAAAGGCTTCGGTAACCATATGTACAAGTTAACATTACGAATTTAGGAGAGCGTGGAGTTTTCAAAACATTCCGGTGATTTTGAACCACATAGTTTTGGATGAAACAGTTACTGCATTTTGCAGGCACTAATTGTTATCGTCGTTGTCAGATTTCAACCCGCCAACAAGATGAACCCATCTTGTACCGGTTTTCATTTGGCAATAAACCTGCAACGAGCAGGTTTGTACTCAAAACGTCAAGAAGTCAAAACTTGAACAGACGGACTTCTACGCGCCTAAAGCAAAATGTTTGTACTTAATAAGGAAAACACGTCTCATGTTTTTGAATTGCAAAACTTGCTAAAGTATGTCCTTATTACTTGGTTTTTGAATTGACAAGCCGCTAACTAATATAAAAGTTACCTCCAGATCACTACCATTGAACCGACATTTCAATGTCAACCATGAAGTCAGCTCTTCTTATTCTTGTCATCGTTGGATGTGGCAGTGCCCAATTCAGTACCAGCGGTCGAGCTAACATCACCAAGGTTCATAATGATCTAAGATCTGCTGTTGCCAAAGGAACCTATACTGCTAAGGGAACACTCGAACCAGCAGCTGTCAACATGCGTGAAATGGTGGGGTTAAAAGTGTCAGTTTGGTTTTGAAAAGTTTTATTCTTTAGAAATGGGATACGTATCTTGGCAGCTCTGCTCAAGAACATGCTGACAAGTGTCCAAACTCTCACTCAAATGCAGAAGGAGTCGGAGAAAACTTCTACACAATATGGTACGCTCAATCTCCAAATCTTGATAACAGTGTAAGTTTTAGAAAGTTCCCTATCAAAAAAGTCATAGTATTCAGGGAGTCGAAACGTCGAAAGCATGGGCCAAAGAGTTCCAAAACATAGAACTGCGGAAAGGATGCAAAACAATATGACTACTACAAAGTTGTAGTGGTTTGCCAGTACCAGAAGCAGTGAGTTTCGAAGTAAACCAAGTTGCAGAATCTCTAATCAAATTTTTCAGAGGAAATGTCCTTAATACTAACATCTATCAAAAAGGAGATACATGTTCTTCCTGTCCTTCTGGATCCACATGCGAGATTCCTTCCGGATTGTGTGTCTAACTTTTAATCTTTGTACATATAATCGACTGTATAATTATTTTCAAAAGTCGTTGTATTAGGTTGGCAGGAAAGTAACTGTCCATTTTTGAATTACTAAATAAAACAAAAACAAGATTAATCCAAGATTGACAGTATGTACCGTCGTGATCCACAACATGTTGTCAACATTTAGGTAACTCGTGGATACCATCCCTCCAAAAGCCGGATGGGCGCGAATCAAAGTATTACTGAAGCACATTTTTTTTTCTCATCGATAATGTTAAAGTCCTTACGCTCCAGGTGAAGTCGTATATCTTCGAATAACCAATAATCAGATAAAACAAAACCAGAACTTTCACGTGTTAAAGGAGAACCAGCCAAAGCGGCCGAGGAACGACGTGACTTTCCGTGAACATGCGGTTTTTTCATTTTTTAACGGCTCCGCGACGTTTCGAAAGACGACGTTTCGAATGTGTGACGTTTCGCAAGTACGACGTTTCGAAAGTAACAGCCTTGCACTTTTATGCATGGAAGAAAAAGCAAAAACTTGTATTTGAGTATTTAAATGGTTTTTCGAACAGAGCTTTGTATATTTGAAGCTGTTTCACACATTTTTCGATTTGATTCACAAGTGTGACGTTTCGAGGTTTGCTAGTTCAGGAAAAATTGAAACCATTGCAATTTTCGGTGCTGAACAACGGATGGAAAAACGGACAAGTTAATCACACCAGACTGTATAAAAACCTCATGAAATCTAGAGTCGGCCACTAGATTCTAACACGCTATATAACAAATCACACTGAAAGAAAGTCATACGGGAATTACAAATTGTTTGATTGCCTACATTCGAAGTACCCCAGCCATTCTGTCTCAAGTGTTCCCATAGCAACTTGGCGCTCTCTTTGTGTCTCTTTCCCTCGTTTTCTGTTCCCCCTTCTCCCTTTTCCACACAAAACCCTCAATAATTATAAACAGAGCCCCGAGCTCCATACTATTTATTTTTATTCTTTTTTTTTGTTAATTTTTGTTAACATTCATTTCCAAAAAATATGTTTTATCCAAATTGGTTTGTTGAGTTTTTTTTTTACATCTTATCCATATGAAAAAATAAAAAATGTGTGAAGTGGTGTGAGACTATGACGGGAATCGGTGACTATTAAGAAAAATCACCCGGGGTGAGGGATCTGGAGAGAGAGAAACGAAAAATATAGCGGTTTGGGAAATGTCAGGAAAAAAATAGGTACTAAATACTAGGTAGAGCCAAAAATAGATTAGTATTGCTCCTGTGGGTCGAATTGGTGTGGTTGATAAGCGTGATAGTACTCATCGGGGTACTGGAACGAGCGTTCGCGTGTTCTGAGCATTCTGTTCCGACGCATTGTGGAGCTTTCTAGTACTGGTTGCGGCTCGACGTCCTGGGAGAATCCACGGAGCATTTGTGCACGTTTTGCAGCGGCTGATTGGGCGAAAGCCGCGGCTTGACGGGATGGAGAGTTGTGAGCGGAAGTACGGGGTCCTGGGGAGGTGTACGCGGTGAGGACCTGGAAAATTGGAATAGTTAGTTATAAGATAAAATGCAGATAACAGGAAATCATTTATTTTACGACTCTGATAAAGTTTTCATGAAAAATTTTTTGACCGTTTGTTGGCAGAACATTTTCTATCATCGTATTTGCTCTAATAAAAGCCGACCATCTTCAAGGTCAATTGTCTCGGTTCCTATGAAAGATATCAAAAATTTGTCAACTGATAAAATATTGAAGATAAAATAATAGGCATTCTGTTAGTCAACCACTTTTTGATTTCTTTTGAAAGAACCGAGATAATTGAGCTCAAAGTTGAAGATGCCCTATTGAAGGTGAACATAAATTTTCTAGAAGAAACCATCCTGTACGTCCACTTTGAGCTCAATTATCTCGATTCCTCGAAAAGCCATCGAAAAATTCCAACTGATAAAGTAATTATCATGATGTCACCTATATTTTATCAGTTGACAGATTTTTGGTATCTTTTTAGGAACCGAGAAAATTGAGCTCAAAGTGCACATGTATGGTACGGTGTCTTTTATTATCAGCCTTAAATTCTTGATCGTTTCCATTTCCTATGATTATAAGAACACAATTCCTCCACTTCCCATTTTTTAAATAATTTTTTTATGCCTGCGTTTCTATGCACCCCACAATATCTAGGAAAATTGGCTACAACTTTTACATCCTGCGTCTCACACACCCTCGCAAAGTCAGAAGACGTTGTTGATCTCGCTTCACCCATTCTTTCACTTTTGACTTTTCAAATTTCAGAATTCAGCCTCTCGATGAGCTTGCTGAACGATTCAGCGTTGCTAGCAAAGGCAGAACGATGTCGCGAGCGTATGCGGAAGATTGCCGCTCAGGTGACATGGGTAGGTCAAAAGAACTGTGAGGCTTTAAACAAAGAAAACATTCCAGAGCAAAGGCTGGAACATCTTTGATCTACCATCCCGTGAAGAGCTCATCGCATTTTTCTCATCTCTCACGAAGCCAGAAATTTACAAGTTCGACCAAGATGTGTTTGGCTATGGACATGACCCAAAAACTTATATGAGAATTCATAGAATGAAAGAGTCAACGGCGGTAGTTGAGTTGGAGCAGGAAATTTGGGATAAGGAGACGGTTTACGGGAGTGTTCCGAACTGTGGAGGTGTTAGGGGACATGATGGAGCTGATGCTTCAACGTCGTGAGTTTTGGAGATATTTCAGATTTTTTCAATATAGAAATTTGAAATTTTCAGCTCCGGATTCCGTGATGGCTACCACCCAAGTATGGATATGCACTATTCTAGAAGAATTTACGCTGACGAGACAGATGCAAAAACAAAGAAAAAGAGCAAAAAGAAGGCAGCTAAAAAGAAGAACACTCGCCGCTAGTGATAATCATTTAATCATTTCATTTTTAAAAATCATGTTCTCATAACTCATTATCTTTATAATCCCTGTGATTTGATCTCTTACCTGATATAAAGCAATATGTCCACAATTTCTGACCCGTAATCTCTCGCAAATGTCTAACGCCTGAATAGTGTTCGATGGGTGTAGAATGCTACCGTACTCGCACATCAGAATGTAAGCGAACGGGCGTTGTGCGACCCCGTTTTTGTGACTGAAACAAACACTTGAAAATAAATTGTTCGTTTAAAAAAATTCGCTTACTGTGTTGGACACCGCATCAACGAGATCCGCCTCAAGTTCCATGATCGTGGGGAGTGCTTGTAGATTTCGCGCGCGCCGCTCCACTGTAGCCATGTCTTTTCCAGATTGCCTTGTTTGCCGGCGTCCTCTAGAAGCTTGAATCCGATGACAATGTATCCGGCGTGACGATGAGCTGGAAGACGATTCTCGCCGACGCTCGCGGTTTTTTGAATTGAGTAGACCTCGTCGTAGCAGCCTGGAATAAGAAGATGAGGGTGATCTTATGAATTCGGGGTTTCAGTTAGCTATAGAATTTTCTGGTTGGTCCACGGCAACCTGCCCTTGGCCGGGGCCAACCACGGACCGAAGCATAACTTGGTTCAAATTTGGAAAATCTGTGTGAATCAAAAATTAAAACGTAGAATTTGAAGAGATCTACAAATTGTTATTTAATTCAACTTTAGCAGAACATCGAATTTTAAATCAGAGGTCCTAAAGAAGCCAAGTCAGCTAATAAGCATCCGCCGACCGTTGTGCGGCTTCTGGTTCTAAATATGGCACAGTTCGGTATCATTTTATAGATTTTTTACCATGTTTAGCCCAGGTTTGGTCCCGAAGCCGCTGGCCGCGGTTTCGCTGACTGAGGTCGATCGGCCGTCATTTACGACAGCCTTCGCCAGGTTGAAAAATATATAATTTCGTACTTTCCGATCGAAATTTGGGCGGAATTTTTCTTCGAGATTTCTTTTACTCGGACTATTTTTTCTTGCTTTCCTTAGATCAACAAATTATAACTTTGAGCTTTGAACCTTTCAAAACAACATCCCTCATCTCCTCCCGTCGTTCAAATCCTCTTGAGACACCTCAAAAATCAAATTCTCACTGTGGCACCCCCCCCCCCCCCCCCCCCTCCCCCTCATCACAATAAAACAACAACTGGATCACCGCCTTTTCCCAATTCTACGCCTATTTTATATGTAGAAGCACATACACACACACACACACACCCTCACTTGAGCAAATACTTGTCTTATTTTAGAGGTCCGTCAATTTTGCCCCATCTATTTTCAGCACCCCGTTATGTTTACCCATCAGAAGACGACGACTACAACGACTTATTCTTCACCTCAATATTTCACCACTGACGTCTTCAAGATTTATGATCTCGGCCTTCTGTCTTCTTTCCCCCGTCCCCTCAATCTTTTTGTGCTTATGTTTTAGGGGGAGGCGCCATTTTTCATTTTGAGCACAAAAATGTATTGAGGTCAAACATTCGAAAGTGACGTTCTTGAATTAGGTAAAAGAAATCAATGGGTCCTATAATTTTTTATAGCTAACAAATTATTCTGAATTCCTTGAAATAGCCGGATATTTAGAATTTATGAGATTCTAGGAATTCTGGCTAGACAGGTTAATCCGAATATTTTGTGGTGGTTGTTTTTGTGGCTGGCTAGCCGAACTATAGTATACTATACATATCCTTCCCCCTTTTTCAGAAGTTCCTCTTCCCTTTACATGTATACCAAGGTCCCCCCCCCCCCTAATGAAGCTCAACCAACCATAAAGACTGCCATGAGTGGGCGAGCATTCTCTCGCCAAATCGGAAATCTGCTTAACGCGATGCGTGTAGTCCACGTTTCGGAATTGTGCGAAATGCATGTATGGGAAGAGAGCTGCAAAGAAACTAGGTTCAAGGTCAATTGGAGTTCAATCTTTGCCCCAGGCGTAGGGATTTCCGGAACTGGGATTTTTTCCAGGAACCTTTCCCAGTTCGTGAAGTCGTTAGACTGGAAATAAGTGTTGACATCCCCCCATGAGCCTCCAAACTTACGTTTGTTATCAATACACTTCAGGATAACGGCTTCATGGAAATCCTTCTTCTCCTGGATGACGTGGCACTCGGCGACGGCCTTCTCATACGCTGGGTCTTGTTCTGGTGCAAATCTAAAAGCAATTCTTATGTGTAATCCGATATGTGTATACTCTAGAACAATTCCTCCCTATTGAGGTCACAAAATCAAATTTTCAAGAAAAGTGTGCTCCTCTCGGAAGGCCTCAATTAGAATTAGACATCGTCTGGATGGATTCAGACGATGTCAAGTGAAATCATGAGACGAAAATTGTGGGTGGCGTTTGTTGGAAATTTGTTCCTCCAAGAAAGAAATTCGATATAATGAGCCCAAAATGTTTCTTCTTTTAGATTTCAAAAAGCGGCCATGTGATTTTGGAGAGATGGGATACTAATGGGAAAATATCAGCTAGAATTACAGATGATTGATCGCGGAAGTGTGTGACAGGTCGGCGATCTAGAAGCCATGTTTTCGGGGGAAAAAAAGTTATGAATGGTTTTTTAAAAAAGTCATAAAGTGTTGACAGGTAAAGCAGGTAGAGTTCGAAGTTTGGTTTTTGAACTCCAAGCTGTTTTGAACGAAAAGATAGACAAAAATGGCTAAATATATTTTTCGCAATGAAAAAAAATTTCAAAAAAATTTTTTTCATTTAAAGGAGGGGAGGCAGGAGTTACGGTAGTCCTCGAAAACTTTTATGAACAAAAGTTTGAAAACTATTTTTTGTTGTCTTCCGGTCTTTAAGGAGGCTATGAGACTCTTACGGATTGTTCTTGGACCCTTGTGGTTTTTTTGAAAAATATATTTCTGATGCTAACTTGTCCTAAATCCTTAGAATCTTCACGCTCGTCCTGCTATCCCTGCAACTGGATTGGATTCGGACATTATGGGGGGTACAAAGTTATTAATTACACAAAACAAAATTCGCTTTCTGGTTTCTGAACAATACTGGGACACCAGAAACATAGTGTGAGACTGACCCCTTGTGGTTTTCTGGACCTTTGTGGTTTTTAGGACTTTTCCGGCTTAAAAAAATTTTTATGCTAACCAGTCATGAATTCTAAGAATCTCCAGGTTCATTTAGCTATCCTTTGGGCAATCCTGGGCAGCTTGCCTTTCCTAGAACGCATTTTCTGAAGTTTCATCCCTACATAGAACGTGCGAGCACACAGCTCTTTCTAGCCTATTAGCAATTAGGGGACTCTTCCTTCTTGTGCACTTCATTCTGCAGCAAAACCCGGAATCTTTTCTAGATTCGCACGTCAGAGATCGCAGCCACCAGGTCTCTTATTTTTAGATTCTAGGATCCCCAATACTCACCCATAACTGCATCCCGGCTTCTGTGGTCCACCGACGAAGCCGATAAGCGATGAGAATTCGCTCATCTCGCCTTCTGACACATCGATCACTTCCTCGGATTTCTGAAATTGGCGACGTGACATTTTGAGGACTACGAAAATGAAAATTTTTGTGCTTGAGCAAAATTTTATGTCCCCACCAATCACCCATGGAAACCCGTCGGAAAATGGGCTCAAAGAAACAAGGCTCGGATTCCAAAATTTTACATGCTTTGACTTTTGGCCTAACAAGAAAAATTTTTTGCAATACGAACCGGGACAGAATATGAATTTATCATCGTCGGTGACGTGAGAGAGGTACGGTGATGGTAGGCGACGTGGTTTCGAACCATGTTCATATTTCTTGAGGGAGAAGTTTTAGCTTTAGATAGCGTAGAAAAATATGTTGAAAAGAAACTGGCGCGGTCCGTCCCACATCTTAGAAAGTGGGCGTGGCTAGGGAAGAGGGAGTGAGAGACGCAGAGAAAAGTGGGAGGGTTAGCAGAGCAAAAAAATAAAAGAAAGAGGAAATGGAGTTGAGATGGGATTAGTGTGTCCAAAATAAATTGGCTGGCAAAATAGGCTGATTATGTACAGTGTGTGACGTTTGACCATCAAAACATACACTTCTTTTGCAGGAGCCAGGAAGTCTGCGAATTTGGAGATTTGCTAATAGAAATGTGTTTGGTACTGAAGTTTGGATGTTTTGTAGCTGATGTCTCTGGTGGACCGGAAACGTTTGGAGTTGTGACGAAACGTATTTCTTATTTGGTTATGATGAAATTGTGTGGTCAAGAAATTGTGTAGTCTAGTGAGACCTTTAAAGACTAGAAGAAAGGAGATTTTCTGGAGATTGTCTCGAATATTTTTGAGTTACGGTATGCATTTTGACATACAGAGATTACACAGCGCGTGATTATTATGTCGCATTCGTATATGACATATTTCGGTTGCGCCACCGTAGCTCAGCTGGTAGCGACTCGGCACTTCCATCGTTGGGCACACAAATTCAATTTTTCCAGAACCGCATACGAATGAAATGTTGAGAAAAATATTTTTAATGTCCGTTAAGGAACTTATGGGACCCTTAGGGAGATGGAACCCTCAGGTGACCTTTGGTGAAAGAGAAATCAAAATGAGGAGTGAAGCAACGAACACTAAAACAAATAGGTTAGATCGCGCCAAAGGCGCACCAGCCAGCTGTTTGAAGCGTCGGAACCGCGACGAACAGGCTGGTATCTTCAAATACCTTATTGGAAAAACTTTCTGATTAGGTTTTTTTGAACCCTCGTGGCTTTTCGAACCCTACTGGTTTTTTAGACCCTAATGGTTTTTTTTTCAAAAATATATTTTTAATGCAACTTTGTCTCAATTCCTCAGAATCTTCAGGCTCATCCCGTTATCCCTGCATCTGGATCTGATTTAGACATCACGGGGGTACAAAGTACCAAATTTTGATTTTTCGAACTATACCAGGACTCTCGAAACATATGTCTAAGACGGTCCAGAAAATCGTTTCCAGCTGGCTTTGCTTATTTTTGTAATCTCCATTAGTTCATTAAAGTGTATCAATGATCAAACAAAAAAATCTCCTATACACTTTTTATTATTTTTTTCTTCTTATCCACTTTTTTGCACACAACGTCCATTTCCATTTCCGGTGGTCCACCACCACCACCATCATTTTTTACTATTGCTCTTTTTTTCCTTTATTTGCTCAGTACTAACCTATTTTTACTTATATTACTTTTATTTTTAAGGTACTTTTCTTTTCGTATAGATCTCGAAAGATGTATGGCCTCTCACTAAAATCTATACGAAAAAAATTGGAACATGATGATGGCATGACAGCTGTTAGAAAAATTGCTCACCTAGCCAGACAACAAGATCGTCATCTTTTTTTTTGACCGAGATAATAAAAATAGGGATAAAGAAGAAGCCTAAAAATAACAAATAACAGGAATTGAATTTTCTAAAAATAATAATAATTTCAAAAAGATAAAAAATGAATGAAATTGGATATTGGGGCAGTTTTCTGAATGACTTAAAGGGGTCTGAAGAGGGAGTGGGAGAAATTTATTTTGGAAGGAAAAATACTTCAATGATTCAAAAAGTTCGAGAATCTCGAGGTCAAATTGCCAAAGAATTGAGATCAGAAAGATCAGACGATGGAGATGTGCGTGGAAATCAGATTCTAGCCATCTTCAGATCCTTTAGGCGGATCAAAAGTCCTCAAACTCTATGAACTGAAACCTAAAAAATTACAAAATTCATGAAACTTTTACTTTTAATTCAAGATTCAAGGACCTGCTTTTATACCAATTTCCACTAGCTCAACCCTCTAAAAATGTCCTAAAAGTGTCACTCAAAAATCCACCTGTCCCATTTTTTATGTCTAAAACAACTAAGTCAAAACGTCACCTTTTTTGGGTTTCGAATCATAACTCAGACACTTTTCTGTGAAAAAAGCTAGATGAAAAATTCGTCACTTTTTGAAATCGAAAACCGCATACATTTTTGTTTAGGAAGGGATACGGTATGTGTTCTGACGTGGCGGCGTACAGTAACGTAACATTGTACAGTAGCTCAGCTGGCACAACGGTGGGCCCACAAGCTCAAGTGCTCCAGGAGCGTATGTTTCCCTCCTTTAACATATCCTTTAATTTTTTCTCATTTCGCCCTGCTGTCCATCATTCCGATATTTTGACGTCAAAATGGGTCAAATTTTCTTGAAGAGTGATCCGGATGTGAGGTATTTGACATGAAGGGGGTTCCCTTTTCTGGCGGAAGAATAAAACTGAAAGGCTTATGTAATCTTAAAAGACTAGAAGCGTCGGAAGTACTAAAAATAAAAAATTTTCAATAGTTTTAAGGAGGACCACTAGGATCATAAGTTCAAGCACTCATGAGTGGGAGGTAAGAGGTTCTTTGTTCTTTTTTATGGTCCCAGGGTACCTCATTTTCAGGGTCTCTTTTTTTCAGGGTGTCATGGACACCTTAAGTCTTTGAGGGTCCCTTTAGTTCCCTTATGGATTTTAGGGTCCCCTTAGGTCCCTTATTTTTTATGAACCCTTTAGCTTCCTTATGATTTTCAGAGTTCCTCAATTTTTGACATATCCTAAAAACACTAGGAAAGTCTTTTTGGATTCTCTATTTTTGCAAAATGTCTTTTTTGAGGTCCATTGACTTTTAATGGTCCTTGATCTGTTTGCGGGTCCCTTTAAGTCTTTTGAAACTTTGATACTCCCAAAAACTAACCTGTCGATGAGCGAATACTCGCCAATGATTGCTGGAAGAAGAGCACATAGTTTCTTAGCTACTTGTCGAACTCCGACAGCAAGAGAAAGTACTCAAGAATAAAAGCAAGGGGAATAGAAATAGGTTCCAAATTCTTCTTTTTTGTTATTTTGTATATCTTTCTTTTTTTTTTCAAACCAACACAACTCAGGGAAGATAAAGAAGTGTGTCCTCTGTCCTCGCGGACGTTTTTTTTTGTAGTCCTAATTCATTCAAAACATGCGAGAAGAAGAAGAAAGAAGGAGAACAGGAATGGATATATGGGTATTTTCAGGAGAAATAAAGAGAAGAAATGGGAGGAGTGGTTTGACGGGAAGGAATACTGGTCGTAGAAAAAAGAAGAAGAAGAGGTGGTTGGAAGACGTTTTTTTGAAAAATTGGAATATGCGGATTGACGACAGGAGATTGACTCCTTTTTTGTAGGAACGAGAAGGAGAAGATTGGACTTAAGTAGGGTGCACTTTGATGGATGACTCGGGAAATTGGGTTTGAGGGGAATTCGGAATCAAGAAAACAAAGAATCCATGAATCTCGGAATCCAGGAATTCAGGCAGGGACCGTAATTCGGGCGTCCCAGATTCTCAATATTGTTACGATCAGCCATAATTTTCAAATACGAGCCAAACCGGCAAAGATAGTTGGTTTTGGGAAAATACTTCAAAAGATATTGCTACAACACTGTATTTCAGAAAAATTCAGAAAAAATTTTAGAATCAGACTCAAAATCTCAGAATCTCAAAATCCAGTAATCCTGGGATCCAGAAATCCAGGAATCCAGGAATCCAGGAATCCAGGAATCCGGGAAAGCGAGAATCTTAAAATTTCAGAGTTCAGGAATCCAGGAATCAAAATATCTCAGAGTCTCAGAATCTCAAAAATCTTAAATCCAGGAATCTCAGAATCTTAGAATCTCAATCTCTCAGAATATAGGAATCCACAAATTAGGAAAGTATAGAATTATTGAGTCAAGAAGGCCAGGAATGCAAAAATCTAAAAATCTCAGAATTTTAAAATTTGAGTGTCATAGAATCGCAGTATCCAGGAATCTAGGAATCTAGGAACCCAGAAACCCCGGGACTAATGAATCCAGTAATTTTGAAATCTTGAAATCTTAGATTTTCAGAATCTCGGAATCTCAGGGTCTCAGAATCTCAGAATCTCCGAACCTCAGAATCTCAGAATTTCAGAATCTCAACATCTCAGAATTTCAGAATCTCAGAATCACAGAAATCCCGAAATACAGATATCCAGGAATTCAGGAATCCAGTAATCCGAGAATCCAAAAAGCCCAGAATCCAGGAAATTCGAAATTCTCAACTTTGAGCTTCCCATTCATGAAGTCTGTCTACAAGGATATGTTTCGCATTTCCTTCCGATTCTAAGAACTTCCTGGTACATACACATGCCATCTTATCTTAAAGTCATAGAACATCGTTTTCCGCCTTTTTTGTGACCAAAGAAAACAAAGGAATTCATTTTTTTTCTTTTTTGAAAAAGCCAAAAAGTTGTCAAGGCGACTTTTTTGGAACTAAAAATGATAGAAATCGGGTGGGTTGAGGGTGTTGACTGATATTAAAATCTTGCATTCTGAAACAGATTCTTCTCGAAAAAACAGAGGTTTTTGGTTTTTTCAATTTTTTAAAAGTTTCTGTCTATTGTAGTTTTGTAGTTTTATTAGTGCTTGTGGCTCCATAAATAATTGCTGACCGAGATTTATGAGGCATACTGTAGGGATGCCATAAAACGTTCGTGTCCCGCTCAAAATAATTAAAAATTTATGGCCAAGTTTTTATGAGATTTTTTTTTGGCTTTCTTTTTCCTTTTTCTTCAGTTTTTCGTGTTTTGGAATCCCTTCTTTGTTCTTGCAAAATTCTAGAAAATACTCAATTTTTGGGGCCAACCTCGTCCGACCGCGGCCCTGTTTCGATAGTCTTGGGACCCAACACAACACTATGCTTCTTGGCGTTTTTAGAAAAATTAGATGTCCATTTTTAGACGAGAGTCCCCAAGAAAAGAAAGGACAGATTTAGAAGCATTGAATTTCCGAAAAAACGGACCAAAAAATAAGAGGAAGTCACATGTTTGGGGAGAGAGAAAAAGTTTCGTAAAAATCACAAAAGCCCCAAGAAAACCGAGAAACTGAAATTTTGAGGGACAAAAAAAATTAGAAAATGTGACTTTGGCGGGGACAGGTGAAATAAATTCTGAGTACTTCTCAGCATTTTCTGCGAAAAAACAGACGAATGAAAAAGAAAGAAAAATTTTGGCGTCTTTTTGCTCCAAGCCTCTCCTGTCCATATGCCAACACGAGACAACATAAATATGTCAGTGTCCGACAAAACAGAAAAAAAACGAATGGATGCAAAAAATGGAAGCAGAGAGCTGAGAGAAATTAATTGGAAATGAGTTGAAAACTTTCAGCGCTCATCATAAAATATGAGCAAAAAGAGCAGTTACTGGAAATTATAAAATAATTGAAAGGGAAGTTTGCTGGAAGAGAGAAAATGGAATTATAATGAGATCTAGTTCTGAAAATGGAGAAGAGCTGATGTGAGCTGAAATCGTGGGATAGGCAGAAGATGAAAGAATTGTGAAATCTAAAACAAAACTCAAAAAATTGTCCAAAAATAAATTTTGAAATCTGTGACAAAATTCATGATCTTACGAAATGATTGATGCTGATTTTTCCCTCATAATTTACAATCATTTTCAGATATTAAAAATACTAATTTTCTGGAATTTGACAAGCTAATCATTGTACACCGCTACGTCGAAATGCATACTGTAACTCCAAAAAAAATTTATAAAAATCTCCTTTTATTCTTCAAAAAACCGTAAAACCTATAATAGAAGAGCGCGCTGTCACATCTGCGCTCAATTATCTCACTTCATGTGAACAATTTATCAGTTGTTGTAATTTTTTATATCTTTCACAGGAATCGAGATAAGTTGGCTCAAAGTTGAAAGTCAGAGGGCCCTTCTATTGCAGGTTTTACAGTATTACAGACAGAACAAAGACAGACAGCTGAAAATCTGATAATTGGAAATGACAGTACAAAGACAGGTTTCTAGGAATTTGACCCCTGGTATTAATGAAATTTCCAATTTAAATGAATAATAGAACCTTAAAATCTAGGAATTCAAAGAATGAACAAATAAAATTGGATGAAAATATGAGTGTTAAACATTTTTATTTAAAAAATGGTCAGTGTCTTAAAATTGGGCTTAAAACTTCGGAAATGAATCATTATCAATGTTTTGTAGTTTTTATAATACAAATTCTGAGTAATAGTTGCCTGATACATAAGTTTTACAATTCATTTTACATTTTAATGCAAAATATTCATTTATAAAGTTTAAGGCTCAATATGGACTCTAGCTTACCATGAATGCTTACAGTTTGAACTCAATTTATCTCGGTTTCTACAGAAGATATCGAAAATCTGTCGACTGAAAATGTGTTTACCATAATCTCGCCAATATTTTATCAGTTTTTCGATGTCTTTCATAGGAACCGAGATAATTGAGCTCGAAGTGCAAGGAGTGTGTATAGACGTTCAATAATGACTAACACTCCAAAATTTCAAGTTTCTTACCTGCACAACTGGCTGTTTTTTCACCACCGTTGACTGTGAAGATGGCGCGATACGTATACTGTCATAATGGGAAAAATTTCTGGGTAACGGAGTGCCCGGACCCACTCCAGTAGATAATTCTATATTCGAACTGCTTTTCAGCAGCTCAAATGAATACTGATCACGTTTCATTTTTCGGGGCATAATTCGACGAAGAACGTCCATTTTTTTTGGGTTTGGTATCTGATAAGATGAGAGATCAGAGATTTGTAATGGAAAGAGCAAAAATGAGAAAAGGAGGAAAAAAAATAAGAGGAAGACAATGAATTTCAATTCAGCATTTGAAGAGGGCCGAAGATTGAAATTGTGGTTTTCTCAATGGCAGGAAATGAGTTATTTAGGAAAAGGGGAAATGCATTAAAGTGTGAAAGAAAATATCGTTAGGGGTCCAGAAATTGGGGATTTTAAGAAGCTCCAGGTAGCAGGTGGAAGTTCTTTAGAAGACGTACTACAGGGCCAAAAATCAGGATTGTCGCACCGCTACCGACTGAGCTACGCGGTCGCCGACTCTTACCACCGCGTAGCCTAATTGGTTTTACTTTGAGCCATTTTATCTCAGTTTCTGTAAAAGATATCAAAAAATGGTCAACTGACAAAATGTTTTTTATATATTATGATAAACATTTTAGGACTTGGGCATTTTTTGATATCTTTTACGGGAAATGAGATATCTGAGCTCAAAGTTGACGGTTTGTTTGGCATTCTGAATAAAGAAATTACGCTAATCTCTGAACTAACACAGAATGCCTAAACCTTGACCCTTCACCACCCAAAAAAAACGCGACAATCCAAGTTCAAGTATCTTGATATCAGTTTATCAGTGCCGGGGACCCAACTGATCGGAAATCACATAGACAATTGTCTCTTGAAAAAAAATTGTCTCAAATTTCCAGATTCTGCAGCTGTGTGGCGGCTATCTTGAAAAGAAAAAACGCATGGAATGAGAGAAAGAAAATTGAGATTGGAGAAAGTGAGAAGAAGAGAAAAAGGGCCCCCTATTGTCTGTGGAAGTTCCAGAAGACGAATTCTATTCTCTAGGGGGGAGAGCGACCATTGAATTCAACCAAAAAAAAGTCTGATTGTGTTTTTTTTGTTCTAGCTGTTTTTTTTTTGTTTATAGACTGCAAATTTTATTTTGAACAAATTTTTGAAAAGCGGTAAATTTGAATTTGTTTAATTTTTCTGGACAAAAAAGGTCCAAAAAATAAAAAAAAACCAAAAATGTTCAAATTTCTTCGGGTTCCCAGAAACCCGCGAATATGGTGATTGGGCGGGAAAAAGAATAGAGGGGTTGAAATGACACGGACCACGAAAAAGAATAGAAAAAGGAGAAAGACCGACGAAGATGAGCCCTCCCCCCTCCCCTCCCCTAACCCGTACACACGACCCTAAACTTTTTGAAAATAGGATAGAAAAAGAGAAGCAATTGTTTGCACTTTTTGGAAGAGAGTTCAGAAACTTTTTTTTTGTTTAAAATTCAAAAATTTTGAAAACTAGGATTGGATATTTAGAAGCCAAGGTAATTCAAAATATCATAAGAATTTGAAAATATTCGGAAAAAATTGTCAAAGACCGGAATCAGAAAAAAAAACTGGAATATCTTTGATATTTCTGAAAACTACAAGTTTCAAAACTAATTTTTCGAAGATTTTTTTTTTGAATTTAACATCATTATGATCCACTTAAAATTTACTACAAAACTACCCAAAAATCAATCTTCTAGCTCAATTTTGAAGAGAGTTAAATTTGGCGAGAGCGCAGAGAAACTAGAGTGTCTGCGTCTCTCGCCTCTAAACTTCAAATGACTGTATCTCTGCTCAAAATGGTCCATTTGATTGATTTTTGGTTGGTTTTGAAGGGGAAAACGATTATTTATTTTCGAAACCTATTTTTGTGGAATCTAAAAAAGAATTTTCAGTGGAAAATAGTGAACTTTAAAATCCTAAAAAAGTGGTACAAAAGAGAATTCCAGAAATTCGAGACAAGTGGTTCGAAAGTTATATGCAGATTCTCATTTCGATTTTAACTATGACCTATTTTTGGTTACAAACGGCATATCTCATGAGAATGGAATTCTACAAAAAAGTTGTCAATTACAAAAACGGGGCTCTATTTTTGTTCAGCATACTCGGAAATTTTCAGACAATTCGAAAAATTGGAAAATATATTTTGAGGACTTCAAAGTTTACTATATTCCAATGAAACAATAAAAATATGTTTTTTTTTCGAATTTCCAACTTTTGAAAAAACCAAAATTCGAGCTTTTTACGAGAATCAAAAAAGAAACAATAAAAAAAATGAAGGGCCCGACTAGAATTTCTAGTCACGCTTTGCTTTCGAAATTGATAGTCTTGGGAATGTATGTACCATGATGTTCCCGGAATATTATTTTTCAAGAAAATTAAGGGTCATAAGAGTGTTTAAAAATTGTGAAAACTTTAAGATCGTTTACTTTCTCCGAAAAAAAGATTTTCTAATACCACATGTTGTTCTATTTCTTTTTCTTTATCTTCTAGTTCTTATTTTTTTCTCCATCATGATGAGCCCATTTTGTTGGTCTCTCAAGAGATGAGAGAGGAGGGGGAAGAAGGCACAATAAAATAAAATTTGTCCGGTGATTTATGCATTTTGGGGGTGATTCGTATACTGGTTGGGAGCACAAAACTTGTCAATCACACAAGTTGAGGTTTTGAGACCCAGAAATTGAGGAATGAATAGAAATTGACGGAGGAGTGGAAAGTCAAGGA